ACTATTTTTTCATGTAAGAAAGTTTTAAACACTTGTAAACACTAATACACATGCATCTAAACGACAGTTTTAACCTTATCATTTAGATGTTCAAAAGTAAACTATAAAAGTTTTAACTTAGAAAATATAAAAATTAGCCATACTTATATCAAAATTGTAGAACATAAATTTTTGTTTCCGTTTTTTTTTATCTAGGTATCCAAAATGCATTAACTATGCTCATCCCTTACTTCTTTTTTCTCTTTCAATTTGAGTATGAAATAAATGTTTAACATTCCTCAATCCGATCCAACAGCTTTAGTTTAGTTTATGAACATTTTTTAAATCATTTTCGCTTTATTTGAAAAACTACGAAAAATGTTTAAATCTTTCCCCTAATTGCACGATATCTAAAAAATGTAACAAATAATAATTAAACACAAATTAAAATTATGTAATATCAATTATTGAAGTATGGTAAAGATACCATAAATAAGAACAAACTAGGAGTACATATGCGTGAAATTAGTTTCTTCAAAGCAAGTGCCGTTTCAACTCACAAAAAAATATGTTGTAGGTTTGAAAAAACTTGTAAAAGAAGTGAACTACATAAAAATAAATAAACGTTTAGCTTCGCCACACTAGCACTTTTCGCTCTAATAACATAATACACTATTTCCGTCTATAGTTTAATACTAGGAATAGTCAAATACATAAGGACCAAAAGTGTATAAAAATCATTTATTATTTCTAAACACTTAATTATAATAAAAGATTAAAAATGTTAATGTTGATAACCACGAACATGTTTGTTAATCGGCGATTAATTATCAACGCCTATTAACGCTTTCGACACGCTTTTATTTGTTAAATAAAGTTTACACAATAATTGTTCGGTTCAAAACGTACTTTCAGCATTGACGAACCAATATAAATCCTTGCCACATTTATAGTAGTTAGTGGGGTAATATGTGCAGCAGTATAACGTTCAATACAAGGTTGCATTGCATGTAAATACAGCCGCAAGCACAACTTCGCAAATTTCACATCTTTAGACAAGTTTATTTAATGCAATGATACGAACACACATTTTACATTAGTTCCGAATCTAGTACATTTGTTGTTAATTACCACTTTGAAAATAGAATAATTGCTTTTAGTCCATTACATCTATACAAAACTCAAGATTATCTCTTGAAATCAATATATTGCATTGCGACATAAATATGATTTGCATTGCATTTTAAACTTCCACAGTAGTTAATGTACTTTTGATGAATAAAATAAAATGTAGGTTACAGGGATAGTAATTGAGCTAAGTGTTAAACGAAAATGACATAATGTGCGTATAAGTATACGGGACTAGTGAATAGTCAAAGAAAGTCACAGTAGTTAGATTGAAAGGAAAAGCTTGCTAGAGAGGTATTATTCGACAACAAAGGGCTTATAAGCGTGATATGATTATTCCACTGGGTGTAATCGTCAACAAAGAACGTCGAGTAGAAGAGCTGTGTACCGCTAAAAATCTAAAAGAAGACACCGCTTTCGTCTTCATTTTGGAGGACAATTAAATTAACTTTCGATTTTTTAAACATGGCCCAAACGCCAAACACAGCAAATATAAAATGGGTTTAAAAACATGTATCGTCAGTTACAAGGAACATGTTAAAATTTAGATATAAATATTCAGAACAAAAGCAAAATTTCAATGAATTAATGGCTTTTACCAATAATTGTTACATTCCAAATAACACAATTCCAGTTGTTTCTTTGTGTTTAATGTTAACACAGATTCAGTTGATGCAACTTTTATTACTCAGCCTCCGGCTACTGAAAAATGTCAACAACAGAAAAAGTTAATAAGTGTCAAACTGTTAACAAGCGCCGCTTCAGGCTCATGCGTATGTATATCACTAATTATTTTCTTCACAAAAACAACCTAATGGAAGTAAAACACAGTCAAAAATCAACATTAAAACATCTCTTGTCATTGCGTGATATTCAGTGAAAAAATGTGTTTTTCCCTGTACCATACCGTAAAAATTTCCATATTTTTGTTTCCCCAATCCCGCACACAACATACAACATGTAGACATGTAAAAATTGAACAACCCATTTTTTTAATAACTGGTTTAAATTAAAATTAAAAAGGAGGTTAACTTAAAAATGTATTATTTTATATCATATTGCCATTTTTACGGCTTTAAATTATGCCATTTTAGTTCATGCATACAATAAGAAACAAAATTGCCTTCGATAATTTTGTTTCTACTTGTTTACTAGCATTATCTTGTTGAAGAAAAACGTGTCCATTAACTAGCCTGTTACTGCATATACCTACTATAACAAGTAAAAATAAAATTTTCATAAAAAGAACACATCTTCACACTTATTTCACACATTTACAAATTATAAATACAAGTGAAAAACAATATTATTTTGCGCGTGGGAAACATAAAACAGAATTTTAAATTTCATTTGCCAAATAAAAATATAACCTTGCTTAATGTAAAAAATATAACAAATAGTTCATATATTTTTAATAAAAAATAAGGAAAGATCAAATTGAAATAATTACCCACCACCACTGAATTTTACTTATAACGTCATGTATTTTTGTCGGTGGAAAAAATTAAATATAAAAACAGCAAGAAACTGTATCACCAAGAGCTATTAAAAATTATTTTTTATATATTTATGTTAATATCTTAGCTTCTTTTCGATATTATTAAGATAAAAACTCTCTTTGAATAATTCATTTGCTCTGAATTCCTCCATCATTATTCTGAATTCTTTCCGATGAATAGATTGTTAAATATTTCAAAAGAGACGCTTCATTTGAAATTGAAGCATTTATGAAGCTATAAGCAATCGCGCCATGACCTCATCAATTAAGAAAAAAAGCCGTACCTCACGCCAGCTCTAAATTATAGCTCCAAGTAATTATTACATGAATAGAAGCCATTTCGGCGACTTTAATGAACATGTAATCTGTAGATCGCTGTAGAAGACACTTGAAAATAACTTGATTATAGCCAACAACTAAAAGTTAGTCCTCCAATTTACTAAATCGATGTCAGGAAATGTAGACGTCGGTCGGCATTAGACACATTTAATATGTTAACACCTTGAGACGCTCGATCTCTGTTTTGAATAATCTACATACCGACGCAAAATTAAGAAAATTTGTGCCAGACATATCCAAGAAAAAATACTTACGAATATCGCTATCGAGCATTTTTAGCTCGCATGAAAGTCAAGTTGGGCAATAAAATTTTCAAACTTAGGTTGTGGTGGCAATAATCAAAGTCGGTCGCACGTATCCAACTTTCATAAAAGTTTTTCTGGAAGTTGCGTGTAGAAATAAACAAGTAACCGTCGCGACGGCACACGGCGTACTAAAGCGCCGAATGCAGGCAGCGCTTTCAGAAAGCTGCGGCAGAAATCGTAAACATTACCATCCCCATTTTTACTTGTAACACTAGTTGCGTTATTCTAAATGAAAATAATTCATTAGGCAGCTCGAGAAATTGCAAATTAACGGTATTTCGGTTCCTGCAAGAGACTATTTCTATGCAAAACTTGTTCTAGACAAAGCCACCCCAACGACTCTCCGCTTAATTCAAATTAATGGTTTGCAGAATCTCAAAGTTGGTTTAAAAATAAATCTACACTTGAAACATGCGAATACATAGCTGCATGCTGCGATGAAAGCACCATTAGAACCTCCTTCGTTGAACATGTGGAGCACGGTGATACACAAAACAAAGACAAATTGTGAAGGAGTTGCTCATTTGTAAATTTATACCAAGCTTGAGTCTACATATTTTATCATTTCACGTATTCTAATGATGATCTTGAAATAGATTTTTTGTCACTGCAACACGCCACCCAATTTATTACTTGTGGATCTCCCTGAGATCAAAAACAAACAAACGTTGAATGCTCATGAGAAACAGTTGTTTTTGTGAGCTTATTAACCAGCTTTCATAAATAAATCGTTAAATCTTTTATTTACAACGAAAGATGACTGAGTACAGAGCGCATGAGTTTCTCCCTTGCTAATTACAAAAAGAAATCATGAAACCTGGCTGTAGCAGTTTCAAATGCAAAAACTAAAACATGGCTAATTACTAAAATTAAAACTTCACAAGCATAAAAGCGTAGCGTTAACTAAATTTTCAATGAATTATTTGCATTACAATTCCAACTAGATGAAATGGCTGTGGCATAATAGTCCTTTTACAACAATTCTCTTGTTATTTCATTTATTAATTACTCATTTTATTATAATCATTTTTAAATATATTTTTAATCACTAGAAGTACTGTAGGAAATATAAAAATACTAAAATGAAAAAAAAATTTAACATATAATCATATTTTACTACACTTGTTTAAACTTTCTTCTTCTTTATATTAGACTTTTGACTTTAATATCAGCCATGTTTTTTATTATTACTCCGAATAATTGTCCGATGCAAAAAGTTTTTATGATTTGTTAATTTGATTAAAAAAGCAGAAACAAAAAACTTCCATCCAGTCACAATAAATTAATTGGCAAAAATGGATTTCTCAGTTTCGGTATTTTAAATCATTAAAATATTGATATTTTTTTCAATTCCAAATTTCCCCTTGTTTTAAATACATCGCAGTAAAGGTAGTGGTAGTGGTTTATTTTTACACTTCTGTTTAGCGCTGAGATTTACCAAATTTAATCCTGTAATTAAAAAAAAAACAGTCCTTCACACTTGTCAATCAACAATTAGTAATTTAATATAGTAAGAATGAAATATATTTTGGTATTCTCTCGTATTTCAATACATCCACAAACGTTGATTAAAATTACATTTTGGATTCAAAAATATTTTGTGATTAAAAATGAATGGAAATATTCCCCGCTGCAGGTCATTCAATAAAAATTCATTGTTCCGAAGTATTGTTCGTTCTTTCTTGTATTGCGTTAAAAGAAGTAATGCCAAGTTTATGACACCTACATGAACACTACTGTTTACCCGCTGTAAAGGCAATTTGTCGATTGAAACCCCGATAACATTTTAAACTCTAAATTAGCATTCACTTACAAATAACAATAGTCCCATTTTTATGCAGATTTGTTGATTTGTATTTTGAAAGACGTTAAAGATACAAGATAAAGTAACACGAAACCTGAACAATTACCGCAATGAAATCAGCTTGTTTTCACAGAAATTCAGTTTTGATTGGAAGTTATCAACTCTAAAACCTGTTGGACATATTATTTTAAACTACACTTTCTTTGATCTCCAAGTCTGCTGACTTGTTGTGTTGCATGTCTCTTATACATCAAGTAGCTTCTTAGTAAATATTTGTTTTCAATCCACAATCATCGCATTAACTGTTGATTTATGCTTTACCACACATGTTCACTTTTCTCTTTGCCTGTAACTAAACCCAAAGTAAATATTGTTACTAGACGAAACTGATAAAACATCGGACCCATGATCCCAAATTTCCTAGAAATTTAAAAATACTTCCATGCAAATTACTTACAAATTATTCATTGATTTTGTGCATAGACTTGTAAATGTTGAAATTAGCTTGTTTTTACATTAAAAAACCCTCTGACTGTTTTAGTGATTGAATTCATAACACAATATGCATAAAATACATTTGTTATTAATAATATATTCAATAATGCAGTAAAATAAAACAAGCTTTGAAAGATTTAAACATAAATATAAATTAAAATGCAAAGCATATCCAACGTAAATTTTAATGAGCTATTTAGCTAATTCCGAATTATTACTGTTTTTGCGTAACATTAGCGCCCTCGAGGTGCAAGTAAACTCATTAGTGTGTCCTAGTTTAAAGTTCTTGCCCGCATGATGAGCTATTGTTACTCAAATGCGTTGATATATATATAAATAGTTGAATTTAACAATTTCATATCTGAGAAGAGAATATGTATTCAGTTTGTGCGAAACATTTTAATTGATCTATTAGCGTAATGGCTTTGTCGAAATTAATTTACGTTAAGAATGTGGCGTTCATTAAATTTTTAGATTTCAGTGATATCGATGTGATTGCAATCAGTCAACCTTGTGATATTTAATAATCAGGGAATGAAAGCTTACAGATTAACTTCATTATTACTGAAAGCTCTGTCTGGGTAGCTAACAAGAAAGCTCCAGCTATGTAAATAAGACGGTGACAAACTCAATACCTTGCATTCCACAAAAACAAACTTGCTTAAATTAAGTTTCAACAGTAATTTTGCAAAATACGAAGAAAATTTGCTGTGTAAGTTCTTTCGGATTTCTGGTCGTGTTTAGTGTTACAGTTCGTGTAAAGGGACTCATCTTGAAAGGACAATGCCGCATAAATTACCCTTGGGAGGGCAAAACCACGTCCGCAGCAAGATACCAGCCTTAAAGCCACATTTGATTGAGTATTGTAACATTTTATTGCTCGTCTGAAAAAAATATTTGATTAGATTTTATCCTTGAGGAGACACTCTTTCATGATTAATGACCGCAACGCCAAAGATTTAATTTCTGAAAAATCAATAAATTCCAAACTCTTGCTCATATCAATGAGGTGACAGTTGTTTTCCTAAGTTTCCGTTTCGTTTCCGGACTTTTCATATTCGAGGCGCAACCACAACTAGACAAGGGTCAAAGTTTTGCTGAAATGACGATCTAAATAAGGAGAAAACAGCCGTGGAAATGGCTACATTCCGAATAAACATTTACAATTAAAGCCGAAGGTATTTTATAACGTTTAAATGAAATAGAACTATTTCAGAATACGAGCCGAATTCACGTAAAAGAAACGACCGGCTCATCTTCACTTCAAGTATTATACAGATATTTAAGTCTCTTCAGCTGTATTTAACATTCAAACCTCGTTTATCGACAAAAAATCTTAACGAAAAACGGCACCATTATTTCTTTACAAACGCAAGGCTCGCCATTTCAAGAATAGACCTCCTTTTTGTTAATAAGAGATTACGATTTTAAAAAACAAAAGCAATAAACATTTTTTTTCTCTTAAATATTACATATTACAAAAAACATGTAAGTAGAACATCAAAAAATAAACCTCGACAAATTACTTAAGTATACTTAAGTATATTTCTTAAACACTTAATTGCACAATAAATAAAAAAAAAATTCTAATAGGTAAATTATATATAGACAAACCGTTTATGAAACTACTGATTGATTCTGCCGTTTAATTTTGTAGAAGATATAAATGTAATAATAAAACAAATTAACATATAATTTAATTTATTATAAATATAATACAAATTATTATAAACGTATTTTAGATTTAATTTTGTAACGAGTGACACCACAATGCAATTATTAAAATGGCAAGTAGCTACAATAACCAAATAAAGATTAGTTACCCTGATAATGTGCTACACTGTCAGTTGCATAATATTTATTACTATGCAAACTCGGAACTACAAAACCTGTAACCACTTAATATCTGGATTAAAGCTTATTTTTCCCACTTCCCCTCAATTCATTTTCTTTTGTGATAATTTCTATGAAAAATTGAACTTAATAAAAAATCATCTCCTCACGTAATAAATAGTAATAGTTCACAAATGAATTTTCATGTCTCAGAGAGTCAAAATTGAAGTTGATTCCGGTCTTCATGTCAACGAATAAACTGTAACAGGCACGCAATAGAAAGAAATTTTAACTCTAAAAAGTCGGGAAATCTTAACCTAATCAAACTTTTCCCATTGTGCTATATTGTCAGAAGAGATAATATTACAACATTTTTTTTATTTTTGATGACACAAACTAAAAAAAATAATATTTTTTAGATGATGTTATACTAACTGAATTATTAATAAAATGAAAGAAAAGTAATAAAAACGATGCTATTGGTTAGACTTTGATTCGAGTCTTGTCAATCAAAATGTTATAAGTTTTCAATAATGAAAGCACGCAAAGCTATGGCAATTTCTTAAAATATAAGACAAAACGATAAATCGTAGAACGAAATTAATCACAGCAATCAATTGTTGTTATTTGGAAGGTTTTTGAGGTCGTGCAATTTAGCACCGCGTCTAAAAAGTAGTAGACTGGAGTGGTAATTAATTCTCTGACAAAAAAGCGTCAGTTTTACGTGATATATAGGGTGTTCGCGGATTACGCGATTACTAAAATAATTCGTTATGAGAAATCAATTGAAGACCAAACAAATTCCGTATTCAAATTTTCCCTCTACGAGCCGTTCAGAGTCCTTGTTAGGTGGAAGTAAAAATATCAATGAAAATAATTTGTATTGAATGTTGACCGTGAAAGTATTTATGCACATAAAAAAGATAACTTTGTGTACACACGTCAATTTAATCAGTTGTAGACGTGCTTTTGAGTGAATTGTGCATATCGATTTGAAATCAAAATGTAAATCAACTCATTATGACCAACTTATTCAAACGCTGAGTTGACTAGTGTACGGCCATCACTTCCAAGACTGATTTTCACTAAATGTTTGGGCAGAGATCATTAAATATCACCTAATTGTAGGTACCCCACATTTTACCTCCACTAGTGGCCTATTCTTAGCTTTATTACTCAATATCTCAAAAACTACTCATCGTAAAAAAATTTAAGTTGTTTATAAGTATATTTCAAGCCTTTTTGAAACAAAAAGTTTTTCGACCATTTTGACGATACAACCTACGAAAACTCAAAAAAATCGATTTTTTTAACTCGACCGTATAACATTTTATATACATTTCTGAGTTTTTTTTACACGTTTTTGCACTTTTCTAAGTTTTGTTATTCAAAATTGATTACTCTATCGATTTGTGCAATACAAAATCTTTGTTAAGAGAGCAAAAAAACGGAAAAACACAGAAAACGTGACCTGCAACTGCAGCAACCTGAAATTGAGTAGATATATCCGGTTTTTGTGATTACCAGTTTAAAAGTTATGTTCTCGCAAGTAACTGTTCCAAATTTTATAATATTTGTCAAATGGTTTCGAAGTTATTTAAAAAAAAACAAATTTCTATACACAAATTCCGAGGGCTGTAAAATTCTTGCCATTAAAGAAGGACGCAAGTCTTTATTAACAATATTTTACAAGTCATTTTTACGGTTCAAATATTGCTTTATATTTAGGAATAATCCTGTATAATGTATCGTGTTAAGACATAGGCGAAGACAGGTTTTCGGCCTCACTTATTCTTAATTTTAACTCTGAAATGACGTATTTTCGGCAAAAGTTGGAAATAGAAAAGATTACTTTCCGAGTTCTATTAACGGTTAGATTGCTCGCAATCAACAAACACTCTGTATTGTTAAATTTGCTGAATGCAGTAATAAAAGTGTAAATTTAATTATTTAACCACAGTGTGATAAAATTTCTTTTTATGGTGACTGCATAATGATGATAAAATAATCGGTAACCATTTCGATAATTAAGGAACGTGTTAGTTAACTCAAATAATTATACGAGTATTTTGTTTATTTAAACTCAAAATGTGGACGTTGGATATTAACTAATTTAGTGCAAAACTCTTTTTATAATTACGGTGTGACTACTGCATAGAAATTCTATATTCAATAGGCATTACTGTGTAAATAATTCTTCCCAAATTATTCAGAGATTATCATTATCCTCATTAAACAGCGGCGTACACCTTTAATCTGATTTTGGCTTGCAGAATTTTGCTTTTAATCAAGCCTCGATCAATACCAATTGCTGCGGTTTGAGAAAACTCTTGGATAAAGGGTCCACACTCTTCCTATTTTATCAGACTAACACAGGAAACACAAATACGACCAACTTTTAAGCCAGTGTAATCCATCAGGAGAACAAAAGTTTTCTTCATGAAAAATAATTTAATAACTTTCAAGAAGAGATAAAAAAATCTCATTTATTGCAGCTTTCATGTTTAATCAAGAGCTTAACGGCAATCACTTTCGAAAGTTACGCGATTATTCGCATTATTTGACGTTTATTTGTGTACTTAAAGAGACAATTAGAACGCCAGTTAAATTGGGTGTAACGTTGCTTTCCGAGATAGGAGATATAGAATTACAGAAAATCTTTATCTCTTTCACAAGTTTCAATTTTTCAAACTGTCATATTTGATCTCATTTTAAATTCAGTTTGCATTTTGTTACATTACATGGCAAAAAAGTTAAACAAAACGAAATAAATGTTCGTAATTGTACACGCTACGTACATAAAAAAATAAAAAGTAGCTTATTAATGTTTATTGTGTTCCATGTAGCAAAGTTAAAATCCATAAGCACCATAAATTGAATATTCAATGCTAGTTAAGAATACCTAAATACGTAGGTAGTGTGATTGTATTGATGAACACTAAAATCTTTCTCTTTTCTTTCTTCTCTTTTCGATATTGGCTTTCAGAAAATCGAATCAATCTAAAATTAAATATTTTTGTCTGCTACTAAATAGAAAATAAAAATGAGAACAATCCATTTAGAATTTTAAGTAAGAATATCGGAAATCCCGCTTCATTGTTATGTAGCTAATAGAAAAGTTTGCTACTAATAATAAATTCTTTTATTACACAAATTATACCGGAAAAAAATAACTACCAGTTGAAAACAGACTTTATAATGTATCCATTTAATAGAGTGTTAAAAAATTTAATTTCCTATTAAAAGAATTTCGCTCTTTAATCCCATTATACCTTTCAAATTTAATATTGCATGTGAAAATCTAGCGCATAATTGGGATCGGCAGTCGTAAGTGAATAGGCGAACAGTGAATGGAAAATTAGATTCCAACACGTTAATTTCTCACATTGAGAGTCATTTAGACAAAAAATAAAAATATATATATTTTTTGATTAAAATTTATGCTCCCTATGCTTACGAGAAAATAACGAACAACCGCAATGAGATATTAATATTTACATGCACTGTTTATTAAAATCACTACTGTTTTGTAATTAAACGATTAGGCCTACAGGGTATTACATACGATCAAAATAATGTACATGTATGTACTTATGTTTAACTACGAACAAAATTGTAAATTCATTATTTGCCAATTATTGATACAAGTAAAAAATAAAATGCTGTACTGTAACAATTGTATAAAAAAACTTTTTTACTTTCAGTTACACATTTTAAAACTCAAATAAGAAAAAAAATCAGTAATGATTCCAAACTTTTTAAATCTATTATAGCCAATACGATAGGACAGCCTCAGTACACAGTTGCAGCTTCAGCTCCGAGCCATGTAACTTGTAGAGGTGGTAAGGCCTGAAGCTTCTCCGATCTCTGGTTCTATAATGTTTCGATACTTTGACATCGTTATGGCTTGAAGTTGTTTCATCGGTAGGTAATAAACCACTTTAAGCAGCTCCAAACTAAATTTTGTACACACATATACAGGATGTTCCGTTTTTATTGTTACAAAGTTAAGCAGATAATAGAATATTCAATTTTAAGACAAAAATTGTGTATCGAAAAATCTACACCGCCTGTGTCTTTTAATAGGTAAACATTTGTCTTAGAATTAAATATTCTATCACCTGTTTAAACTTGTAACAATATAAACGGAACATTCTGTATATTTCATTACTTGTTTTATGACATAAAAAACCCAATATATTAATAAAAAATTATGTTCTAAAAGAATTACAAATTTTAATGTAATACATTTTGAGAAAACGACAGGGCGGCGATAACTAAATCGTTTACTGAGAAAGCTACCAAGCATGAATTTCGGCCCCATTTAAATGTCGAATAAAAATTTCGATTCTGCTTTTTTGTTTGATTCGTCTGCTAAAGGAAGATGTGATCAAAGAAATGCTACTTGTTCTATATGGTAAACCAGTATGAGAGTATCGAGTTTACACAGCCGTGCATCAATTATCTCGATTCCCTTCGTACACTATGTATTGTAATGCTGATATTTCATGCAAAATTTCAGGCTGACTCAATAAATACGAATAATACAATAAAAAAACTATGAAACTAAATAGATTTCCATTCCAATTTTTTAGAAGTAAAATAAACAACTTTAAAACTAAGCTCAAAAAAAAACTAATTTCAAGAACGTAAATAAAAAAATTACAGAAATACGCAAAGAAATTCAAGTTACAAATACGTAATTTTTATACTCATATAATAGTCTTCAAAAAAATTTTATTTCTATTCGTGACCATCTGTATTAAAAAAATCTACAATTTTTTGTATTATAATTTATTTAAAATAAATAATCACAAAATAATTAATTCATTGGTTAAGGGGTGCAACTTATCATATTGGCTGATCCTTTTGGGACGACTTCAAATTTTGCCTGCGAATAAAAAACTGATTGATTAAAAAAATTGTTACAAATCGGAACGCTCACATTAGTCAGTTCTTCTGAAACAAAAATGGCAGTCTTAGTGTGCATTGTTATTTCCCCAACTTTAACACTTGAAACCCCTTGTGCTAAAGCCATAAATACAATAATTTGATCTTGAGTGTGCTCATCAACACAAGCACCTTCTTCAATTGATTTTGCTAACTGCATAGCTGCTCTTTTCCCTGTTTCTTCTGCGTTTTCACCCCTTTTTCCTAATGCTGAGCCTCCTAATATGCATCCTGTATCAGTTTCAGCTACCAAACTGCAATCCCCTCTCATGACCTAATACCAACGTAGTAAAAAAGAATACTTACATAATACCTGAACAATTATCAGGGGCAATATTTCTATCTTCTTTGTACCTCTCAATTTGGATGCTACTACAAAAACGTTTCAAATAATGTAAAGCTGAATCTGCCATCAAATGACTCATTTTTATAGGCAAGGTTCCAGCAACGAAACTCCAACCGTAAATTGACGTGATTTTCCCCCTTTCTGTTAAATTTACAGAATCTAATTTAGCAACAGGATCGACGTTTATAATTACTTCGCCCCCTCCCTTCGGAAAATACCCCCTTCTAATCAAATCAAAACTAAATGTTGCTCCAAATTTTTCTAAAACCGGTCTGAAAACCTCTGTCGTGTAGTCAATCTGAGGCGCCATTTCAGCATTAGTTCCGCCGTGTAATCGCAAAGTAGTATGAGATTTAGCAAATAAACTACAAGGTAAAGCTGCTTGTAAAAGTAAACTTATACTGCCTGCTGTTTTTACACGAGCTTCATGATTTCCACCAATTATGTCACTTGGCCAAAATTCCACCTCTGTGGATCCTAAAGAAGCGCCTTTAACTTTGGCATTACTGAGATCTCTTAACAATTCAATGCCTTAAAATATTGCTCATTTTTTTATTTAAGAATTTGAGATAAAAAACCTTTTAAGTGTTGTTCCATCAGGCCAGGTTTACTGCGACCTGAACGTATTTTTATAACACGAATAGGAATTTTTCTGATGACACTTAAAGTCAGAGCTATTCTTAAAATTTGCCCCCCCTAGAAAATATAATTAATTCCTGGTTTAACATTTAAGTTTTCAACACTTACTCCTTCTAACATAGAACCATCTATTATCTTTAACTCACAAGACATTTTTAAAAAAGTAGCAAATAATATTTCAACCAATGTTTTGTTGGTTATGTTTTGCTCACACGTCTGTCAAATTATTATAAATGCCAAAATTTAAGTTGGCACGATTGTACTCCCTGTTTTTAATTACTATATATTGCATGAAAATTAAATGCTATTGAAAACAATAAAAAAACCTTGACCACAACTACACAATAGCACTTGTTATGTTTTCTGGCTAAATATAATTTTTCATTAATTTTTTGCAAGGTCGAGTTTCTGTTTTAGTGTATTTTCCTGTCACTCTGTCAGTTATCATGGCGGTGATAAAAATAAATAATTGTCAATTTCGGAATTGTTTCTAATTAGTGACAGTAATTATTTATGAATTGTTGCAAAAAGAAGAATATTCGATCAGCCATTATTGATCCCGTTCAGTTATTGCGTCAAATGAATCATTTTCGTAGTTAAAAACAGTCAATTTACAATGAATTCAGATGGTACCCAAAGAAGTGGGGTTAACAAAGACAATTTACCATCAAGCAGTCAAGTAACAAATCCGGACAGCAATGCTAATTTAAGCCTAACAACTAATGAAAGTAAAGGAGCCATACCTAAAACAAAACTATCAAAAATAACCTCTAAAAAGACCAACAACAATGTGGATGAGACAAGTGTGTTGACTGCTGACCCTTTAAAAATTAATGGCTTTACCAAGAACACTTCGCCTTCTAGCAATTACTTAAACAATACGTATGTAGAATGCCTTGCAGCAAATGTGCAAGTTAATCCTAAAAGCACTGGATTTGCACAGAGCTCTTTAAATATTCCTGTAGAGAATGATTTCTTGAATGGGCCATACCTACCGATGAATAATTGTAGCTCAAGCTATGGTGATTTGGTAGAAGCTGGTGCAAGTTACAGGGAACAAAATTTGAAAGATGACAGTTCTAGTGATGATAATGAATTGTTGTCATTATCAGATGATGGCTGTATTTACACCTATAAAGGGGATCAAGTGGCTGACTTGCCAAGCTCGTTTTATAACCTGGAAATTCCACCGCTGGACGAGGTGCCAGGAAATGGGCGAGAAGGTAAGACAAAAAGTAATTTTATTTTTTTCCCCCTGAGACAATGCTTTTTCCATTAAAAGGAGGAATTTTTGAACGCCGGTATAATAATTAATAACAAACCTAAACACAGTTTTACTAAACTAAAATTTTCTTGATCTTTACGTCTTACTTTTTTACATAATTGCTCTTTTTTTTAACAGTTTTTCTTTTAGTTTTGGTTTAGCTATGATTTCGTAAACAAATTGGTTATGTAATTTTTATTTATTAAAGAGAATTTTTCGTTAATAAATATATAACTTGAAAAACTTGAGTAATCTTTCCAAAAAGTACAACTAAACAATATTTTGATATCAAAAAAACCAATTAATTTTTTTTGTCTAGAAAATTCCAGTCCCGAAATGGACTTTCTGGAAATGGACTTCGACCCGGGTCCCTCCGGAGACGCCGACTCTGACTCCATATCAAACGCCGAAATAGACAACGCTGCAAGTTTGCCCTTAGACTCGAAAACTGAGAAGGTCGTGGAACCAAAACCATGTTGTTCAAAAGATTTAAACAATGAGATCCCCCAAGAAACGAGTAACATTAACAAATTCGACAACGGTGTAAAAAGCAAGTATCTCAACTTGACCAAAACAATTCCGGAGCCAATAAAAGAGCCCGTTACTACGACAAAAACCGAAATAAAAATGCCATGGTCGTGCACCCTCTCTGAACGCACTCGAACCGCAAAATGCCTTCGAATGGTAAAAAGACACCACAGTTCGAGAGGTGAACTGTCATCCCCGAGCGAAACCGGCTTAAATAACGACATCAATATTACAAACTTAACGTCGTTTCATAACGCCACCGGTAAAATTTTAATCGATGATAAAAACTCGGTGGCCATTGATGTGGAGAAAACCATGATCTGGACCCATCACGAGGCTTGTGTAAAACAGATCACCCAAGTGGGGCCTTCGGCCTGTGGCGCCACCGCCGTGTTGAATGTCCTCATTGCGCTTAGGTTTCCCATACCGACGCCTGAAAAAGTTCAAGAGTGTGTAAATACAAGAATGAGAGCCAATTCGAGTCCTCTGACCGAGTATCTACTTTCGAGGAGTCGAGCTGGTTGCACTCACAGAGACTTGATCCTAGGATTGTATAAACTGTCAGATAAAAGACTCTACTCGAGGTTTTTCGCAATGTATCCCGAAAGGGTGGTCAACTTGCAATCGTGGTTGGGTTACTGGATAAAAAACGGTGCTGTGCCGATTGCGACGCTGAATTTACAAAAGTGTGAAGGGAATATTCCCGATAGTTGGCACCACCAGATGATTTTTGGAGTGGGTCCTGAAGGGATTTACTTAACGAATCCGCTGGAGTGTATAGATCCAGCCGAACTGTGGCCGCAGTTGTCGTCAGAATCTGTGTTGTTAATTAGGACTGAAGATGTGATTTCGAGGTGGAATCCGAAGGTGGATTTACCTCAACTGATGAGGATTAATGACGTGCGATGGAAGGAACTGAATGTTGTAGGTGGGTATTAATATACAAAATCATTGTTCCTAATTCAAAAATCAACTGCCATATTCTTGAAAGAAGGATTTAATTTTTTTGTGTAGGTCAAATTGCGAAAGTGGTCCGGGAAAGTCGCAGAGAGACCCGAGCCGACTACATTTCTACATCACATATTCGAATTCCAGCCGAGTATAAAGCCGGTATCACCCTTGTTATCGATATAAATTCCCCTGCTTTTACACTGTTACGTCAGTGTCCCGAACTGCCTTTGCTGCAGCCCGAATATGCAGCGAGTGCCTTGTAAAATAGTTGCAGTGAATTTTAAGCAGTTACAATTTTGCGCTATAAGTGCCATAATTAGGTTTCAAATCTCGTTTTGTTGCGTTTTTTGCTGGTGACAGAGGTTTAATTTGGGAGAAATTATTATTTCGTACTTACATATCACACAGCTAAGTATTTGATTTGTTATTAGTTGATTTCACGCATATACCTACATGTATACTCATATCATAGGTAGGGTTGTTATTCTGTACAAACTAATTTTAATGCAATAATCTTGTTAATGTAGTTGAATGTGATAAACTATTTTAATTTTTTATCTTTTTAAATAGTGCCATTGGATACTAGAAATTTTCAACCAAAGATCTAAGTAACGTGACCCGTAATGGGCACTTTAATCGCTGCAATATTTCTAAATAAAACTTGGACCCAAATTCATATTTTTGTACCTTACTTTGTTCACTTGAAATTCCAATGCAGCAATTTCTAGTCGCATGGTTCTGAAATAACGTTAATTTTGCTTCACACAGTTATGCACACTCAAGCAAACAACAATAACGTCAGTAATGTAAGTTTTCTTGTATATTTTATAATCAGCCAGTCTTATAAAACGATAATAAAAGCCACTTTATACCAGATACTTCCTTGTTTTGACTTCGCCGACTCAAGTCTCTTTCGGAATAGACGCAGTACTGACGTTTCCGCCTCGCTCGGGTTCCTACCATCAAAAGTATTTAATTTTTAGTAAAGACACATCATCAGAAGTGGGTTCTGATACTACATTTCGTTCCCTGCTTCCATGACCCCCATCATTCGTATTGTAAACATACCAGGGATCGGTTTTGATCCCCGGAATCCTAATCCTGGCTTTAAGCGGCGCTAAAATTTTATTTATTAATGATTTGCACATCATCGACACTTTGGGTTCTTTCGGGTAGACAACTTTGTTGGTGACTTGCTGCAGAATTGTGGTCAGAACAATTTTTAACAATGAGAGGAATACCTTGACCAAATCGCGGTAATTCGTATCATCGAATGGCAAACGGCCGTAAACCATGGCGAACAGGACAACCCCCATTGACCATATGTCGGAAAATTGGGGCTGGTAGGGGATACCTTTGAGGATTTCGGGGGAAGCGTAAGCGTAGCTCCCACAAAAGGTTTCGCTCAAGGGGGCTTGCCCGTTCTTGACCTTCATGTGGCCTCTGGCGAAGCCAAAATCCGAAAGTTTTATCTCGAATTCAGTGTTGAGGAGTAGGTTTTCACATTTGATGTCTCGGTGTACTACACCTCGCTCATGGCAATAGTCGACAGCGTCGACGAGTTGTCGAAACCACTTACGAGCTCGGTTTTCCTCAATGTATGACTCTTTGCGAATTATTTCTAAAAGACTCCCGTTTTCGGCATATTCCATTATAATATACACTCTGAGCAAAACAAGACAGTAAAGGGGTGCACAAGGCGTAATTTTAAACCTGTGGGTCGTTTCTATGGCTTGCAAAAATCGGATCAAATTTGGGTGTTTGAGTCCTTTAACCACTTCGATCTCCCTTGGTAAAAATTTCTTCAAGTAGTCTGCCGGTGCTGAAAATTTGCTTACGATTTTGACCGCGACATTCATGTTGTGACGCTCGCTGTGTGCCATCTGAAATTAATTTGAAAATTTTAGTAGTTTCGCCTATTTGTGTGGTATACGCACCCGCACTGTGGCATATGAGCCAGAACCAATCGTTTTTCCCAAAATGTATCCATGAGATTCAAGAACAGTTTGTTTCTTGCCTTCTTTAAGTATCGGCTGGCCTGTTACCACTTGAGTGGTGATGATAGGACTGTTGGTTTTTTGGGGAGCGGACATAACTTGTAATACCAAATCATGTCACTATAAGCTAAAATGATTTATTCCATTTTTACTGAAATTTTGAATGACACGAAAATACTAATGACGTAAGACGTGTCAACAAAAACAAAATTTTGAAACGTAGGTGACAATTTTCACTGTTCTTTGCGGGATTCCAAAATGGCAATAAGTTCGTGTATTTTATATATTATTAAGACACTTTAATTAAATTCATTAAAGTTAAGTCAAAATTATTCGTATTGTATAATTACTTTGCATTGTTATCTAGCAACTCGCAACTTCATAAATTTATGCAAATGGTAGTTATTGCTTCGGAGTTGGGGAATTTACCGGAGACGTGCTTTAATACAACATACACGGTGAATAAAAAGTATGGAACCAAGCGTTTTTTGCATAAACTAATAATTTTACGAAAAAAATAATTAGTGCAGTGTAAAGTACTGTAAGAATGCGATCGTTTTTCAAGAATAAAATTTTTCGAAATTCCTTATTACATTTCTTACATTTTAGTTTTGCAAAAAAATTTTTTTGGCAACCTACTGTTACAATTTTTTTAAATTAAAGAGTATGATCTAAAAATGATTTCTGATTAAATAAAAAAAAATTGAATCAGTTTTTTTTAAATAAAGTCTTAAAATTATTTCATCACGAAGATTTTCCGAACTTCAGCGAAGTGGTCGTTATCTTGCATCAACATCAACCACAGCACTTGTGACAGCACCACTGACAGCATTAGCTGTTGCAAACTTAACCACAAACCAACATAAACACAAACACATCAACATAACATCAGAGTATAATTTTCTTGTCTCGAAGTATGAGTAATGTGAATTGTTGGTAAGTAATATTTAAATTTTAAATCAGTCTAACTAATGGTGGATTTATATTGAAGATGTTAAAATTATCGCAAGTTATTTTTTACCGTATTATTTTCTTGGCTAAAAAATTACAGTTTTTATCATATCTTTGTAGTCGTATGGAAACGGTATCGGATTTCAAATCTACTTTGGAAGCATTTCATTCATTCCGTAAAAAATCTAGGAGATGTTGTGATCAATATTTCATTAAGAGAATATACAGGAACGTTATTTTTTTATTTTGAGCTGCTGGAGAATATGTGCCTGCTACAACTATTTGTTGGAGACGAGTTAAAAATAGGAATCCCATGTGGTCAAATTGTTAGTTGTAATGTAACAGGGACTACAGCCCTGCTCCAGTTTAAAGAGGATTTTTTCATAGAAAAATGCACTATACACTTTTATGGGAAGGACCAAGTATGTATGTTTGAAAAGAAATTCCCCAAAATTAAAAGACCGGAACCTGAACTCCACCAAGAAGTGTAAGAGAAACCAAACAAACTAGTATTTTTCTGACATTTTATTTTGCAGATCATCTGATTCTCATTTTAATGACTCGGGAACCGAAAAAATAAACAACTTATTGAATAACTCCTTCAGTTCTTCCGAAGTAGCAGCACATGATGATATGGAATGAAACAACAGGATATGAATAAATGCTTTCATGCAATTATTGTCTCATATATATTAATAAATTCTTTGTTTATTTTGTCTCTTTGGTTGTTGCTTTATCAAACCTATGTTTTCTAAAGTTTATAAAGCGAAAAGAAACGAATGCTGGTAATTATGCAGAGCATAGCCCTTTTCTTGGAAACTATAGTGAACTGTGTGTTCTCCATTCAATTAGTTCTTTTTTTAATACAAACAGACCAAGACGCCTTGACATTAACCTTTTTAAATCCATATACCTTCAAAATCTTTAAAAAGTGTTGCCTGCTGATAACAAGCCCATAGTTTTGCTTCTGTAAATATACCTTTGAAAACAAGGTCAAAATCCTTAAAACACAAAGTGTTCTGGAGAGGCCTAATTACTTGTAGTAATTACCTATTTTTGTTTTCTAAAATTTTGGAAATGCAGTTTTCGGAACTAATTGTTATTAAATAGTGCTGACTTACGACTATTTGTTGCAACTTAAATGTTTTTTTTTTCGTTTGCTTCCCCTCCCCTGGAAACAGCAACAATTCATCCGCAAAAACTATATTTTAGGTATTTACTTATTGTAACAAAAATAACTATTTTTGACGTTATAAATACATGATTCTAATAAAGAACTTAAAAAAATCCCTACTCAAAAAACTGTAACATTTTTTTTTAAGCTTTTCATAATCTGCATTAAATAAACTTTCGTAATTTTTCAATTAACTATTTCAATTGTGTGCACTATTAAGTCGCACATGTTTTGTAACAAACAAGCTGATACACGATACTCCCGACATTCATTTTTGGGTCTCAGAGGCGTTTCTTCTTCACAAAATAAGCCTACAGTTTTTTATTATATTCAAACAACAGGACTGGAACTGCTTATTCCATATGTCATATTAGGTAAAATAAATGTAAAGCACACCAAAAGTTGCGTTTGTTGCTACATTTTGAGAAAGACAAGCTATAAATTGATGCAGCTACGCCACTGCTTGACCCTTGTTGAACGGCCTCTGCAAGATCGTGCAAGGCATGTCTTCTAAGAATAACGTCACTAATGCGATCCAAGACATGTGAGCCGTATATCATGTCCCCTTCTCAGCGTTTTGCTCTTTTTATCCAGACACTTAACTATTATTCATCGTGCGCTCTCCCCTACAATAGATGCCAGTCTTCGTCATGTCTTTAAGAACTTAAGACGTTAAGATGAATTTAAATCCATATCGAGAAGAAAATGAAAATGTGACAGTTTTTGATAACTTTACAAATAATTTTAATGGAACGACTTCTCAAGAGCAAACCCAAGAGTGGATTGTCGCCGCTTATTTTGCTTTGCAAGCCTGCGGCGGTGTTCTAAACGTGCTTCATATTTTAGCATTAATAAGAAGCAGGAGAAATGGTAATAATTTATATTTTCCCACTTGACTGCTCAATAATTTAGACGCCACTGATTTAAAAATCTGCCAGAAATTAATTATTGTCAGTAATAAATAACCAATCCATTTTAGGTATTTTATCGCTAATCCTACAAATTTCATTAGTCGACTTGGGCTCTCTGTACGTGGGAGTAACCGAAATCCTGACTCTACGCCACCAAAGTTGGTATTTGTCCCCGGAATTTTGCCCCTTTTTCAAAGGAACCGAAGTGCTTGTGAACACTCTAACAATTTATTTAATAATTTGCTTTAATTTTCACGTGATTTCCCTCTGGAATTTGCACGAAATTCAAGGAAAGAAAACCAACAAGAATCCGCTCACATCGTGCGACAAAGACGACTCCAATGAATGCCTCGTCGCCAAACAAGAAAATGCAAATCGTTTAGTGACTATTGATTACAGCAAACGCAAAGACGACGTCTCGATTGTTTTCCCGATAATTTTCGTATGGATCGTGAGTTTGTCTTTGAGTGTTCCTAATTTTACCCTGTCGTCGACACTCAAACTGAAGCAAAATTACACGCTCTGTGCGGTTATAGACTCGTATTATGGACAAGTTTTGCAACACTCGCTTGTGATTTTTAAAATAGCCTTACCGGTGTTGTTACTCTTTTTGTCTCTTATTATTTTAACGATCAAACTGACGCAAACCTCAACAAGCGATATTGAAAATGTGTTAACCAAGAAAATGTGCGAAATCCGAAAACTTTTGATTTTTGGAATAGTTATAACTATTGCCTACTTTTTGACTTCGTTTCAAAGACAATTTTTGCATTTTATTCACGTGATTTCGCACACGTTTGCGAAAAACACAGTCAATAATTTTAAAATGCCCCCACTGTACAACAGTTATTTGAATAAGACAAACATCACTTACCTTGCAATGTTACACTATTTTGGTTGTTCTCTTCGAAGTCTCTTATGTCTTGCGTTGTTACCGAAATTTCCGTATTTAGTTAGAAGTAAGATTTTGATTTGTTATAAAATAAAAGAGTGAAATAAAAAATTAAGAACTGTTGTAATTAGTTTGTAAAGGTACAACAACATATTTAATATCGTGGTTTTGTGTTTTTCTTAAGACATCAGCAGCATGTTGGAGTTGCAAAGCACAGTCAGGATGGGCGCTTCCGGGAAGGTGCATGCACTCCTGTTCAAAAATGTAAGCCAAACCGTTCAAAAGGTCCAAGAAGCCAAGCGAAATCGCGGCCTTCCGAAGTCGATTCAACTCCTAATAAATTATAAACAAAAAAAATAACCCAAGAAGTCGGATTACCTTATAAAACTGCTGAGTCTTTTCTGGTAGCTTCCGGGCATGCCTCAGAATCTTCTGTATGTCGCTCTGAAGCCCCGCTTGCCTAATCCACACCACCCCATTTTGGGAGTAACTCCTTTTTTCCTGCGGACGCACCGGAAAGGCCCCCATGTGTTCCTGGGGCGAGTCTATCGGTCCCAAATTATTCAAGTCGCCCAACCACGGAACAACATCCGATCCGGGCGTCAGAATCGTCAACATCAAGTTCGATTTTTTCTTCGAATCGGCCCAAGAATAGACAAAACCGAACCAATTATCGGCCAGTGTCACCAGCGCTGCCATATTTTCAACCTTAAGTGCTCCATGCAAAAGGACGCAAAATGAAGGCACTTTGCCTTCGTCTGTAGCGTCGTCGTCTGTTAAGTCAATTTCGGCCGATAATGGTAGATGGTCTTTGTTGGCACTGGCGGAGAGGACTAAATGGCGACTTACGGCCATTGGGGATCCCACATCGCTTACAGAAATAAAACCGCAAACCTCGATGAGGTCTGATAAATTATAGGTTTGGTAATCGAAATCGGTGACTTTTGTGTATGGCTAAAATGGGGCTTTTGACTCTTGGTTACGCATGCTATCTTGTACTCACTACAGGTGCCGGGGATAGAATTATTTTCGACTCAAGGTTGCCACATTTTAGGGTGCCTTTAAATGAGGTGTACATGTCTTCGGCTAATTTTTGAAACATGTTGACCACTGTGGTCTCATTTAATGGACCGTCGGGGATTGAAATGGAACCGTCGTAACCAGTCAAATCGACCAATCTCTGATATAGAGACTTTGCTGCAATTTTATGATTGTGATAATTTTAATAAAACTCAAAAATATTTAAGTCGTACATTTTACCAAGTTGGGATCATTCGGAGGCGCTATGCAAACGATATGAAGTTTGGCAGGGAACGAAAATGGTACAGGAAATGGGTTTGCTGCCGTTCGTTGGTTCAAAGTAGCGAAAGACTCTTTCAAAGACATTGGACCTAAACCGGTGCTTCCATCAGTAATTAGTATTATCTAAAAATAGCCAATTTGACATAACTCGAATTCCTTTAGACGCCACGGGAGCTTATATTTAGTTAATAAGTTTAAAAGTATGTATACCTGACATGCTGTATTATTTCCCCATTCGCCTAAAACCATCTGATTAACGCCATGAAGGGCCGTTTCGATGCATGTTTTATCGTAGTCGTCAGTGTTGAGAAGCTCGTTTTTAATTAGACTGTAATCTCTGGTAAAGGCACATTTTTCTTCATAAAGTGAAGAAAATGCCATCTGAAATTAATTAATGATTGTTGAATCGACCCAAAAATTACAATCTTTAGTTGAAAGAATAACACTTTCAGATATAGTTTTTGTATTAATTTAAAAAGTAATAGTAATAGTAACTGTTCTTAAAAAAAGCATATCGTATTGTTTATTGTAATTCCATTCGTAACTCAAAGGCATCATCATGAATAAAAAATTATTGGGATTATAGAAACATTTTAAAATTATTATGTGAATAGGTGCGAGCCGCTGTAACTTTCACATCACATAGCTGCGAGATCCATCTAACTTTTAGTTCTTTTTTGTATATAAATATCACAGTCTCCGCCCCAGTCTACCTACATAATTACATATACAGGGTGAATATAAAGTATGGAACCAAGCGGTTTTATTTTTAATCATTTGCCTCCAGAAAATAATAATTAATATAAATTAAAGTAATATAAAAAATGTGATCGTATTTTCAGAACGAAATTTTGTTTTGTTTTTGAGTTATGCGACTTTTTTTGTCAAAATTGCAATTTATGTAAAAATATTTTTTTGAAAAATTAAATATAAAGCAGATAGTTGTAATTCTTAGAGTATAGCTTTTATGAGAAAAATAATTTTATAGAGGGTTGCCATTTAAAAAAATATTTTTTTTTGTAGAACTCAAAAACAAAAGGAAATTTCGAAAAATTTTATTCTTGTTAAATCATCACATTTTTATAGTACTTTATCACTCATAAATTAGTTTTTTCAAAAAATAAATAGTTTTAAGCAAAAAACGTTTGGTTCCATACTTTTTATTCACCTGGTATGTAAATAAAAGACGGGCTCGGTGAATAGTCCATAACATAAAGATTGTTTTCTGACAAAATGATTTTATCAAATAATTCATAATTTGTCAAATAATTTATATTAATCATAAAATTTAGATCTAATTGGACTCCGAAATATAGAAAAAAAAAATTAACTGTATTTTGTGCTTTATTCCTTCATTAAAAATAAAAATAAGTACGACTCAATTGAAGAGATATCTTTATTACAATTACAATCAATAACGGTCTAATTACTTTATTACATAATTAAATACAAAACAATTTGCTTTGTTGGATCACCTGTTTGGACAAATAAATAAGTATAATTGCAAACTACATAAATTTCGACGTTATTTGCTGACAACAGCCGCTTGTGCCGCTTTCTTCGCCTTAACAGTCTCCACAAGTTCCTTATATCTCTTCATACATTCCTTCTTACTCCTGTTCGGAATACACTCGGCGATTCTATCCCACCGTTCCGGAGTTGAAGCAGGATAAGTTTTCAAAGCTTGCTCTAAAAGTTGTTGCTCTGTAGTGGTCCATGCCGAATCTTGCTTCGCCTTCACGTCACCGTTTGCAACTTTCTTGCTATCTCCATTCAGAGTAACTTCATCTAATTTTTTCGAAATACCGGACTCATCAACGTTCAAAACATTTCGCTTGTCTTTCTTGAAATTATCGAAGGCTTGTTTATTCGCAACTTCTTTCAAATTGTTTTTGGAAAAGTCGGTATTTTGTAAATCCTTCGCTTTCGCCAAGACCATCTTAGCATTGAATCTCGCACTTGAATTGAAACTGCCGTGTTGATTAATAAAATTTGCAACGACGTCCCACCTTTGGTTGGTACCAGCAGGGAAAAGGTTAACAGCTTTCACTAACAGTTGGATATTTTCCTGATTCCATTCGGGAACAACCTTCATGATAACTTCTTTATTATTATCGGCGTTTTTCTGTCTTGCGGCTTCAATTACTTCCTGTTTTTCTTTTTCAATCCGATCGTTCATTTCCTTTAAAGCTTCGACAAATGCCGATTTTCCTTTACTATTCAAATTCTTGTTCAAATCTTCCAGTTCCGCCAACGAAAACATCTCACAGATTGTCTCAACTCCTGTCATATTTGTTAAATTTTCTTCGGTATTTTCAGCGTAATAATTATTAGCTTTGCACAAATCCCTAAGTGCTTTCCTCTCTTTCTTCAGTGCCCTTTTCTGTGCTTCCCTTTCTTGACGTTTAGCTTCGATTCTTGCACGTTCTGCTGCTTCTGCTTGTTCCTTCAGTAGCTGAGCTTCTCTAAGAATTCTTTCTTCTTCTTCTTTCTTCGCTTGTGCGGCAGTTTGTTTCGCTCTTTTCGCTGCCAACTTCCTATCTTTTTCCTCTTGTTTAATTTTCGCAATTCTAGGGTCATTGTTGTAGGCTACATCGACTAAAGAGCGAATTCGTGACATTTCTTCTTTTTTCTTCCTAAGACGTTCGGCTTTGTTCAATTTATCGACATATCTTCGCTCGTCACGATCTTGACATTTTTCCTTATCTTCTTCATCTTCATAAGAGTATTCCCGCCAGGATTTGAAATCGTACCAAAATGAATAGAACTTCTCCACTTCTTCTCTACTTGAATCAGGACCCCCCAACTTAGGAACGTGGGGTTTTTCAGACCAACGCGAATTTAAATCAAAATAGTAACTAAAAGTGTCATAAAAATCTTTCTTTAAATCAGCCCCACTTGGAACATTGTTATCAAACTCAGGATCAACTGAATCGTAAGACCTTCTTTTAATTGGATTTCCTAGAGTCTCATACGCCATTGTTATGCAAGTAAAATAATCATCGTCGGCCTTTACTTCTTCTCCTAGAGCTTTCCGCTTATCAGGATGGTGTTTCAATACTTTTTTGCGATAAGCTGTTTTAATAATTTCCTCAGATGCTCTGTACCTCAATGTGGGAATTCCAAGGACTTTGTAATGGTCTTGACTCTTCCATTCCTTAGGATCTAAGCTTCTCAAGTATTCCACGTCGTCTTCATAAATAACAGTTTCAGGTTTGAGCTCTTCAGGGGTCTCCGCCTTTGGAACTTCAACTTTAAGTTTTCTAACTTTGTGAGGAACGAATTTTAATTGTTTTTCATTTCCGGTGGTTTCGAATACAAAACGGTAACGAACTGCGACCGTAGTACAGCCGTTTTTCGGTAATTTGACTTCACACATTGTGACCTAACCTCGTCACGTGTTGGACATAAATACGAATAGTAGTCTCGAAAAACGGTATATTAAACGTGAAATACGTACAGAATCTCTAGTAAAACTGTTATAAGTGAATTAGACCGGAGTTTCAGTTTTGTGGAATTTATCACACACTTAAAACACGGCACAAATTTTCCCGCATGGTTAACGTCAAAATCGAAAAGGAAGTTTTTGTGCTGTGATGTTGGCATTCTGAGCAAAAACAAGGTAGCCAACATAACACAAACAACATAACCTGTAATCATTTAAAATTTAATAAAAACTTACCAAAGAAATGAATTCAAGCTTAGAATGGACACTCAAATGATCCAGAAACGCATTAATGCCCAAAACTGCTAAATGCTTTCTTGTTTTCTCCAAATTTTCGGTAATTTGGACCGGCCTTGTCATAGATAAAGACACGTCTAAAAGTAACACTGTCGGCATTTTGGCCCAACAATTAAACACTAATTAGTTTAAATTAAAAACCACACATTTTTTATAAATTAAATTCGTTTTGTAAAATCATTTTGAAAATGTTTATATTGGTGGCCAGCTGACTAGACAACTGTCAAAACATAAAAAACAAAACTAAAATCCCTAAATAATTTAGAAATTTATTTTACAATTTTCCACGTTTTTTTAGTCACAGTGAGCCCCAATAATGTTTTTCATCATAGGTTTAGGTTTAGGGGACTGTAAAGACATTACAGTGAAAGGTTTGGAAATAATCAAAAAGTGTAATCGTGTTTATTTGGAAGCTTACACTTCTATTTTAACATGTGGGGCTGAAGCTTTGGTAATAAAAATTAATTAATGAAAATTGTAATGAATATTTTATACTTTAGGAGGAATTTTATGGCCGTAAATTAATCACAGCTGACAGAGATTTAGTGGAACAAGGAGCTGACGACATCCTTGAAGGTGCTGATAAGTCAGATGTTGCCCTCCTGGTTGTTGGTGATCCATTTGGGGCCACTACTCACACTGATTTAGTTTTAAGAGCCAAACAAAAAAATATTGAGATAGAAGTTGTACATAACGCCTCAATTTTAAATGCTGTAGGTTGTTGTGGTCTACAATTGTACAGTTTTGGGGAGACTGTTTCAATTCCTTACTGGACAGAAACATGGCAGCCTGACAGTTTTTTTGATAAAATACAGTCAAATTATAAAAATAAATTACACACTTTATGTCTATTGGACATAAAAGTTAAAGAACCAACTCTCGAAAGTCTAACTAAAAAGAAGAAAGAATATATGCCACCGCGTTTTATGTCTGTGGGGGAAGCAGCACAACAATTGGTACAAATATTAGAAAAGAAGAAGTCCGAGAATAATTTATTAAGTAGGTACAAAGTTTTTAAATTGTAAATTTGTTTAAAAATGCTTTTTTTAGTTACTGGAGAAAGTTTATGTGTAGGCTTAGCTAGAGTTGGCTCAAGGACTCAAAAAATTATTGCCTGTAGTCTCCAAGAAATGTGCTCAATTGATTTAGGTGGTCCTCTACATTCACTTATTATTGCAAGTCCTGAATTACACCCTCTTGAACTTGAATATTTAGAACAATTCAGTATCAAAGCGTAAATAAAAAGTTTTATTTTTATGTTGTTTTCATAAATACATCTACAAATCAGAAACATTTTGGCCTCAAAATAAAAAATGGCAGTGCAATAACTAAAAATACGTTTTTTATCAATGATTATGCAAACTACAATAGTGGCATAGTTTTGGGTTGCCTACCTACGTTAACTGTTTATTATTTAAATACTTACTTTTTGTAATTGAAATAAGCTCGGAAGTAAAGGATAATCAACATTTTTCGAATGTCTATAAATTATTTAAAAAATTGAAAAAAAAAAATGTTCATATTGTAAAGATTTTTTTTATTACGGTCATTACCACAATACAACATTCTAAACAATTTTTGGAGCAGAGCAAAGTTTATGAACTGAGCAAACAGTCTAAAAAAATCTCCTAAATTTATCTAAATTTATATTTGCTTCACAATTATCTTAGTTATTTTTGAATACAGCTGCCTCTTGTTAACCTTTCATTATAAAATTTAAGATAAATGATCTGTAAATATGTGTATAAGTTTTTTACTCGACAGTTCATATTTTATATAATTTTTTTTCTAGAAACCGAGCTAGAAACAAACTAGGAACAAGACTTCGTCGCTAGCTGGTCTGGTCTAAAAATCAATAGAATGACGCAGTAAAATTATTGATCTCAAGAAAAACTTTATTTCTTATTTACCCATTTTCTGTTTAAGATCATATAAAATACGTGTTATTAGTGTTTTTCTTTCAATTAGTGCCTCAAACAGTTGAAACCTTATTACGAAATAACAATATAAACTCAAGTGTTCCTATCTTGATGTCTACGTTTTATATTTAAATGAGTTTTACCGTATAATTTCGATCCTTAATCAGGGTGAATAATCCTTGATAATCGCTCTTTGCAAGGACAAATGCGTTTAGTTACTGTTTTATCGTAGACGGTGCGGTGCGACAAAGAAGAATCTTTCTAATTTTCTGTAATTATATAATAATTAGTTTTAAATAAAATTAAAATGCAAATGGCAACGTCGATAGAGACAGATACGGGAGAAATGATAGTTAAAAGAGTGAGTGTTCCTGTCGGACTAGAAGAATTAATGGAGGGTTTAACAAAAGAAGTTTTATTAAAAAAGCCGAAAGATATTTATCTCTTTGCTTCTGAGTACTTTGCCCATTTACTTAATCTTCGTGAAAAGGGATCTCTTAAAGGTAAAATATTTTGCACAAAAAGCCCTCTCTTCATTTTACTGAATTTCAGCAACACTTGGAAAAAGAGCTCAGTCTGTTACAAAACAAATTCCGGCAAATAATTTAGAAAAAAATTTAAAGACCAAGTCGAATTCGGTAGATGCGGTTAAAAATCTTTCAAGACAGTTTAGTTTACGATCAAATTCTTCTTCACACAAAACTTTGACTACGAAAAAAATGACGCTAGAAGACAAAAATGCAGAAAAAGCTAAGTCATTTCTCAATAAGCGCAAAGCACGCAAAGACTCTAAAGATAATTCTTCGACAAGTACTTCAAGTAGTAAACCACAAAGCAATGTTGAAAAAAGTGAGAAGAAAACTTCTCGTTTTAGAGATCGGTCTGTAAATAAAGATGAACAAAAAAAAACACCTCGCAAACGCAGTCAAGAAGGAATCAAACAAGAGAAATCTTCTAGTAAATCGAAGCTTGAAGAAAAAAATAAAGAAATGAGAAAACATGTTACAAAAACAAAGAATGAGGAATCATCGACAGAAAATAAAATTGAGGATATGAAAAAAGACGTCGAAATAATCGATAATAAAAATCAAGAAAAAAATAATTGTATCGGTTGTTCTATAGCATCTGAAAAGGCTACAGACATTGTTGCTATAAAAAACGATAATAAAATCGAGACCGCAAAAACAAGAATATTAAATGTAAATGAAGAAATAGAAACACCAAGTAATAATCAAACTGATAGTAACAATAATAAGGAAACCGATAACACAGTAAGTTCCATTGATGAGGTAGATAGTAATGATTTCAATAAAATTAGTGAAATAACCACCAATGAAGCAGAAGACAAGGAAAAGAAAAATAATATTGAAGGACAAGAAACTGAGATGAAAACTGAAAATTGTGTATTAAATAAGCAAGAATTGACTGATTCTCACAGTGAAGGAAGTAAAGAAAATTTAAATAAAACAACGGAAGAAGCAGAGAAAAATTCTTTGAATGCGATCTCATCTATAGAAAGTGAAGAAAAAAGTTTACAGCAAAATGAAAAACCAAACGAACAGATTCAAACACAAGAGATGAACAAAACAACATCAAAGTCAATCGATTCCCACAGTGAAAAAAACGACAGTGAAGAAAATTTAAACAAAGTAGCGAAAGAACTACTTTTAGAGGAAAAATCATTAAATACGATCTCATCTATAGAAAGTGAAGAAAAAAGTTTACAACAAAACGAAAAGCCAAAAGAACAAATTCAAACACAAGAGATGAACAAAACAAAACCAAAGTCAATAGATTCCCACGGTGAAGAAAACAACGAAAGTGAAGAAAATTTAAACAAAGCACCGAAAGAATTACTTTTAGAGGAAAAATCATTAAATACGATCTCATCTATAGAAAGTGAAGAAAAAAGTTTACAACAAAACGAAAAACCAAAAGAACAAATTCAAACACAAGAGATGAACAAAACAAAACCAAAGTCAATAGATTCCCACAGTAAAGAAAACAACGTAAGTGAAGAAAATTTAAACAAAGCATCCAAAGAAGAAGTAAATAAGAAATCTTTAAATATGATCTTACCTGCGGAATGTGAAGAAAGAAGTTTACAACGAAATGAAAAACCAAAAGAACAAATTCAAACACAAGAGATGAACAAAACAACATCAAAGTCAATCGATTCCCACAGTGAAGAAAACAACGACAATGAAGAAAATTTAAACAAAGCACCGAAAGAATTACTTTTAGAGCAAAAACCTTTAAATACGATCTCATCTATAGAAAGTGAAGATAAGAGTTTACAACAGAACGAAAAAGCAAAAGAACAAATTCAAACACACGACATGAACAAAACAACATCAAAGTCGATGGATTCCCATAGTGAAGAAAACAACGAAAGTGAAGAAAATTTAAACAAAGCACCGAAAGAATTACTTTTAGAGGAAAAATCTTTAAATACGATCTCATCTATAGAAAGTGAAGAAAAAAGTTTACAACAAAACGAAAAACCAAGGGAACAAATTCAAACACAAGAGATGAACAAAACAACATCAAAGACAATAGATTCCCCCAGTGAACAAAACAACGTAAGAGAAGAAAATTTAAACAAAGCACCGAAAGAAAAAGTGAAGGAAAAATCTTTGAGTACGATCTCATCTATAGATGAAAATGATAAAAAAAATAAAGAAAAAAGTTTACAACAAAATGAAAAACTAACTGAACAAATGCAAACACAAGACATGAATAAAACAATAATAAATAAATTTGATTCTGCTAAAGAAGATTTAACTACGGATTTAGAAACTGTAAATAAAGAGCAAATAAACACACAACTATCCGACAAAATAACTAATAAAATTGCAAATCAGGAAAAAGATATAAGCAATAAAACTGAAATAAAAAATGATGAAGTAAATATAGATGATGTAGGGAATACGAGTGATAAAAATAAAACATTTACTAAAAAAACAAAGGATTATGATAACAATAAGACTGACATGGATACTAAAAGTTCAAGCAAAGCTAATTATGAAACTGATAAGAAAGAAAATATGAAAAAGCCAACAAAAGAAAAAGAAATTTTATCCGACAAAGTCACAAAAGAACGTACCAATCATCAGGAAAAAGATAAAACCAATGAAACTGAAACAAAAAGTGACAAAGTAAATAAAATAGACCGTAAAGGAAATACGAGAGATAAAAACAACGCATCTCCTGAAGAAGCAGTGAATTCTAATGTCAAGTATTCTACAAGTTCTAATAAAGATCTGGATAAAATGGATAACAAAGAAAATGAAAAAATATCCGTCGAAAGTAATAATGAAGATGCAAATAAAAATCAGGAATTTAAAGAAAAAACAGACACTAATAATACAACACAAGCAAAGGAAGAAAAAGTGTCAACCAAAAACGGAGATGTGCAAGAAATGACAAAAGAAAATAAAAGTAATAAAGAAGAACAAAAAATTGTCAAATCAAAAGACAATATTAAAATCAAAAACAGCAAATCAAAATCTCTTTCACAAGAAAACTTAAAAACTAAGGACGAAAAGGCGATTCGAAATGTGAAACGAATTAAATCAGTAGATTTAATAAATAAAAATCAATTAGAAGCAACAAAATCAAAAACATTTGTAAAAACAAATAAACAACAAAATGAAAAACTTAATCATAAAACTACGAAAGATTTAATTGTTGCTGCAGATAACAAAAATGTGAGAATAAGAAGATCTACATCAGCTGATGTAAAAGAAACAAATTTGAGTAAAACTGCTAAACAGACAAGTTTCGATTCATCCAAGCTTCGTGAAGAACTGAAACAAGTTGACGAAATAAGCAAAGTGACTACTTTTAAAACAAGTTATAATCCTTATATATTAAGACAAGAAATTAAACAAGTATCTCAAAGTCAGAAGTCTGAAGAGGCAAATGTGTTTGAAAAAATTGCTACCGACGTTGCTGCAGCAATAAGAATACAATCAGTATGGAGAGGATTTATTGTAAGAAAACGGACAAAAAAATTACAGAGTAATAGTGAAAATGAAGACGACACCACGGTTGTGGAAGAAATTAAACAAGCAATTGACAAAAGTAAGTTTGAAGAAAAAAGTGGTGGATTTAAAGATATTGCTAAAGATGTAGCTGCTGCTATAAGAATTCAGGCAGTGTGGAGAGGATTTCTAGTAAGAAAGAAGAACAATAAACTATTTCAATCTGTCATAGACTGTCAAGAAGATGAGACTAAAGCGGATAAAGAAGAACATGAACAAATAGAGAAGAAAAATCTTAAAGAAACATCTGAAAAAATTAAACCTCAAAACACGGAAACTCCAGGAAATGACAGTGGATTTGAAAATATTGCTAAAGATGTTACTGCAGCAATAAAAATTCAGTCAATGTGGAAAAAATTTCTTTCAAGAAAAAGAAATAAAAATTTGCATCAACTTGTTGAAAATCACGAAAAAGATGCCATTAAAGCGGTCGAGACTAACAAAGAAATAGAGAAAAAAATTGTCAAACACACATCTGATCAAAATAAAATCGAGGACAAAAGTAATAAGTTAGAAAACATCGTTAAGGATGTTGCAGCAGCAATAAAAATACAATCGATATGGAGAGGATTTCGAGTGAGAAAAAAAACAGAAACATCTGATAACAGCGTTACATGGGATGAAAACAAGTCTAAGGAAATAGGGGATAAAAAAATGGAAAACAGAAGAGAAAAATTAGATCCGAATATTGAAACTAATAACGTCCAACAAAATAATACAGACAAAGACATTTCTGAAAATGATAAAGAAAAGGAAAATATAACCAAAAGTGGAGTTGACGATGAGAAAAACATTATAACTTCTGTGGGAAGGGAAGAAAAGCTGGAAACTAATAAAGTAGAGAAAAGTGAAAACAAAAGTGAAGACGATGAAAAAGTGGACAAAGTTACCAATTTGGAATTGGATATCACTGAAAAAAATAAAGCTACAGAATTTAAAAACAAATCCGATGACAGTAAAACCTCTAGTTCAGGAAAGGTAGGCAACAATAAAACAATGAAAAATGTTGAAAGAACAGATTTGGAAAGTCATAATAATACAGAACCCATAGCAAAAATCAATGTTGAAAATGCTTCAAAACAAACACAAATAAAGAACATAAATAAAAATGCAACACATAAAAAGGACACGAGCAAAGGAGAGCTAACAGACAAAATAAAATTAACCGACTTGGATACTTCTTCCTTGGAAAAAGAGTCAATGTCAAATCAAAAAGATCAAAAAAAACCTAAACAAGAAAATGAAAAAATTGCGAAAAAGGAAGATAAAACGGAAGAACAAGAAGAAACGAAATCAGAAAATAAGACTATACAAAATATTGAAAAACAAAACAAAAAAGAAACTATTGATAATGTAACAGAAGATAAAAAGCAAGAAACAAATAATCAAATCAAGCAAGAAAAAGAAACGGTCCAGAAAGCTCAGACGCAACTGAACGAAAATATTGCTGTTGAGAAGAATAGTAAAATAAATTTGTCACAAGAAAGAGAAAATATCGAAGATCAAAATACTCAACCTTTGAGCGAGATAGAAGTACAAGATACGGCAAATACAGTACAAAATAAAAACAACACCAATTGGTCTTCTACTGAGAAAGATGTAGAAGAAGCAATGAGTAGTACTGTTAATGATGCCAAGAAAGAAACCAAAGAAGATAAAAAAGAAAGTTCACTAATAAATAAAGATAAAACAGAACAAGATGATAGAAAAGAAAAAGAATATTCTGTTGAAATCGAAAAGTTTAATGTCAAAAACGGAAGAATTAAACCGGAGAATGATAAAAAAAGTGCCTCCTCTGAGAAAAATTTAAAACGATTAGATGATGCAGATGTTAGAAATCAAGAAACACAAAATTTTGCCGAAAAAGAAGAAGATACAAATGACATAAATGAAACAAAAAATAATACAACAAAATTAACTGGTGAAAATGGTATTGATAATATACGTGAAAATTTATTGCAGTCTACTAATAATAACGTTCCAGAGGAAGATAATAAAACCGATTCTAAAATAAAATCAAATAAAGAAAGAAATGAAGAAAAAATCAAAAAAGTGACAGAAAACATCTCTGATGAAATACAAACTGTTAGAAGTGATGAAAAAAATGTAGGAAGTTCCAAAAACAGTAAAGACGAAAATGATGTAAATATAGAAAACAAGAAAATTAACGACAAACGAGAAAATCAAGACATAAACAGCAATTCAGAACAAAACGAATCGAAATCTATTAAAACAGAAACAGAAATTTCAAAAATTGAAAACAATGAAGAATTAAGCAGCAAGTCTCAAAACCAAAGTGCTTTCAACAATTTGGAAAAGCTCATTAAGAACAAAAATAGAAAAAGCGAAAAAACCATATCTAATGAAAAAATAAACGAAATACAACAAAACCAAAAACCAGACAAAGAAACAAAAATTGAACGCGAGTCACAAGAGGAATTACTAATTAGTAAGAAGATAACCACCCCTGAAAAAAAAAGTACAAAAAAGTTAGAGAGTGAAGAGACGAGAAAACCGATATCTCTAGCTGATGCTGTTTTAAAAATCCAAGCTGTATGGCGTGGTTTTAGAGTTAGAAAGCAATTTGAAAAAGTTTTTGGAACTTCCGTTAAAGAGGAGGTGAAAAACAAAGAAGAATTGGAAGTCAGAAAGATGGATAAAAATAAAGCTGTATCAAAAATTCAAGCTCTGTGGAGAGGTTACAAAGTACGAAAAGGTATCAGAGAGTTCGATAAGAAGGTAAGATGTTTAATTATTGTTTATTAAATATTTAATACAAACAAGCAACTTTGTATTTTAGTTATCGGAGCAACAACAACCGGCAGAATGTGATGAACTTCCTTGGCATCGAGGATTAAGCGAAGACGCTATTTTTAAGGCCGCTTCCAAAATTCAAGCCGGTGTAAGAGGATACATGATTCGTAAAAAAGGAACCCACAATAAGGGTACATTGAAGAGTATTACTGAAGAACCTACAGACGAAAACCTGTCCGATGAACAAGTTTTAGAAGCGTTGAATAGTTTACAAGAAATTCCCGAAGAACTTCCTATTATAAAAACAGAAAAAAATCCAGAAAAGTCTGTTTCACTCACAAGTGAATCCAACAAACCTAATCAGTCACGACCAATTTTAAATAAAAATGAACTTGGCAGCAACCTAGAAAAACCGAAAGAATCAATTAAAGCTACAACAGGAAACGAAATTTCTAAAAATAATACAACTGAATCCAAAGAAGATAATAAAACCACCGAAAACGATGTTGAATTTATTGCTGGGGAATTAAACTCTTCCACTACAAATAAACTCTCCAATTCAAATTCCGCTCCGTTAATTGATGATTCTATTTCTAATGGTGTTGTAAACAAAGACGAAGTTGACCCAATTTCACGTGAAGAACCTGGATATGAAGATGCACCCACGCGTCCTGCAACATCTAATAAAGCAGAAGATGATAAAGAAAATAAACAGACTGGTAAAAACGCTGTAAAAGTGGAACCTGAACGATTTTTAAGTCAAAAGTCAACAAATTCTGGCGATTCTATTGCGACAGTAATTCGTAATGACGATCCAAAATCTACATCAGAAGAAATGGCCACCAAAAAAGAATCTTCTAATAAATCTAATCAAAAATTATCAGAAGATAAAGCTGAAGCTCTTTTAAATGCAGTAGAGGATGAAGAAGCAAAAACTCTTGATATTAATGCCGAAATTGCTAAAATGAGCAAATCGGTTTTGGAAGAAGAAATTGAAAACTACAACAAACATCTACAAGAAATGGCCGCTAAGAACTACGAAGAGTTTATTGATACTCGTACTGCTAAAAACCAATCAAATGATGTAACTAATAATAAACTCAAAAGTGAACTTAAAAACAACGACATAAATAATAAATTAAATAAGGCATCTCTAGAAACTGAAATCGAAAAGTTTAGCAAACATTTGCAAAAGGAAACAACGGAAAAAAAGGATATCAGTACTGAAACTAAATCTGAAAAACATGAAGAAAATCCGGCAGTAAACAATACTAAAACAGAAAAAGAAATTCTTCGTGTTCACATTCCTTTGAGAGAATTATCCGATATTAAAGAAGAAGATGCAGATGATAAATCTCCAATGGATACAAGCAAAAATTTGGAAATTGAAAAAGAAGAAAAAACTTCGCAAACTTCTCAGAAATCTTCAACCACAACAATCAGCCTAGTTCACAGTGGAGAGCTCCACGACGCCATCGCCGTACCCATTCCTGTAACTCCCCCAACTCGAGCATCCCCTGAAGGAGGTAAAGCTCAACAAACAGGTCAAACATCGCCCCAAGGTCTAGTAAATACAGGAGAACTCCACGATAACGTTGTCCCTTTATCAGTTCAGCTAAACGAAGCTCCACCAGGTCAAGTATTTGTTATAATAGTAAGTGGTTTTCACCAAACGTTCATTAGTCAGCACGAAATCATTTTATTATTCTTAATATCAGAAAACACACAAACCGTATATCTTTCAACAATTTCGCTTAATTGCCAACCTCCATTACGTCTGTGTTATTTGAAGGAAACAGATTTCTGGCATGACACAAATAAAACAAGACTAAAAATAAAATATGTTATCCAGTGTGAGATCTTCGGGTACAAGAGAACACTTCACCATTAGTAAAAATAGACAATTTCATTTTTGTGCCTTTACTATCGTCATTTTTTACGTCATTTGTCAAGTAAGAATATATTTTCACAAGATTATTAATAGCCATAAACCTCCCACAAATATTTTAATTAAAAAGAAAGTCGTAACATCAGCGCCTAATATCCAAGATATTGGATCAACATCATGTTCTTGATTTATAACTAGTTTAATATTTTATTAAAATAGATAAGATTAAATCAAATTAATTTCCTACACACGATAAGCCACTTGAACTTATAACCACAAATACAGCATATATTATTAATTTATTTGTTTATTCTAAATAAAACTTTATTAAAGTTGTTTTTGTCAGTTTTATCAGTCCGATTGTGAGTGACTAACAAAGAGGCGAGCGATGATTAAACTCAAATTTTTCCGACGTAAACCAATGCTGAAAATTTTGTTAGAAATTAATTAAAAGTTCTAGTAATTCTAGTAAAAACGCTAAATTATAATTTATGAAAAAATTCTGACCGCAGAGGCCAAAACTGGTCTTTACACTCATATGATTTATGGCTCAATTTTAAAAACATTTAATCAATTGTTGCTCTGACTCTCTGACGTTGCTTTCTAAAATTACGCAGCGCGCGCCTAGTCGCTAATTTCCACATCCAGGAAGTGGCGACTTCATGCACCTCATCTCAAAATTGTCAAATAATCTTAAAACACTTGGGTGTCTCGACATTTAGCAGGTGCTGAGGTCCTGACGTCACACGTGTCCAATTCAATCACCACCGAGGCGCAAGCGTCAAATAAAGACGCCTCAACATGTGAGACTCAGCCAGACAAGACAACGCCGTCGTCAGATAGTATGGAAACAGAGAAACGAAACAACGCATCTATACAGAAGAAAAGCATGGAAGCTGAAGCCGCCACCAAGATTCAAGCCGGATTCCGGGGCTATCAAGTACGGAAGCAACTGAAAAACAAGGTAAAATAGCAATTTTTTAATTAAGTTTAATTGAACGAAACTACTAAAAATAATTGGACTCTAATTTGTAAACGAAAGTATTTTTGTACTTTTATTTGAAGAATTGGTCGCGTTTGTGTTTGTTGCCACGTTTTACGGCTTTTTTACGGCGCTGGTCTTGAAAAATCTAAATTAATTTTATTTATTTAGGATTGTTCTGACATTAGAAATGTATTAGCCAATTCGTTTAAATTATCTAAATTTATTTTGTGCGAGCTAAACAATCTTTTTTTGTGTAATTTATGTAAATGTGTCTTCTGTTAAGAGTTTTCGTCAAATTCTTAGTATTACTATTCAAATATTATTATCGCAAAAAATAATAATTTTATAATTTGTGGTTAATTTAGAGCAGTAACTAGATGATTTATTTATTTTTTGTATACACAAGTATTGAAATTACCTATTTCTTTGCATCTACAATTTTATACTTTTTATGATTTAGAAAATGCCTAAAAAACAAACAATTAAAATTGTCATAAAAGTTTTAAAATAATTTAAATATGTTAAAGCGTTTAGATACAAGAAATGAGTTCTATTTTTGTAATGTGCAAAATCATGAATAATTTTCACAATACCTTTAACTAAATTACAGTTTGTCCATACATCTTCTTAATATTTGCATTTTTCAGAAAAGTTATGAGAAAATCTTCAGGTGACCGAATGATGAGTGAATTATAATGAATAAATAGAAAAAAATCATATTTTGAACAGTTGTGTTTATTAAAAGAAACAATGTAACCTACTGGAAAATTTTAACAGATACTCTCGAAATAAATGATTGCATCGTTAAATTATGTTTTCGAATACACATGTTTTATCTCCCTCAGCCAATGTTGTTTTAAAATCTTTGATTTACTAATTTACTTAAACCTTTAATAAATTTAAAACGTATGGTGTGTATGAAAAGCGAAAAACAATAAAAGTGTCACACGGATTTGTTGACATGATGGAACATGTACTTATAGTAAAATAAACTCGTAGTATGAATTTATTACCAAAATATGAATATTTTCTTAATGATTCACACAATAAAATATGCAAAAGCTTTCTTTGCAGTATTAATAATTAATTATTAAAATGATTTCACATTCTTACATCATTATCTGCTGCTTTTATAATTAGTTGTTGCTGTTTTTCAAGTGCTTCTTACGGGTACATCTTATATTTATCTGTCTTCTTTGCCAAGAACATAATTCATTTTCTTAAATTAAATTGTTTACAACGTCAATAATTAGACACAAATCAAAAGGCCTCGAAATTAGTAAATAGGTTTAATAAATAACACAACGCTTCACATAAATCAATTCGGGTTAAAAAATATTGCAACTAATTTGTTCATTGCTAAAGCAATAAAATGGAAAATTCGAACCATCCAAAGTGATGGGCAATTATTGCGTACTTTTGCCTTCAAAAAATAATAATTAATAAAAATAAGAGTGCTATAAAAATGTGAAATTTTTATATATTTTTCCGATAAAAATTGAATAAAACAAACAATAAAAACAATACTGAAATTACAGCTTTAGTTTAAAAAAAGGATTTTATAGTGAGTTGCCATTTAAAAATATTAAAAATTTGCGAAACTCGAAAACCAAAAAAAATTTCAAAAACGTGATAATTATTTTTTTGGAATGTAATTAGTTTATGGAAAAACGCTTGGATTGCTACTTTTTGCTCACCATGTATGTGCAAGATTTAGTCGGATTAGTTGAACCATTGTTTCCAGTTAACGAACTATCTCGTGACAGCATTTATCTGCAAGTTTTAGAGTAAATTTTTACGTCGGAGCAAAAATGTTGCATTTTTACCGCTAGTATGCTGCATTTTTTGGACGTGACCCAAAAAGAAGATCATAAGTCATGCCAAAACACATGGAATTCGTTCTACGTTCGAAAAAAACAAAAAACTCAGGCCTGTTTGCGTCCTTTACAAATTGCTGTCGATTAATACCGAATTATAAATAGATCGATAAATTCCTTGATAAACAATCGCTTTAATTAGGGCACATGTGTGAATGTGGGTTAAGAGCATATTGCCCTTCCAGATCAGCGCTCCCGGAGACATTTCCAACCAGCGCCGCTCCGCCCGCCGTAAGAGTTCCGGGAGATTGACGGATTCCGGAAGGATAACACAAAACAAATCAAAATCACCATCAGACATTGAAGAGAAATCCGCCGTGAAGATCCAAGCCGGCGTTCGCGGCTTTTTGGTGCGTAGACGACAGAAGAAGCAAAACCAAGGGAAGGAGTCATCGTAAAGTTCACGAAAATAGCACACCGCTTTTTAGCTGGCCGTTTCACCATCACGACCATGAAAAACTGGTGCAAGTTCATTCATATAAATATTTCCACAATATAAATGATGTGATTTCGTTTATTTGTAATTGCAGGCTATTTTCGTTTAGTATTAACCTCAATTTGATATTTTTCGGTTCGGTAGCATTTCTAAAAATGGATTCAGAAGGATCATCAGCCGTCCATTACTGATTTGAAAGCACTCAAAATACATAATAAACAACACTATTTGTAAAGCTAGTAGACTTGTATGTTATGATTCCAGTAATATTTATAATATTTAAGCACTTTCCAAATAATGACGTATAATTAGCGATGATGAATGAGTGTACACAAACTTTAGTTTTATCCAAAAATAACTTTATTTTGAATTAACTATGTCTCATCGGATATTTCTTTGGCTAGTAAGGAAGTCACTTTTTATAAAAACGGTATTAGTTTTACTGAGACAAGGACGAGGATATCAAGATATTCGCAAGAAAATGTGTTATTGAATGTAGTACAGTTGGAAAGGACAGAAAATAAACTCTTTGTAGTTGTTGACACACTACTATTTATTACCTAATTAAAATTAAAAACTTGTATTTATTTGCTTTCTGGTCTGGAATTATTTAAATTGGAATAAACTTAGATGTGTACAACTTATTCATCTGTTTATTGTTAATGTTTAGATTACTAAATACAAGATTCTGTATTTATATTTTCTTAAGTTAAGTCTAATAAAAAATGCAAAAATTAGTCATATTTTCTTATTGTGGGCAGGCATAACTTAATATTTAGCAAACCCTAAGGGTTAAACAAGGATACAATAACACTGATTTTGCGAAATAGATAAAGTCATAATGAATGTTAAATAGATAAACAAAAAAATAATTTTGAAAACTGAAATTTTGTGTAACTTTTACTTTAAAACCTATGGAAAAACATTTATTATACAGGAGTAAAGTAGGTAATTGTTACACTTAGTACCCGTGATACAAAACATTTTCGTTGTCAAATATTTGAAACTACATATTCGTTTAACTACGTTTTCTGTAAAATAAAGAAATTATAAGAAGGCTCCCAAAAGCCATTAAACTAAATCTACTTTTTTGTTGTTACTTCTCAACTATTTTTTGGATAAAAGTCTACGTTTTGAATGAACCAATTATTTCTTTCTGACACAGTTATTGTGTTAACATTTGATTTTTTTAGTAGGTGTCACACCAAAAAAATATTTGGATATTCTAAAACATAAGTAAGAAAAATAAGCAACAAAAAAATAAAAAATTGAACCCATGTGTAGTTACATTGATATGTACATTGATAAAAAAATGTAAACGATTTATTTATCCCGAATTATTTTTAATGTGCTTTTGTATTACTGGTTTTCTATATATTGTTAACATCTGCAGTAAATAATTATAAAGTTTATAGTAACGTGAACAAAAATATAGAAAAATAATAAAACAGTAAGTATATGTATTCGTTTTTATAGGCAAAAAATCAAAAATAGGTATAACAAATAAAAATAATGTGAATTTGTCCTATGAACAATTGTTTAAAAACGCTTTCTTACCCGAGAAAAATGGTGCCAACATTTTTTCACCCAATATACTGATTGCGTCGAAATTGGTACAAAATAATAGTCGTCAGTCACCTAGTGTGCTTGCAAAATTTAGAACTCGTGACTCTCCCTGTTTAGGAGATATTAAGAACAGATGGGAACAAATTTCAAATTTTGGCATCATTCACCTCTGGTCGGTAAGAAAGCGGTAAAAAAACGTTTTTGAATAATTGCTCATAGAAAAAATTCACGTTTTACACTATTCCTGAATTTTCGCCGGTAAAAACAGGACCACGCTGTATTCTTCGTAAAAAAGTTAAAAAGTGACACCCATTTATATGCGAGTTGCTAAAAGTTTACTCGTATGTTACAAAGGTAAAAAAAATATTTTTTCATCAGTGTCAAGCAAAGAATCAGATATTTAAACCGGATATAGTTCTGAAGCTTGTCCAAATTGCAAGTATTGGGCCTATCACGTAATTATAAACAACATTTTTATGACTCTGAAAAAAATCATGTGATTTCGTCAAATCGGTTTCTGTTTTCGTACCTCAGAAATGATTTTTAAAATACCTCCAACGCAAATTATTGTCAAATGCAACAGTGCAGAAAGTTGCATCATTCTAGCAAATAAAAATATATTTTAATCGTTTCTAATAATTTTTATTAAGAATGGATATTGCACAAACATAACTAAATATAAAATTTATGGAAGAATTTTATCAAAATTTAATGTAACTGATTTGCTTTCTTGTGTAATAACTGTAATAATTAGTTCAATTATAAAGAGTGTTTTCTCATTGGGTAACAATTTTAATTACAATGCAGCGGTTAAAAACCAATTATTATTTAAGAAAAGTGTGATAGGTACGCATCTTTTATACCTTAAAGAAGGATTCGTTAATTAAAAAATTGATTAGTTTTGGAATTTTTTATGTACTTAAAACTAATAATAATAAAGGTACACTTTGCAGCAAATATTACGGAAATATATTTTATTTTCACTTTAAACATATCAATTTTTAAAAACCACTTGAGATCTGAGTATTTTAATAAAATAAATATAAGCACGATTTCGCAGTACATCATCTATAAATATTCATTAAGCTACAAACATAACAACAAAAAGTAAGTAATACTGTTGTTTTCGGAAGTTTGAGATCACATTAATCATCTGGATAGCATGCCATAGTTGGAATGTAACATCCATGACATCTGTTATCTTTATTCGAACACCATAGTCCCTCTCCACAAGTGCCCAAAATATTAAATCTGTCCCCACATTTCTCACCAGGGCCCTGCAAACACACCGTCACTAACCCATCTCTAACTAACTAAAAACCTTACTTTTGAACAAACTCTTCGATTACAGTAATCTCTGTTTTCACCATAAACACACAACTGGGGAGGATCAGCGTTGCATTCTTGGATTGACGCACATCTCTTGCAGGGCAGATGGATCATAGCAGTCCCTCTGAAACCAAACAATTGCTTTGTTTAGTAATTGTAACAAAAGTTGTTGACCAGGTGAAAAACTTACTTGTCACTAAAAATAATAATTGTCACGGTGAGAACTAAAACTATGGTGATAAAGTTGTGGGAGAGACACATAGCGGTTGCTGCAGCCGATGCTGTAGCAGTGGAATGCCCAAAAAAACAGTACTGTAACGAAACAATTTATAATTAAAAAAAAATCAAAAATTAACAAGTCAAAGAACAGGAGTTTATCGTCGTCTAGAATAATGTGTTTACCTTTGTCTCACTTTGGTGGTCGAGTCAAAAACCTAAATTTCTTAAATCCCAAATCACAAACTTCCCAAAAAACACCAATACGTCGCTTGCCACACATCTAAACAATCTCTCTATTTCAATCAACTTGTCATAAAAATGAAAAATGTCCATTTATCGTCACAAATTCACACGGTTTAAAGTTATTGCGGATGTAACCGGTGACCAGCAGGATGACCAGATACTGAACAGCTGTCCGACTGTCTCTTGTTGGCTTTCCCATCAAAACTTATTACTTATCTTAAGTCACCATAATAAGTGACACTGATATTTACAGTTTTTATTTATATCTAAGAATAGAACAGTCTGTGTCTGCAGCTGAATGCCTTTTTGCCGGTGGGTAGTGCCGAAACTTCTTTATTTTCTTATCTCCATTTTTCTAATTCTTTGTACAACATTAAAAACAAACGTGATTTCAACCAGTGAAATGAAGTTAAAAACAAATCACTGATTAATTAACAGTTTCTTTCTTTCGAGTAGATAAGATATCGAGAAATTAAGAACCAAATTTTACTTTGTTTTGAATAAACAACCTGCATTTCTCAACTAATGACTCACTGATTAAATAAAATGTGAAAATATGCAATTGTTGTAAACAAATAAAGAAGGATTCCGAGTGGACTTCCGGATTGTTTAGACTTCCGTAAAGTGTTTTTGTAGTAAACAGTTTCTTAAAACTAATTAATTCATTACAAAGACTGATAAACTTATTATAAACTAAAATGCAGTAAACTGCGTCGGAATAATAGTAGAATTTAGTTGGAGTCAATGAAATAGTGAACAAGACTGAATAAACTGGATGAAAGCCAGAGATAAATTTGGAAATTGGAGAAAATGAATAAGTATGTCTGAGAATTTTTCTAGACTTATAAAAGTACGTCAAAAATCCGTAAAACTGCAGAACTATTTATAGACCCAAAAATTTTAAATTTGGTGACCCTATAATAATGCTTTTGAAAGCAAGGTCGTTAAGATACTACTCATATCGAAGTTCATAAGTCAAATAAATATAACTAGTGAAAGTTATCGAATTTTTTCTTAAAAATATGTTGAAGAAATTATATAACAATGTGTTATCTCGAATATAGGTCACAATATTAGACCCCACCCTCGAAGATATTTACTTGAATTTCAAAGAAAGTTCTTATTATCTCGTCGAATTTTCGTCGAAATCGGTTTACACTTCTCCAAATAAATGAGAACAGTGTCGTGATAGTCAATATTATTAAATATCCTCGTATTTAGAACAAACTGGTTGTAGTAAACATAAGTTCACATCTTGTTTATCGTTCAATACAGTAAACAGTACAAAAGTCCAAAAAGTGCAAGAAAATTTTTTCGAAAAATTTCGAAAAACGATTATATCACATTTAAAATTAGCGCCCGAATTCATTGATAAAATTCTGATTCCGGGTGCCAAAACCCCGAAAAATGTCACGATACCCAATGTGTGGTCAAAAGCCTCTACGTGGCTAACTTTAGCGAAATAGAATCAGAAGACGTCATTGATGAGGAGGTGGAGTGCAGAAATAATAATTTTTAGTCATAGAAATATCACGCGACATCCTATTCACCAAAACAACAGTTTCTCAGTATTTTGTAATCTATAAATACACCCACAAATATTTTTGAATATTTTTAGCAAATAGCACAATCATATGTCCTATAAAGAAAAATTGGGGCAGATTTATGTAAACAAGCCTTGAAAATGTACATTACTTCTAATGTGCGTTTTCAAAGCTGTTAAAAGATTTGTTTTTTGTTCAATTTTCTCACTGGCACCTAGTCTGTAAACAAGCCGTTTTGAAGCTTATTATAAATTTTGCACTTTCTTCCATTTTCATCAATCAAATTTTAGTTGGATAATCATTAAATTAGTGCAGAATTGAAATTTTGCCAAAAATAAAACCAAATTTGATGGTTTTGAGCCGAAGTTTAGCCGATGTATTTACCAGAAATTAAAGTAGATAACAAATAAGTCTCCTCAGTGGATTCCTCTGACACTGACCTGCATTGGTTCATGGCTGTCGTCGAGAAAAATTTCGAAAACGCATATAACCAAACCAAAATAAAAACAAAGCACCTATCGTTAAGCAAAAATATGTTTACGATATAAGTTTCAAAAATAATCCCCCGCATGGGGCATTAGAATCTTTGGCAAAAGACACAGCGTCCTGACGCACAGGCGTAAAAGTGGGACATAAAAATGAGGTGGGGGTCCTTCCAGAAAGAAAAACATCAACGTAGGTGATCTCAATAAAGAAATTTGCGAGTCAACACAAAGAACAGTCAGAAAGCGAGAGCTCGAAAGCGCGTTGCAGTTTATTCCAAGTCTATTTCAAGTTTGGGTTGAGTAAATAGTGTTCTAGAAGTTTTCCTGGCCGAACTTTGCCTCGTCCGTAAAAAACAGTGTGCAAAATGGGCATGATAACCAGAGTCCGAGGACGGCTGAGGAGCTTTCACACCATCCAAGTCGACCCGGAAATGCAAAACGAAAAAATCGCTGAAACTGGTAAGAAAACTAAAATAAAAAATAACACAAATAATGGTAGCGAATTTCAGTTTGTTTGTTATCCGTTTTGTTCCTTCTTCCTTACTGCTCCAGAGGCCATGCACCGCTACTTGTGAGTTTGGGGGGATGGTGCGTTGCCACTTACTCTTTTCTAGTCCTCCCAGTACTTATTTCTGCCAACTACAAGTATCCTGTGAGATGGTTGAGAAAATTATTTGCCAAAATCCCAGGTAAATATTAATTTAAAGCAATGTTTTAATCGGAAATTAACACTCTTCCGCATTTGATATCGTTTGAAGCCCCCTCTTCAAATAATAAAAATATTTTTCGAGAGATTTTAGCTGTTTATTACAAAGACCAAAAATAAGTAATAATTGTAAATAAGTCATGTCGGTTTATTTTTAAGCCTGTAAATACGACGTAATGTTTACAGTTGGTAAAATTCGTTATTTTTCGAATTAGTGTAAACGAATTTTTTCAATTTGGCTCAATTCCAAAAATATTACTGGCACAAAAACAACTTACCCTGCGATGTGTTGCTGAAAGGAACTGGAATGGTTGTGTGATAATGGGGTAAAATTCTCAATTTTTATACTTAATCTCACCCTCGCCTATTAAGGGATGTTATTTTTTAAGATTGACAGCAGCAGTGGTGTAGTTAATTCCTATCAAGCTTCACAAAAAATATAAATCATTCCCGTTTTTATCTCTACTATTGGATGAATAATAATTATTATTACGAGTTCAATAGCAACAAATGAGTTGTTTTGATTTTGAGCGGTTGCAACGTAACATTTTATCTTTCGTCTGTTTGCCTTCCAGACAAAATTGGAGGTTACAGTTCGCGACCTCCTCATGAACCGTTAAATTAAAATCTTTTTATTAAATGTTGTATAAATTTTAAAGTGTTTTTAATTTTATTTAGTAAAAAAGTGTTACGCCACTGGTACACTGTCATTCGGCGTACAAGGGAACAAATTAAAACACATTGACAGCGGATTTGCAAATTAGGTTTTAGCTTGATTGGAGTAGTAAATTAACGATAAGAAACTCTAGTTCATGACAGAATATAAATTAAAAAGATGTAAATTCTTCTATTAATAGGAGAAAGCACCTTACAAAAATGTTTTTACATCACACTAAAACATTTCTGAAAATTTAATTACAAAAGTAAATAAGTAAGAATTGTTCCAAGAGTACTAAACATTCGTCTAAATAGACTCAAAAGAAAATAAACAACAAAATTAATCTCAACAATATTCATTCATTGTTGTGATGTTTCATACAAATAAATAATCTTAAAAATCATGATTGATTAAATCAGCTCATTAAAATGTTTATTATATTTATTATTTTATCAATTACGAGTATAAAGGAAGCAAACTTGTCAACAATTTCATTTAGATTTGAACATATTCTCATATTCATAGTGATAAAATAAATATTTTTTACTAACAGCAATTATTTCGTTATCTATAGTAGCTTTTATCGAAAAATTATTTAAATTTAATATATTTTTGAGATAACAAGAAGAAAAATATTTCCCAAAAACGATTTAAAAAAATTGTTGAAAAATACTGCTCTTTCATGGTGTCACAGGTACATTTTTATTGTTACTAAGAACAGTTCAATAGCGTAGTTTTTATTACTTTTTTTTATTACTTTTTTGTAATTTGCCTTCATTTTGCTTCTCTATAATAGACCTTAAATAACGTAACATCTATAATCAAAAAGCGACTAAAACATTACAAACAATAGTATAAAATTACAAAAAATAGTACAAAAAACTCATGTCGTTAAAATAACTCGTGGTTGCACCACTCGTTTTTTAAACTTGAATTCGTGCCTCAAGACTGGTCTTATATAAAACTTGTTTTTTAATATACTGCTATTTTCTAATTCGCCTTTTAATATATATTTAAGAACCAATTACATAAGTAACTATTTATTGGCCGATAAATAATTTGCTTATTGTCTACTCTGTTAATATCAATAATTTTTGAAAATAAATATGTATATGTATACTTACGGTGTTTGTCGACTAAATACTTTTCTTAACATTTTTATATTTACTCAGTAAATATATTTTAATGTAAATGTGTATTTACTGAATACCTTTACATAGGTACAATGCCGTAAATATCATAGAAACCCCCACAGAAACAAGTATTAAATAATTTGTTGTTTTTTTAACTAATTATGAAATAAAATAAAATTTTTTTTACTGGTAAATAGTTTGCTATTTACGAGTAAAAACATTAATAAATAAGTAGTTTATAAATTTCAAAATGATTTAAGTAGTTCTAGTTTCGTCCAGTTATTATAATTATTTCACATTTTCCACATCTAAAATCACCTACGACATAGAATATTATTGTTTTCCACACATTTCACACAGTCTCCAAAATGTTAGTATTTGTGGCTATAACTAAAATTTATGTCTTAATGTGTGCCAAAATATAATAATGTACTAATTTTCAAAATGTTTTCTTTCGAAGTAAATAACGGATTTTGCTCAAACGTTGCACCCAATGAATTATCAAGCACCTCACCGAATAATTTTAGCACGCAAATTTTGGCAGGATATTAAAAAAATCAATCATATCAGGTTGTTGCTAAGCCAAAGTTCTATGACTTTCTAAAAATAAATACGTTAAAATTATCAATCCTGTATTTGCTTTTAATTAATAAATATGTAATGGCATACTTATCGTATTTTTCAGTAATTTATTTTTCTGACATACTCCCAAATTAATTATTATTAATTAATCAGTTCGAATGTGACATTCTTATCTAACCCGCTGGAGGATGTATCGACTAATGAGCGTTGCACGTGTATGGGTTACTTTTTAAAACAATTAAATGTAGTCTGAGATGATTTAATGCCAAAACACAACCACAAGACCCATACGATTTCTTCGAAATAAAAAGTTTTACGAATTTAAAGTAAAAATAGTTAATTTTCTGTGTCAAGTGGCACTTCTGTTTTTCAAGAGTATGTTAATTTTTTTTGAAAATTCCAGCCGTAACTTGAAATTTTTTTCAGCTCTGTTGAGCAAGTGGTCAGGCCCTGTTTGGTCCTTTATTTGCAGAGTGTATGCGCCGTTGGACCGATGCGAAAAAATGTTCATGAAAATGACGAATTTATCAAATCTGGCCACACAAGTGAGTCGATTTTTTAAAAAAACGTAATTAGACAAGTCTTCTTCCAGTTGGTGTTCTTTATGATGTGTGATCGCGTCCTGCTGTGCTCCCTCGGAGGCGGCAACTGCCCGCAGAAGAAAGTCACCGGGTTGTACTCACTCATGTTTTACAACGTTATTGCTTACTGCGTCTCCTACATCAAAGAACTGATCGAGAAAGAGGACTGGTCTGTGACTGTTAACATGACCCAACACAGCAACATCAAACATGTGGCAATGTCCGCGACGAAAATTGTGCTCGAATGGACCAAAGCCATAACTTTCATAATCACCGTCACCTTCATGTTGCTCGTTTTTGGCTTGGAGCAGGGCTTGGAGCATTACCAGCCCACAGCTTTGTACACACTCATCACGTGGACTTACTACATGTGTACTGAGAAAGTTTTCATCGAGTTGTTCCCGCCATTCCTTGCCTTCCTCCGGTTGAAACACCTGGAGGCCCTGGAGTCGCTCTACGCTCCGGTCATCTTGCGCTACTACACCGTGAGTGTCGCGGCTGTTTTAGTGCTTTTCTTGTGCTTTTACGGCCAAGTCAGGTTCACTTTCATTGCCTTCTATTTGACGGTTTATTTGAGACTTAAAGACATGGTGGCCAACTGTCTGAAAACCTTGAGGCAGGAGCGGGCGATTTTGGGACAGTTTAGACATGCCACAGAAGAGGAAATTGAGAATTGTGACGACGTCTGCGCTGTTTGTTTGAGTCCGATGGAAAAAGCAAGAGTTACTCCGTGTCATCATTTATTCCACGCCAGTTGTCTCAGACAGTGCTTGAGCGCGTCGCAGAATTGCCCCATGTGCAAGAGGGAGTATACATTTGTACACTAGGATTACGGATTTTCTTTTTTAAATGTTACGGTCGTACTAGCTTAATATTTTGTACGTGACTAGGATAGGCAAACTAGATTAGTTTTGCTACGTTTATATTGTATTTATTTATTATTTTATATTTTGTATGTGAATAAAAGTATTACTCTACTCTACTCTAATTACTTCTCAAAAGCAATTAAAACCCCGCTCACCATAAACACTAATTGTTATGAAAAGAAACACAATATACATACCGTCAGATTCAAAAAAAGTGGTCGTCAATGTGATATTTTGGCATAAAATTAATTATTCCTGTATAAATGAGCCTACCTAAATTTACAAAAACAAATTACTTGACATCATGAAGTTTCTTTCTTCAAAACAATTTTGTTGTTAAAATCTAAATTATTTGTTATTTATTTATTATTTATTAATTTTAGAAATGACACTGACGACCAGTTTTTTTGATGTTGACTGTTTCATACGTATCATTTTGAGTTCCAATTTTAAATCTTCGTTAATAACAATTAATAAAAGAATAACTTGCAATAGAATTCCAAAGACACATCTATTTTGCATAATACACTGGCGGACATTGAACAATTTGTCATTTAACTGACTAAAACAAAATGTAAAACGGGCATTAGGCAACTAACCTCACTTTCGGTTTTTGTAATATTTATCCTGATAGCTAGAGAAAAAATGACAACAAAACAAAATAATTTATTACACTTATATAAAAACACGTATTGCTGGCATTATGGTTTCGGATAATCGACGCCAAAAATAAATTTCAACTAAAACTTTCAAATTTTATTTTCAAAGTCAATCATAATGACAATAATAAAGCGTGACTTACATTGACATATTTTGAACTGACATAAATTTAATGTCCAAAATTCCGTGTCCACCACTGTACATAAAATAACACAAAAAAAACACAATCTAATAAAAGATTTTTTTTTTCTTTCTTTAAACGAAAGAAACAGAAATTTTATATAAATAGGTACTTTCCGTAACGGCGACCCCGGCGCCTCCACCAATTTTCAAATATTCGCAACATACGAGTATTAAACTAAACAATTAAAACATCGTAAACCCTAGTTAAAAACAAAACTAAGAGCCACTTACATTAAAAAAGTAATAAAAAAAAACTAAAATTAATGTAGATTTAGAATGTGAAATGTCAACAAGTCCGTAGTAATCACCACATTCTAAACCGCATTTAATTTAATGCTCCTTTAAATTCGATTATGAAACTTGTTTTATATTTTTCTAAAAAAATAAAATTTTATAAAATCAAGTAAACAGAATTTTTTTTTAATCATCAAAGTGAAAGCTGAAATAGTATATTATTCAACGAGCAGATAATTCACGTCTACAACTCGTTTTTTAATCACCTAAATGAAGAATAGCCATTATATTTTGTTTGTGCCTAACCTAAAACAAGTAAATCTGTAATTAAAACTTTACTATTTCGACTCAATGAAAAGAAAAGTTCTTTTTTTTCTTGATTTTAGACTTTCGACTTTTGATTTTTTTAACAATTAATTAATTATTTAATTAAATAATGATTTTTATAGTTAAAAAATGACTTTGTTTTTTATCTTAAAGCTGTTTCTTTGAGTTGCCATTCAATAAAATTATGTTTTTCACACACATTTTGTTATTTAACTTGCGTAAACTCATTTTTGTCAAAGCGACATCGGTGTCAAAAAAATAAAACCGCCAATGTGATGAAATTTAAAACACAGAGATAAATGATTACAAGTCCAAAATAAAGAAAAAAATAAACTTTTCCTTCCAATGAGTCAGAATTTGAAGTTTTAATTCAGATTTGTTCGTTTCAAGTGAAGCATAACATTTTTTTTCTTTGCAGTTTTGGTAAAATCAAAATTTTTTTTTTTCCTCTTGTAATCCAAAGACATACTATACAATTAAAAATTGTAATAATATAAAATCAAAACCCGTATTCATATCCATCTTTTAGATATTTTATAAATATACACTAGTCTTTTATAAATCTTCCTACAATTCTAAAATCCAAAAATTGACACAAATTAACCAATGCATGATAATGACTTTTTCCGTCACTGTCAGAATCAAAATGTAGCCTCAAAATTTTCCCATTAAATTATCAAAATGGATACGGTTCGGGATTCCCCTGAACAACAAAATTTCCTCAAGCGTATTTATAGAACAATTTTGTAACTCTATGAAACGATTCTTTTTACAGGTCTTGTAAAATTCATCTCATACCCATTTGTGGCAGTTGGATGTAAACTAATTCTCTGGTTGCATTTCTCGGAACTTCTATTCATAAGACTTTACAATATTTATGCCCTTATATGTCAGGTAATCTGTTACTTGTAACTTTTTTCTATTTTAAAACTCTCTTTTTACAGTTGTTCTTTTTTGTCTGCTGTGCACTGGTATACAACGAATCCACAGAACCCGAAAAAAATGAAGAACACGTTCTTATTGCCCTGAAAACTTTGCTCTTTTACTCTGTCTTCACATATTTTACGACGAAGACGAGAGACATATTCACTGCGAATCGCACATCTTTTTTTCGCAATTTCAATCTCATGGAAGGGATTTGCAGGATTGTAATTGAATGGGCGAAAGCCGTTATCGTGGTGTTTTGTCTCCGAGAACAAGGGATTTATTTCAAACCGAGCATACCTTACGCTGCAACCACTTTTACTTATTATGTCTGCACCGAAAAAATTTTTACTGAACTCTTGCAAAAACTGATCAAACATTGCGAGTTCGAAATATTCGAAGATCTAGATCACTTATACGTGCCGTTGGTGTTAAACGTTTATACGGTGACGCTGAGCTTTACAGCAGATTTGTATTTGATTTTAACGACTGATTTTGTAACGTTTTCACTGTGTTGTGCTTACTTTACAATATATCTTAGACTGAAAGACTCCTATTATAATTTTTGGAAGCTTCTCGTGTTAGAAAAGCAGACTTTTAACAGTTTCCGCGACGCAAGTCAGGAAGATTTAGATGACTACGACGACATTTGTGCCGTTTGCTTGAATAAGATGAGCAAGGCTAAAATCACACCTTGCAACCACTTTTTCCACCCTTACTGTCTCAAAGAGTGTCTTAAAAATTCATTCTTATGTCCGCTTTGCAAAGTGAGTTTTTGAATAAAACAACAAGCTGTATTTTATCGTTTTATTACTGAGTCAACTAATACAACAATCAAAAGGTACAACAATTATACATTAAAGGGAGTGTAAACTAAGGGAAGTTTATCACCATTTTTAACAATAAAATTGACATTTTTGGATGTAAGATCGATAAAGAAGTGGTTAAAATATTCGACAGTGACTAGAAACTTTTAGTGCCTAATAATTTGATACAATATTACATCATGAGCGTAGTGTGATTGTTATGACAGTTTTGAGCCAACTCCACTGAAAGAATTCGATAATTTTAAATTTCCGATGGAAGTACAATTAAAATTCTCCAAACAAGATCAGATACCAACAACAATTGTCTTTATTCAACTACGATACTATGTCTTTCACATAATCAGAAAAAAATTCTAAAAAAATATTTATATTCAAAATAATAAATACTTATCACATATACGAGGAAAGTTAATCTTTACTGATCCTTTAAGGAAATAACACTCCAACCCAAGACCCTCCTGTCGAACCCTGACGTGAATAAATTCACACCTCCGACATCGTCGATCCAAGCTGCACTTGCCACCATTCTGTTATGCCCCAGTCTACTCGATCGAGGCAGTCTTGCCAACCTCTGACCAGTCAAATCGAACAACCTGACGTGCCTGTTATCATGCGGAATTGCAATGATTCCGTTCGCTGAAACGCTCAACCTATTAACGGCCGAATCTACCCTAATCGTAGCCACAGGATATCTCATATTTTTCAAATCCCAGATTTTCACACTCCGGTCGTCAGAACCGGAAACCACCTTGTCTTCCCGAGTAAACACGGCTGACGTCACACTCCTGAAATTTAATTTAAAGAGAAAAACACCAAAAATAATCGAAAAAAATACTCTGTGTGTCCTTGAAAAACAGAAACTGAGTGGAGACTCTCCCTAAAGTCCCATAATCTGAATGTTGCATCCCTTGACGAAGTCACGGCTAACCTTTGACTGGGGTGAGTTGACGTGTGGGTCAACTCCTGATCGTGGCCTAAAAATGTTTCAGATGGAACACAAATCAATATTTTTTGAATTATTGTAAAACCTGAAAGGGTGTTTAATAACGTCCCCGTTTCAACATCGTGCAAAATCGCAGATCTGTCCCACGAGGCTGTAATCACTTGATCAGCCCCGACTATCCACTCGGCCGCCGAAACAGCTCCACTGTGCCCCAACAGCTCCCTAAATGGGGTCCGAAGAGTGGAAATTTTTGAGTCTACTTTATCGTCAAGATCCTCCCCTTCCAATTCTTCCTCGGAAGAGTGACCCTTCTTTAAATAAAAATAGTTTGGATTTCTTCCAATAACAATGTAAATATTATTTTAATTTAACAAATTACAGACGAACGTTTGCTATTAACCTAAATGTTTTGTTGCATTACAATAGAATAAAAATAAGTCTGACAATGATTATTTATATTGTGTTCTTGTGATGTTTCAAGGTGAACCTCGATTCAAAAATATGCATTTATTGCTTTGTATATTTTTTCTTAACTAAATTATTACCGGTAAATCCCAGTTTAAAGCCGCTTGCCAAATATGAGCGGAACAATCGCCACTTCCGGTCAAAACCAGATCTTTCGCAGGGTGAAATCTAATTGAATTAACGGATCCGGTGTGGCCTTGGTACTGGAGTAGACAACGAGTGGTTTCTATACTCCAAATGCACGCACTATGATCTACAAAAAAAAAACAATTTGTAGAATATCTCAAAGATTACACTATAATTACAGTACAATATATGTAATTAATGTTCTGTGTAGTTAATTATTTGATTGTTTTCGTAATTGTATATTTTGCCAGTTTAAAGTAAAAATTATTTTTTCAAGGTTGACTTAATGGATCTTTAATGGCTTCAACTATGCAGCGAAATATTCGCATATTCTGAAATTCTTTTCACTTTCTTAAATAACATTTGGAGTGGAGCAACTTGTGTTTACGTAATTATAGTTACCAAAATTTTCATCACAATTTAGTTGAGAAATGTCCTATTATGTGTAAAATAATGTGTATTTTTTTTGTCAAAATCTATCTTTATGATGCTTAATAGTTTAGGAAATGACACACCAAAAATAATACCAAACATATTTATTCCGATTCCGTAGGTTGATTTATTAAAAATTCATAGCCTAAAATCGATACAAATGCATAATTTAAAAATTGCAGATACGAGAGCTTCGTAAACAATTTAAATGATGTGTCCAAAATCCACCAGCAGTGAAATTCCTCTCCTACATACATAAATAAATTTACAAAAATAGAAACGTTGAAAATTTTGAGTCACACAAAAATGCATTTAAGTTGATATAAAGTGCGAAAATAATTTGTTAAATTTGTTAACACATTTTAGAACCAGTTTTGTTGTTTGTTTATACTCGTAAAACTTATTAGTGACTCAGTTTTTGTAAACAAATTCTATAAATGTTGCACACTATTTGAATTTTTTATAGTATTCATATTGATCTGACTTTTAACATTTTTACTCGTTATATTCGATGTCAAATTTTATTTATACACCAAAAAACTTTATTTGAAAAAATAAATAAAAATTAAGTTAAGACAATAATAACTACAAGAATTGACAGTATTGAATGAAACAATAACAAATGTTATTGTTTTTAATTTATCACGACCAACTTGTACAAAATTCATTGTTACTAGTTGCTAAACTGTAACTCTTTAACGAATAAAGATTATTTTAAACTTTTTTTCTCAGACATTTTCTATCACTAGTTGACGTATGGCGGTTTACTTTTGAGACAGCCTGTATTCAGGCTAATAAATTACTTCGCAATCAACAAAAATTTTAATTAAAATATTTCATTCACGTTTCATAATAATTGAATATTATTTTTATTAAAAAATACCACACAACACTTTCAATTTCACCAACATTTCACACAAACACGACTTACTAATTATCAAACTTGTATCACAAACAATATTTAGCAAAATTAAATAATAATAAAATAAAAAAATTCTGTAAATTGTTTACAAGATTACAAGCTTTAACAGAAACATTTGTATGAATGGTGATGTCTACTTATAAAAATAAACTTGTTTTTCAAGTTGTGAAAATAAACATGTAGTTTCCATTAAAACAAAAAAATCAACAGAATCATTTCACGTTAAAGGTGAACTTATGATAAAAAATTATAATTTAAAGTGTATCGAAAAAATTTTACAAAGTAAAGAATATCGGTGTTTAATAATGAATTCCTAATAATTCTGCATTTGTACTAACTGCTCCCCTGATGCTACTTGATAATTTATTCAGAGATTCGCTTGACCCTGACCTTTAATTTATTTCCCAGTGGCTAGCATGTCCAGTTGTTCTTGTTTATAATTACATAAGTATAATAATTTATTGATTGATAGCATGCCAGCCTTCTTTAATAATTATCAAATCAATATGAAGTGGCACATGTTGCGGGCATTTTATTGCAAATTGAATTAAGGGTCAAGGTTGTGCGTCATTGACCTGCATTAAAAAGAATTTATTTCATACCTGCAGAAGCTGTGCCAATGACGGGAACACCTGGCCTGGCCACAGAAACTTCCCAAACTCCGTCCTTGTGTCCAATGTAGCTCTTCAACAAGCCACAATTATATTGTGGTGCTTTAAAACTGGACACGATTTTGCTAGTTTGAGCCTTCAGTTTATGGGCGGTTTTAGACTTTTGAGAGGATGAACTCACTGCAATTTCAACAAAACAGCGCTCTTCATGTAAAATGTAATCATAGATTAGTCTTACATTTTTTTGACAAAACTTTAGAAATGTTGTTTTCAAAATCAACACAGTCGGGTTTATCAAACGTGTCCCTTTCAATTTTTTCATTTAAAACTTCTATTTTATCTTGTACTAAAATTATGCGAGTTAAATCTAATTGTTTGTGTGGATATTACTTACATGACTGGTTTTCTTGATATAAAATATCAAACTCTTTCTCAATGAGTCTAAACAAATTAAACAGCTTCGTTTTGTAAGCTGGGGTAAGGGGGCAATCATTTTCTATGTCTGAACGGAAACCATAGAAGATGTCTCCATCGAGGATACCACTTTGTGGCCGATTCATAGAGCCTCTTTTTGCTTTTGATTGAACCTTACTGTTCGAAATGTTTTGATTGACTGACATCCTAGACGCGCGAGAATACTTAAATTGTTCAAAACTTACGAAACAACGTTGTACAATCAATAAATACACTGATTGTAACTTTGCTTAATTACCTTTGGAAGCTCATTTAATACTCAATGTCACGTCCAATTACACCACTGCACCCTATTCAAGGTCTGCGATTACGTTAAAATGGAAATACTTCTTTTAAAAACAAATTCAACATGTTTATGATATATTGGATAGACTTTGACGTTTCTGACATTTTAATGACAGTATACCTGTCTTCTGTCAAAGTCAAAAAGCAACTCCCTCATTAAAACAGATTCCTATATTATCGGTTATAAAACATTTTATTTAAACTGTCAAAAAATATGATTCTATTGGCGACACTAGATTTTTAGTCATCCTTTTCGGTTGAATTTGAAAATCACGGTTACCAAACTAAAATTTTAAAGACACCAACTTGAGGACATTTATTTCAGTCACCCGGTAGTTATTTGCATTACAAAAAAGAAAAGTCTATCTTTTCCTCGACAAGTCTCGAGCAGTAACCACCCAGGGAGGTACACTTTTCACCCATGTAATAAATATAATTTTTTCTACGATCCAGTAAGAACTTTTTTTTTCATATTTGCACATAATTGTAAATGAATAAGCCTCATTAATCAGTAATGTAACGGGCGGCAATAACAAAACTTATCTATATATTTATATTATTTTTTATTTAGAAGGTAAAAATTACAAAATAACCAGCACCATGATGCTACTTAAAATAAATTAAATCGTAACATAAATAAATAAATTAATAAATAAATATCAATAATTGTCAACAAAATTGGTAAGTAACTGGTAAAGTGCATTAAGCATTAAGTACTTTGGTTTAATATCATTAGTTTAAATACCACAGTGTAATACTGAACAGTCTTGCAACAACATTAATTTGCATTATTTGTTCTCACGTTTGCATTGGCATGCTGTTGTACATTTTCGGTCAATTCTTTTCCTGTTGTTTCAAATGGTAAGACCAGACAAGCTATAGAAGCCAAAATTGCAGCCACTGTATAAACACTTGTAGCAAAAGAGATTGAACTTTTCAATAAAACCTAAATATATTTTTTTTAATAAAATCAGCAAAAAAATTGTAAAATAGTACCTGAGCCACATATGGTGTGACCATGGCGCCTAATCTAGCCATAGCACTACAAGAACCAACTCCAACAGCGCGTAATGAAGTTGGATATACTTCAGGAGTATACACATAGGCGGCCTGAAAAACTCCCGCAATAATACCACGCGCTAAAAATAACATCACAGTCAAAAAAACACGCCTAAAATAAATTATTTAAATGGGCTAAAAAAAAGTTAAAGAGAATAAAATACTTTTCTGAACAAACCATAAGAAAACAACAACATATTGCGTAAGCTACAAACTGTACAGCCATGGTTTTTTTACGTCCAAATCTTTCAATAGTAAAAATTGTAATAAAAATGCCTGAAACAAAAAATAACAATCGAAAGATATTTTTGGCGTGAAATTACCAGGAAATTCAGCCAACGTTGTCCACAACAAATCCATATAATCAGTCGTTTGCAACTGTTTACAATCAGCTGCGCAAGTGTCAAGAGTCTGAGAAGGTAGAGGTATATCAGAACATAAAATGCTGGAGGTTTCAAAAAGTTCCGTTGTCATAAGAACTAAACCATAATAACAAAAAGCGCAGGCCATCCTAAAAAATTACGAATGTAACTCTTCTTTTTATTGTGAGAGAAACAATACCATATAAACCACAAGAGAAGTGATGTTCTCCTTAAAGATGGCACTAATAGGTCTCTAAATCGTCCTCTGTGTGGTGACGAAGTGGTCGCATCATCAACTACTAACCGTCCAAGTAACATTGGTTTACCATTATCTTTAGCAATTTTTTCTAAAGTTTCTAAAGCTTTATCAGTTTGGCCACTCGCAACGTGAAACCTTGCTGATTCCGGCAACCACTACCAGAAAAGTAATAAAAACTTACAACTGAATTATTCTTTTGATTACTTACAGGACAAACTAAAGCAAAAGCCAACAAAGGCCCCGTTGAGAGAGCCAAAAGCCACTGCCAACCCAACGTGGGCATAACAACTAACGCAAGAGCAACCTCGAAACATGCACCCAATGCCCAAAAACACTGCAAAAACAAAAATTAGACAAACACAGACAAATACAACAAACTTACATCAAGCAAAACAACACACTTTGCTCTTTGTTTTGTGGGTAAAAACTCGGCATAAAGCGTAACACTAAAAACCAAAAATGCAAACACAAACTAAAAAAAACAAAATACTCACGATTGAGGCGTACAACCAATTGCAAACCCCACAAGACCTCTTAATAGCAAAATCCACATAAAACTAGGTGCAATAGAACTCAACAAACCGTAATAAAACAACAAAACTGCACACAAAGTTAAAGCCTAAAAGGGCAAGCATAAACACTACGTGAGTAAAAGTCTTACTTCTCTACATGCTTGCGTCCGTATCTGTCGCTCAAGTTGCCCCAAAAAGTTGAGGATAACATCATTCCTAAGAACACGACGGTTGTGGTTAACGCTTGTTGATACCTCGAAATGTGCCAATCGCAATGCAACGCAGGGGACAAGATTGATAAAATTGTCATTTCCATGCTATCAGCCATCCAACACAAGCCAGTCCACAAAGAGAGTTTTACTTGAAACCAGCCAAAACCCAACGCATTAACCGCCTGAGTTACAGTATACGTATCTAGAAATGAATAATCAATACAGAATTCGCCCCCATAATGACATTTTCGTATTACCATCAGGGACAACAGAGACCGAAGCCATTTCGATGTCTTGAGGAAGTCCATTTTCGGCAGTGGGCAATTCTGTTCTCGAGTTCGGTGCTGAACTTGTGCTACCATCAATGTCCTGATAACCCTTAGAGCGTCGCAGAACCATGCTACTGTTTTATTTTGATATTTTCTTAAAAATCAACTGAGATACGTGGAAGGGGTTCCTAACCTAAATTTATGTTTACCTGTCAAAAGTGACAACCAACTGACAGTCAATCTGACAACCTTTTGACAACACATAACCTAAAAATATTTAGATACATTTTTTTATTTAGATAGGATACTTATTATTATGTAAATAAAAGGTAATTACATTTCTAATAATTAAAATTTTATAGCCACTTTAAAATATTTCGCAGATTTTTTGTGTCTTCTAAAAATTATTTGGTATTTATAATAATTATCATATTTGTAAAAAAACGTTTTTTAACAATTACCTAATAACAAGCATTGTAGTGTTTTTCCATTATTATTTACAACATTTAAATCCATATGTTTGAATATCAATGTTATCATTCAAGTTCATTTAAAAATAAACTTATGTAAATAGTTGCTTTTTATCAGCTTTGTTATATGAAAGAATACGAGATAATAAATGCTTTAAAACATCTTTCTTGTGTTACTTTTGTGTTGTGCACTGAACCATGGTAAATATTTTTTTGCTGATTAGTAATTACACAAAATAAATCTTTATTTTTAGGTAAATTTTACATTTAGAGGCCTTATGGCCCCAACTCTCACTGCTTTTAAAAATGATTGGTACGAAATTTTACTCACTTATGGTTTTAATAAATAGTTTTCCTTAGGTCAGTGGATTTAAGTGTTATTCAAGATTACGCAAAATTTCTTGCTGATTCAAAAATTATGGGCGTTTTAGGTAAAGATTTCAAAGTTTTTTTTTAATAATGTCTCATAAAAAATAACATTGATTTAAAAATATTTTATAAATTTTTAAAATATACAGTAAATGGGACAAGTGGTGAGGGGATGTCTTTGAGTGTCCGAGAAAGGAAGCAAGTGACCGAAGAATGGGTCAAAGCAGTAAAGAAAACGCACCAGCATTTAATGGTTCAAATAGGTGGAGCACCCTTACCTGATGTTTTAGAACTTGTACTTGAAAAACCCCCAAAAGTAAAATTTTCTTACTTGAACCAATATTTTAGGCAAAGCATGCCGAATCAGTTGGTGTGCATTCCCTTCTTTGCTTACCTGATCTTTACAATAAGCCCACTAATTCAGTAGATTTGATCAGATACTTGAAAATCGTGGGGGCCGCCGCTCCAAACACCCCCCTTCTTTATTATCACATCCCGAGTTATACTAACGTTAACAGTAAGTCGTTGTTTGTTGGTTTAAAAAAAACCTAAATGTTATTCTAGTCCATATGGGGCAGTTCTTGAATGATTCTGTCGGCAAAATCCCGACTTTCCACGGAATTAAATTCACTTCAACTGCTTTAGATGAAGGTGTGGCTGCTGTTGAAGCCAATGGGGGCAAATACGCCGTGTTTTTAGGGGCCGATCAACTAATGGCCGGGGCTTTTACTTTAGGTTTTGATTCTGCAATTGCAACATCTTTAAATATGTTTCCTCAGTTGGGAGTGAAAATCCTCGAAGCGGTCAAACAATCGAAACTTGATAAAGCAAGAGAAACGCAACAAATTTTAACAAAAGTTTGTACTGTTGTTACTAAACATGGGGCATGGGTGCCTACTATGAAAGTCGCTATGGATTTGTTTACACCCATTAAAGTGGGAAAGGCAAGAGAACCGTTGGTGAACTTAAATCCAGAGCAAGTTAAGGAAATGGAAGCCACAATGAAAACTATCAATTACAGTTAAATTTTCATTTAAAAAAAAATGTTACAAATAAAATATTTTAAATTTCAACAATGGAGTCTTCAATCTTGATGGGGTGAATAAAACTTTGATGGCAATACTGGCGACACGGTATTACTTCCAAATCGTTCATTAAATGAACGATTCTGGGATTGGTACCGCATTTCAATAACTTTATCATAAAATCGTGATAATTTAACAGCGTTTGACGAGCCTGCGGCAAGATATCGCGCCTGCCTCGTATCGAGGATAATTTCATCTGCCCCAAATTGACTAGCAAAGGTGCCTGTTGTAGATTTTCTTTCATCAACCTGATCAAGCTTTGTCCCAATGACAAGAATGGGTATTGGAGTAGAACCAAAGAAATTCTCTGGATCATATTCATCCATACTGTTGACGGAAGTCAACGATGTTTGATTAACGTCATGGTTTATTAATTCTTGTAACCATTTGTGGAGATTCATTTCAGATTTCCTATTTGTTAAATCGTGAACTAGAATCACTCCATGGCAAGGGCTGTAAAACACAGGCCTTGTATTTCGGTGATTATTGCTTCCACCAACATCCCAAAATTCTATAAAATATGTTTTCTGGTCTTTTGTCCCTTCCTTGTACTCGTGAAGTTTTACTTCCACTGAACACCCGACTGTCCAACTGGGGGACCTTATGGGCTCGTTGTGTGCGACAAGGTAAACAAACGAGGTTTTGCCAACACCGGAGTCACCCAATACCATAATACGGACCCGGTCTATTGCCGTCATTACTTTTTTAATAATTCCAAATAATAATTACAAGTAGGAAATTGAGGTTACCTTCGTTGTAATGTCAACTGTCAAATATATGTATGCAAGAGTGTATGGCACTTAAAATTACAGTTGCTTAAATAATTATGTTAATTACCACAAATAAAGAATTAACAAATGTGCCCTACTAAAAACAAAAAATAATAATTACAAACGTATTTTACAACATACTTTGTAGTTTTATTTATTTATTATTTACAAATTTCAATATAACTAACGATTACGCTTCAACTGGTGAACTTTAAAAATGTAGCATAGCAACTTTTAATTATCAGTTTACAATACTTTGTAGAGCAAAAGCCGGCTTTTTGACAATTACAAATTTCTAGGTTATCGGTTATCCTTACATTTCAAAATTATGGAAAATAAACAAGAAGAAAGTTGCTTAGCTTGTAAAATCACGTCAATTTGTTGTTTAACTGCAATTGGTGGTTACCTCATCTATCATGGCAAACAACCAACACAAAAATACAAGTACTCTTTAATTTCCTTAGGATTAGGTAATTAATACAAAAAGTGTTTCATTAATTGCTTTATTTATGTAACTCTAGGTTGTGTAGCGTTAGGAGCTGGAGAAATATTTGATAAATCGCCGTTCCGTGATACTAATCAGAAAAATTAATAAAGTCTAAACAAAAATAAATGTTTCATTTTCCAACTTTTCCCAGCTTTGTGTCAGTTTTAGGATTGGCTGTTATGTTTTGTACAGCCACAATTAATTCATTAGCCCTTGTTTGCAAATGTCTTAAATCATGGATGTATAAAATTCTTAATACTTTCGCTGCTTGATTTAAGACCGGATCATTCAAGTCGAATCCTAAATCAGCATCTTGAAACGGAAAAGGTGTACCCTTCAAAGACAAACTTAAGTTTCAATGAACTTATAATTGAGCACAAATTACCTTTAATACAACTTCACTCGGATTAGCTTGAGCTTGTGGGGACAATCTTACAGTTACAAGCTTAGTAACTGCTTTTAAAGTTACTAGTGGGTCAGGGTGGGGCGTTATATTCAATAGTTGTGCTACTTTTGAAATACCTTCTGCAAATTCTTTACTGTGGACTGAAATTTATGAAAATTATTTACTGAAAATATTGTCTTATTTACGTACAGTCTAATTTATCAAGAGGATTTTCAGTAACAACAGTTGGAACATTAGTTGCCTTTAAATTCTCAACCGCATGTTTAATATATACTTGCCCTAAAACAAATATTTATTTTTGTGTATTGAATATTCTCCAGACTAGCGTTACTATTATTATGAGTCTCAATTTGCACAGCATAACCTAAAAGCCACTGGAGTTGTTCTTGATGGCTTTGTAAATTGGGTAAACCTAAAATCTCTTGGTATTTCTGAAAGTGGTTAGGCCAATCATTTGAAGTTATATTTTTAAGGCCATTTGCCACGTTAGGATTGGCTTTATTAATTTTATTTTGTTCTAACCATACCACAATTTTTCTAAATGTTGCTTCATCTAAAAATTGACAATTTCAGGTTAAATTTCAAATACCGAGAGAAAAGCGTCACCGTTAACGTTTACATCACACTCTGGGTACTCTAAAGCAGATAATAACCTTTTTACCATAATTAATTTATTTGAAGAGATTATATCTTGATTATAAATAAAAAAAACTTTCTCGATAAATCTGCCGTTACTTCTCAAAATGTCAATGACCTTGTATGGTTTGTACGAAATCCGAACTGGTCGAAATAAAATTATTCTGAAGAATTGTTTTTTTTCATTTGAAATTAGAAAATTGTGATGTTTTTTGAGACAAAAGTTGCATTAATACATAAGTGTTTATTAAAAATGCACATACAGTACAATTAATAAAAATTTCTAATAGCTCGTGCTCAGTCTTTTGTAAAATAAATATTCCTATATTTAAATGCCACCAGGGCTAATAAAAACCTACATATTACTTTTTTTCTTAAAACTAAGTTATATCATAGGTAAGTGACAATATACATACTATATTTTGTGTATAACACAACATATAACACCTATAAATAGTTAAATACAAAAATATGGTAAACATTCTCTATCAATTGTCCCAAAACAAAAATCTTTTTACTATTTGTGAAATATTTCTCTGAAATTAAAACAAAGTTCTTAACTGATGGTGACAAAAAAAAATTTGAAAAAATCAATTCAGAGGTCCGGAAAAATTTGTTAAATCATAAGTAACTTTCCAATAAATAAAAAATAACAATCGGGATTTAATTTCTTTTATCACAGGCAATTTGAGGCATACCAATAAAAGACTGCAAAGTAATAAAGGGTGTAAAACGTAGACAATTTACAGAATCGTTGGTCTGATATTGATATAATAAGATAATGTAATATTTCGGTACAAATTTCATCAACGTTTAATTAGACATACCGAAATATTACTGTCCAAAATCCATCAGTTATAAGTTCAAGGTTAATATACTTGTTAAATTTGGATATTGTTCAAACATTAAAATCACTATAAACGTCTACATGTTATACTTTCATTTAGAAATGCAGTTGACTATACATACTTGCATTTTGTAAATATTTCGTCTATAATATCCAATCAACAACGTAAAAAGAATTATCACTAAAACTGATATTAAATAAATATCACGCAACTTTTTTGATAACAATAACAAACAATGGCTAGTGTATTAATCTCAATGCTGAGATGCGCTGTCATGCTCTAGTTAAAAAATGATTTTTTAACGCTTGACATATTATATTACATAATGGAAGCAGCACAATCTCGCAGTAACAACACAACATAACAAAAGTTTACACTAATAGCACCCAATATTATGCACAAAGAAAATTAAAATAAACCTAACAATAACTTAATTTTTTAAAACGTAACTCTTGCCAAATAAGAGTAACAATGAGATATTGAAAGATTTACATTTTTTAAATCGATATTTCCCCTTGTGGCCCCAATACATTTCAAATGCACTAATCCAATAACTAGGTTAAAAAATGTTAAAAAACTTATTTGAGCACATTTATACAAATCCCAACAAGTAAGTACTTTTCATACAAAATCACTACTTAGAAAAGTTTTTGAACATTTTTAACGCGTTGGCTGAAGTCTCACTCAACAACTGCGCAAAACAGAAACGAATTAATTTGCATGAGTGTATTGCAAAGAAAAACTAGCTAAAGATTTATTTCAGTGTTTGGAAACATTTTAGTTTCTAAATACTAAATCATTTAATTGATTTTAAAACATATTAAAGCTCGATTGTCGACCGCTTCTCCTTATTAATTAATTAAATGATTCGATATTCAGAAACGAATGCTGGAAGTGTGTTGAAAAAGCGCAATCGTTTTGTAAGATTCCTAGTAGCGTAATACGTATTATTGTAGTGTCACGTGAAGCGTGCTGAACACATAGCATTATGACGGTGGCAGATCATTGGAGCCAAGGGGATCATTTTCTCATAGAATTACACAGCACCTACAATACCTTTGACGGGATCCTCCGGCCGAAGGTGGTGGCGTAACTGGTGCAAAGTAAGCGTGTACCTTAATATTGGGTAAATGGTTCTATAAAAAAATCAAACCAATGACGAATCTATTTTTCTATTTTTACAAACTCACTCTTAATCGTTTAATTCCAACCCGGGTGATAAGTTGACAATCATAAAGTTCGACTCGTTGTAAATTATGGCATGATATTAAGTGTTCGAGGGAAGCGTCGGTAACCAGGGGGCAATTGTCTAATTCTAAAACGGTGAGGTTTTCCGCGGCGCACGGAGACATCGACAAGTGTCTTATGCCCTCGTCCGTGATTAGCTCGCAGTGAGAGAGAGTCTGAAAATTTCAGCAAGAGAATTATTTAAAGAACAGCATTTCTAGCAATTTTATGAAACATTTTGGCTATAAAATAACGATGTGATTCGACAGAAAATTTAAAGAAGTTGGACGTTAGTGATTATAAAAGAAAAGGTGCAAATCGAGTACCTTACATTTTGAAAACTACTTATTTTTGCAATTCGATTTACTATAGCATTTTTGAATAGTACAACCAAAAAACTCACTAAATATTCAATCCGGGGGCAACCCATGGCTAAGTGTATTAAAGTGTTGTCTGTAATCAAAACGCATTCGTCCAAGTCCATTTTCTCTAGCCAACGGCAACTCTGAAGATAGTTTTAAGTTATCTCCACTTTATATAATCCAAAAACTTACTCTGGCAAGTGCTAGAAAACCTGCATCAGTAAACTGCGAGCATCCAGCGACTTCAAGCGTTGACAAAAGCGTACACTTTTGAGCCAACGCTATAAGCGAAGCATCTGTCAATGCCGAGCATCCTGAAAGACATAGATAGTGTAACTTTGGACACTTTTCAGCCAAAGCTTGCACAGCCTCGTCTGTTATGTTCTGAAAATAATCCCAATCGTTACGACATCAACAAAGTGAAATTCAAACTTACACAACAACCAAGTAAATTAACAACTTCTAATTGATCGCAGAACCTAGCTAGACAAATAACAGCTCGAGAAGTGATCTGTTTACACCCTTTACTAATAAAACTTTTCAATTTTCGGCAACCTCGCGCTAACGCTTCCACTCCATTTTCTGTTATGTTGTTCGACCAACTAATATTGATGTGAGTTAAATTCGGACAACCATCACTTAGTGCTTTTAAAGAATTGTCGGTTATCGCCGAACAACCATCTAAATTAAGTTTCTGAAGTTTAGAACAGTGTTTAGAAAACGCCGTGCAAGAGGCATCAGTCAGTTTTTTACAACCGTTGAGATTTAAATCTTCGACATTTGGGCACAGTTGAGCTAGGGTTTTCATGGAGCCGTCTGCGATAGACTGGCAACCACGGAGTGACAATTGACGTAGAAAACCGCCACATCTTCGAGATATATTTTCGATAATGGGACCCTAAAATCCATCTTTGAAACGCAGTCACTTCAAAAAAACTTTTTACCTCTACGTCTCTCTGAAAGTCAAACAAGTCGATTCTTTGCCAGTTTGAGCCGTCTAAAGCCAGGACATTCCATGCTTTAGATACTTGGGCACAACGACATAACGATACTACATCTATGTAGGAAAAAATCCGAAGTAACAGCTCCTTTGGCAATTTCTTGTTAATGAGGGCTTCGTCATCAGACAGCACTTTAGTTAACTAAAATGACCAAAGTTTCGACTTCAGTGCTTTTACATTTTTTTGTGCAAAAAAGCCAAACACGATCGTGTTTGATCAATTCTGCTTCAAATAGACAAAAATCTAACAAAACATGTCTACACTACTAGGTGATCGATTCAAAAATATTTTGAAATTATAAGAAAATAAACATGCAATTTTTTACAAACCTGTTGTTTCATCGTATCTACAGCCATTAGTGAATTGGTTTCTTTGCTAGAGCCTTTAAAATGTTTTTTACTTCGCCACCAACGGCGTGCTAGATTAGAAACAGTTGCACTTAGTTCATTATTCCCTTCCAGAGGTGTTGTGCGAGCAGACTAACATGCAAAATAAAGACATTCAAAAAAACTCAAAAAAATCAACAAATCAATAGCTTACGAAATAAACAATACTTTTTTGGATGTTTGTGACGGCATAATTATGCACCCTAAAATGTGTCGGTAACGAAATAGTAAAATAAAAAATGAAGTCGCTTTACCTTCTCCCAGCCACTAATTATGCTAATTGGTTAGTAAAAAAATGAAAGGCGAAAAATACATAGTGTAAGAAAAAACAATAATCCTTCATTGAAACCTTTTGTGTTATTAGTATTACATTTTTTACTCACAAACAAACAAGAGAAATTATTATTAAATCGTTTATTAAAAAACACAATTACAAAATTTTATTTTAAATCGTTTACATAACAGAAGATAAAGTGCAATTATTAATTTTCAAACACACAAAATTGTGTCAATATTCCAAAGCAAAATTTCGAAATTTGGTATTTACTTTTTCAACACAGTTTTTGATTGTTTTAGATAAGTTATCATAACAATTTAAACCCAGAATTCTAGTTTATCGTACTCAAATAATTGTAAATCATTTGTATAATTAACTCTTCCGGTTTCTAACAGCTGCAAAACTCTTGACTCATTCACAAAGCATATAAAAATGTAACGCTTTTAAGAATACTGTTGCTTCTGAAAATGGAAATTAAATTGTTTCTAACTAGTTTTTTAATATAATAACATTGTAGCCGACAGGTATTGATTTTATACACTGCATCTAATGGATAAAGTTTTATATTACAAGACTCGCAACACCTATAATTTTATAAAACTTTGTTAGCTGGGTACTTAGATAGAACTGTCATAAATTAAACTGCTTTGTGTATTTTTAATACACTATCAATGCACTTTGAGAAAAAAAAGTGTCCAATCTCCGACTTTCTGTGGACTCCAAATTTGCTTTAGAAAGTGAGGTATAAGAAAAATTACTCTGAATAATAATTATCGACCTAAAAATAATTTTCAGTTGAAATTTCTTCACGGTAAGTACATACAAATAGTTAAAAAGAAACATACACCACACATTCAAGTCACTCCAACACAGCTACACACCAATGTCTTGTGTTGAATTGTGTAAATGAAAAAGACAGAATCTATAAAATTCACAAACCTTTTAATTTGCCACAAATCCACCATTTAACAATATAAGGTTATTGTTAAATCTGCGGACGAAAAAATTACTTCCAAAGTTAGTCAATTTTGCTGTAAATGACCTGAAATAATTTAGAATTAATTTTGATTAAAAATAAAAAAGTGGCAACTAGTGAAATTACATAATGGGATCCAGATGCCGTGTCTATTACATAGAATAGTCCTAAAAGTCCTAAATTGCATTCCTAACTGGGTTTGTACTGTCATTAACTTACATAAGCTGGCGGTTTATTACCAATTCAATTTATTACAACTGAAATATAAAATACCAAATCAAATATGTACAAGCTTTTTCATTCATCTAATTTTCGAAAATAGATCGTTCATAAATATAGAAAAATGTACACATCTAATCGAGCATTTAATTTATCGATTGAAAATAAATGCCAAGAATACCACTCACTAAAACCTCTTCGTATATACGAATGAAACAGTTTTCCAGGAATTTTCATACAATAAACATAATACCTAGAATAACCTGACTAATCCTAATTTTCGATCATGTGAATACATTTCAAGACGCAGTATGTTAAAATTTCTAAATTTCGCATTGAAAATTATTCCCACTTCCATTCATTTATATAAAAACTAAAGCGCAAAGAGAGTAAAAAATATTATAATTAATTAATTAATAATTAATATTATTTATTATTAAAAATATTATATAAAAATATTGATGATTTCGAGAATTTAATGTTTATTTATATTTTTGATTCTGAAATAATTAAAAAGTTCCAATGCTAAAATAATGCTAGTCATTACTGTTCATTATACATATTGGTAACAAAGATATTAATCAAAAAATCATATAAATAGTTACATATGTAACAAATAGGTATATATTTGTATTACAAGGGAGAAAAGTGTATCTTTTCCTCCCACAGAAAACACCAAGGAAGGAAAAGACACTTTCCACCAGTGTAATACATACATATAATTTTTCCTACGACCCAACAAGAAAAACTTCAGAACTAACAATTTCTCTTTATATTCGCCAGCGATGAACTTTTCATTCCAATGACTCAGAATAATAAATAATTTCAGATTTGCTTGTTTCAAGTAAAGCAAAAAATGTTTTTCCTCTAGTTTTAGCGTAAAATCAAAGATAAAAAATTTTTCCACTTGTAAACTCAATCCGAGGACATACTGTATATTTTTATTGTAATTTTGGCAGATGAGAGAGGTAACATTTTTACCTACTTGGGAGGTAATTAAACACTTTCCTTTCTGACATTTGGGTAGAAACACTTACTTTCCGTTAGGGTCGTTGGAAATTTTAATTTTAAAAAATAAAACATCAAAAAATTATATTTATAAAAAAGACAATAGATACTCACATCCAACAAACTGCTGTAGAATTTATATAATTTAGATGTAAGAAATGAATTGTTAGAAATTAACAATGCGTATCCTTTCTCATTATAAAGTAACTGGTTTTAAAAGTAAATTATATTTCTAGTTATGATATATTTGTACCAGAAAAAGATGATTAAATCAAAATTTCGGGATAATTGTACGTTTTTCAAAGTTTCTCATTATTATCCAAATTAACAAGAAATTATTCTTTTCGAATCAATAAACAAATTTTAGGAATTGGATTCAATAATAGAATACTGTAAATTTAACAATTATTCTTTTAAACTGTTGATTCTTCGTAAAGAAAAATAGAATTGAGCCAAATGCCAAAAATAAAACTAATAAATGTTGAATAAAACTTAATATAATTTGATAACAAGGAACAGTATTTTGGTGGTAATTATCATAAATAAAAATAGTTCTTAAATGTAAGTTAAATTAGTGAATAATTTAAATCCTGAACATTGAACAAGTTCATGAAAAATTTTAAGACGTAGAATTCGAGAGATGTCATTAAACGGCGGACATGTTTGCGACGAATAGTACGAAACACACTCGTGAACAAAGAAAAAAAAATCAAAACAATTGCATTTGCAACAAACAACACACCAAACCAAAGTTACCCCAAAAACTAGCCGAGTAAACCAGCAAAAAAACGTTCGTGCTCATGCGGTGTGCCAAAAAATCGCAACGAAATACCAACTTTGACGTTTACACAATCAGCTGATTTACATCAAACAGTCGAACGTGAATAAAAACAAAGTTCGGCAAGTAATTTCGGACGCGTTCACAAAGCTGCGATTTGCCAACATACCTCAAGTTTATTCCTACCCGCATAAATCATAGTAATGGGGGCGCAAAGTGTGCGAAATGTGTGTTTTCGCTGGGGCGAACTCACAGAACGTGCACTCGAGATGTACTGTTGCGGGACTGCTAATACAGACGGCCTTGGCTGTAGCGCTCCACCGACGAATGAGAAGTCGCGGATTTGTTTATGACCCCCACCATTGGTGCCGGCACGATCAAAACAAAAACAAGCCGTTTTCGCGGGACGACGGCGAGACTGCTGGGGGTCGATGGACACAAAGAACTTGCTTTGGAGCGCCGCGACGCCCGATCGAGACGAATGGTGGCGGTGCCGACGGCGACGGCGGCACTGCAACCAGCGGATATCGATCGGAGCGCTGGATCGGCCGCTTGCATGTGCAATGCACCTGTTATTAGATTAGGCTGCTCTGTAAAAGTTTTGGTTGACGCCGTCTGGGGTACGTGATTCCTCGAGAGCCGATTAATGACGGGGGAAAGCGGGTTGACGATTCTTTATTTGGTCGTTACCCCGACGGTGCACGGGAATGACCCCACAAGCGTCTTCAGGATAAGCGCAAAGCGATAAGATAAAAACGCTCCTCCTCGTATACCAAAGTTACAGAAGCTCTCTAAATGTCTAAAGAAAGAAATAAATCACTTTCAAAATTTGTCTCAAAGTAATTATCCAAAACAACCTTTGAGATTATTTTATTTAAAAATTGCCTAAAATTATATATTTCCCCAGTTAGATGCGTTTTCTTCTTTTCTTTCGTTTGTGTGTTTAACTGCTCTTATAGTCTGAGTTAAGGACTAGAATTTATTTAAAAAAATGCAAAAAAAGCAAAATGCTCAGTATCAAATGTGAAAATATACTCAAATTGCGTTAAATCTACTTTTAGAGCTTTAGTTTTTTTTTTTCTTTCAATAGCGATTTCAGGGTTGTAAAAGAATAGTAATTTACGATATTTGTAAGTCCGGTAATATTATGAATATCGAAATAAGTACTGGAATAGACTTACTGGATGTAAGTATATTATAATAAATTTTTGTAATAATACATTTGCTATATATGTGACTATAGGTACATACATACATTATGCTACTCATAATTCACACTTATCATAAGTCACAGTTCTGTCTATATTATTGTTGTTGGTTGCCAGCGTTAGTATCCCCGGGACACCATAAGTCACAGATCTGTCATAACAAATATAAATTTTGTAAGTAAAATAAGTGTTTTATGTAGATAAAATGTCATATTCTACTCGCAAATAATGGTTACGACTCGTTTTTAAACTTCAATTCACCTTCCTGAATAATAATAGCCATCATTAATACGCTCGTTGAATAATATACTATTATCTCATGGTGTTTCAAAAAAAAAATTGTCAAAAAGGTTTGATTTGCCGTTTTGTGTTAAAAATAAAAATCCGGTAAATGTTGATTTTGTAATAGATCACTTCCCGGACTCAAAATAGAGTCGGAAAGCTTAATTTACCGGGGAATATGAAATAAAACAAAAACAAAACAAACCGGGAAAAATCTGAATGTTTTTACTAAAAAACTAATTTTGTTACATACATAATAGGCAATACAAAAAGTTTAATATTAATACAAAAAGTACATTTTTTAAATACGGTTACGTGCGATTCCAAAATTACTAACAAAAATCTAATTTAAATTTTTTGAAAAAATTCAAAACGGCCTCAACCACACTGCATATGGAAAAATTCTAATAAATTAGAATTAATAAATTTATAATAAATTTAATAAATTATTATAATTTAAAAAATAAAATATCGCGTATCACGAAATCAAAGTGCAGTTTTCCTACTATCAGGGAGCTATGGACTCAAAAAAATACATAGGTACACAATAAGAACTTAAAAAAATCGATTTTATTGGGAAGGTAGACACTGAAATTTACATAAACTAAGAGCGCAACAAATAAAATAAACATTTTTTTGACTCATTATTCTAGGGACCGTATTATTAAAAAATGCCCCAAGCCATCATTTTTAAAAATATGACAATACTTTTACAGGTTAATGTGATAATTTTTTGGGATAGATGCTCAATAAATCAAAATTGCTCACAATAAACTGTTCAACTTAAATCAAAGAAGTGTTGTCATAGTTAAATAAAAATAAGTTATGGCTTTTTTAGAGTTTTTTAGAATACAGCCTAATAATAGAAAACTTTGGGCTTTCGTCTTCCAAGAGTTTTTCAAAATGTGGCAAATACCAAATAATGAAATTAGGTTTACTTTTTTAATCATTTAGGATCATCACGGAATAAAACCAACTTGATAAGTAGTGAAACAGAACTGTAAATACTTCATAAATAAACATCAAATGTGTCTAATTCAACACGAATAATAATTGCGATAATAAAAGCCTAAATTTAAAATTTGGTCACACTCATTTCATTAGCATGATATCTGAGGTAAATGTTACCAGACAACAAATTAGATGTTTAAAAATACCAGTCATGTTTGTTGTGCGATGATATTTTGAATTTATAATTCATTTGTGGAATTTTTTCGAAATAAAAAAGCAATCAGGTAGACCATTTTATTAGAGGTAATTAAATTCGGCAACATTTCTTCGTTCGAACAATTTCTTTCGTCGGTGTGCTTTGATCTACGACCCTTCGGACCGAGAAACCTCCAATATTACAGTATTCAGAACAATACATTCCCGGAGGTGGCAAGTTTTGCCATCGACTTGCCTCGGACAATGAATCCTCAAACAGCGTACATCTGTCTTGCAGATGGGGGTATAAATACGAGAAGGTTTGTTTGATGTAGTGATCCTGGTATTCCGATTGCATACCACTGTTATCCAAAATCATAATTAGAAAAATCATCTAGGGAATTAGTAAAAACTCACAAATTGGGAACGCGTTTCAATGACCTCGACATCAGCCTCACCGGCAACACATTTTTGAATATTTGTCTATCGAACATTGTTTTATTACCGGAAGACGGAGGCAAATCGAATTCACCTTGCTGCAATTTTCACTACAAACGTATTCAAATTGATTATTATTACCTACGTTGTAAAACGTGAGTGTTTTATCGTCAGGTAGGTCTTCATGGTGTATATATTCGGACTTGTAGACAGTTAAATAAGGGTCTGTCCATTTCCAAAATCCCTTTGTGTGAGGCTGGATGGCTGGTTGTTGCTCACAACCCAGCTTACTCACCTAATTAAAATTCAAGTAGTTAAATAGACACCAAATAGAATAATTAATTAACTTACATGACACTTTGCTGTAACAACAGGAGCTTTAACTTCTTCTATGCTGGGCGGGATGTAATTCATTCGGAATGAATCTTTCATTTCTGAAAGAGGAAGCGCTATCGGAGGAGGAGGATTAACAAACAACTACAACAACATGAGAATTAGTCAAGAAACAACTTAAAATGAGATACCTTTTCTTCCACATTCCTTAGATATTCCAAACACTGGTTTTGTGGCGGTCTGAATAACTGGTCGGGTAAAATAACTTTCCGCGGGTATTCCTTGGAATACCACGTTTCAAATTCCTCATTTCTGATGGCAAGATCCTTATTTAGCAATTCTCGTTTAATTGTTGCTTTGACTCTCTAAAATATCCTCAAAAAAGCAGACTTTTAAAATTGCTTTGTGACTCTTACGCAATCGAATTCCTGGGGCACTTGTGGGATAAACCGATGACACTTTCCAGTGGAAGTTTCATGTTTCTTTGCTGTGTTTTGAAAGCTGATACAATTTGAAACCATTTTACCTCAACTCATTCTTGAATGATTAAACTGGTTACCATAGAAATCTCAATTTAGTTTTGTGTGTTTTGTCAGTTAGGTATTTCTTGGAACTTGCCGTTTTAATAATTTACAATGTCGGGAACAAAAATTTCTGATAAAGACCAAATTAACCCATCATCTGCGGAAAAAATTGTATCGGCTTTAAATGTGAAGAGTACTGAAGCCTTCTTTGCTGATCCGTTAGTCACGGAAGCAATATCGAACATCTCGACTCCCTCTGCAGCCTCAGGAGGATCTCCTCAAGATTTACACAAAGAAAGACCCTCTGTTACAATCGATACATCTGGTGATAGTCTTAATAAAAGTTCGGCAGACCACATGTCTCACTCGACAGTACACTCAAATACCACTCAAGCCAGCCAAGAGACTATCAACACGGGGTCAACAGTAACCTCCACTACTTCAGTGGAGACCACAGAAGGTGCAGAAAAGTCTTTACAATCAATCTTGTCGAAAAAAAGTATTAGTCAGACCACACTTAACACCATCAGCCAAGCCTCCAGTTTGGGGACACAACTTTCAGACGTCACAATGGACTCAGGTAGAATAGAATTTTTTTTAGACGGTATTGAATTAAAAATATTGAATTTTCGCCTCAGGGAGACGCAGTAGAGCTTCCCAGAAAAGATTGAGTAATGTATTTCGACGCCCTTCAGCGCCTACAAGTAATATGAGTTTTAGAAATCCGTTAGATGGTAAAAAGTCGAAAATTGTAAACTGAATTTAATGTTAAGCCTTAGATATGACAAACGCCGAATTAGTTAGTGCCGTAACTGAATTAGAAAAAAGTGCAAAACATCTGGAGCTAGAAAACATGGTTTTTCTTCATTTTTTAGAAAAAAATGAACCATCGCTAATTGAAGGTTTAAAATAAAACTCTAAAACATCTTAAATATGGAAAATTTAGGCATGGACAATGTTCTGAAAACTGTTCAAACTATGCAAGATCGCACCTCGGTCTCCTCTAAAAGACTGACACTAACGAGAGCTTCGCGACAGTCAGAGTTTTTGTCATATTCAACAAGTTCCATAACCCCCATGACACTAGAAAAAGAAGGACCAAGGTATGATTGTAAAATTTATTAATGATCTACATAAGTTAGAATAAGATTTTCCCCATCCATTATTACACCATCAGTTATAAGTTTTTCAAGACAGTCTGCAAGATTTTTTGAAATTACCCCACTGTCGTCCTGTTTAAACAACCTCAATTTTTTTTCAGTTATCTTATTATTATCATTTCTCAATTTACATTCGTTTGCGATTGCATCAATTGCGCGCCCTAAACTCCAACTTTTTGAAACGAAAACAGGTGTGACTTGACCAGTTTCAGGATGCGTAACATTGAAATAAACACGGTCTGTGGTTGGAATACTGCTGAGCCCTTTAGCCTTACTCTTGATCTTCATAAGTTGTACTTTATTTGCCAAGTTTTTGCCCTTCTTTTTAGCCGCAATTAAGTTCTGTTCGATTTGTTTGTCCACCGCATTTTTAGCTTCATTAAATTGCCTCACAGGTGCAGCCCGTTTTTCCCTTTCTTGAGCAAAGAATTCCTCATCTGGTTCACTACACTGGGTAATATGCCGGTGTTTTATACAGAAATGTTTGTGACAATTGGAACAAAGCAAAGGTACCAAACTGGATTCGTGACAATTTTCAAAAGTGCACTTGTAAACATTTTCAATTCTTTGTGGTTCTACCTCAACGTTGGTGGAAGTTTCACACCCTTGCACATGCTTGTTGAAATGTTCAGAACAAAATTGTTTGCCGCATTTACATTGTAATGGGAGAAAATCTAACTGTTGGCAGTTTGGATGGGCACATTGTTGCCCCAAATTGGGGAGTTCCATCACTGATGTTCACTTAAAGCACCGAGGGCAATGTCGGTCCACTTTTGTTCTTGTTCTTTGAGAGTTAAGTGGATATCTCCGGAATCGGCCTCAGGATCGGCTAGTTCGTGCGTGGGTACGTTGATGTCGTCTTTAGGGAGTTCCTCGGAGCGCCAATTATCGTCAATTAAATCAACAAAATAACCGTCGACAGCCACAGAACTGTCCATTCCTGGAAAGTGAGGTTATGACACAATTGTAAAAAATTACACACAAAATAGGAGCATTTCGTCTTGAAATACTTATGAACAGTTATCAAAAGCACTTACTAAGATTGGTAGAACAAATGATTCGGCAGATTGCAAAAATGAACACAAATAATTTAGTTGCAAACTTTTTTAGTTCCGTTTTAATTTTTATATGGTTGGCTACACTGAATGTTGAAATTATAACGCAAACTTTAAATTTATTGTAATCTTTATTTTCAAGAATAAACATTACTCAAAAGACAGATTTAATAATGCGAGAAATGGACGATATCCAAGCGGCGTTAGATAAAATAAATAGAAAATGCTACATTACGAGGCATAAATTAAAAGCAGAACTGGAGGAAATGGCCATTAGAGAAAGTGAAATTCAAGAAATCAAAGATACGTTTGAAAGAATATTTATTAATAATGAAGTATTAGAAAAGTATACTCAAAAAAATCCGGCAGATCGATTTTGTAGGTAAAAAGCTTTTTCATTTTATAAAAACTATGATTTTTGAGACTTTTCTATTATAAGATTTATGGATGAAACTTTTAAAAAAACTCGTGCTACTACCGACAAACTACGTTTAAGAACAAGTTCTCTGAAAGTGCAATACCAGAAAATATGTGCTCAATTAACTCAGAAGAAGCTTCTAGGCGAGCATTTACAAGAAGTGGATTTTGAGCAGCTCGAAATCGAAAATAAGCATTTAAGGGAGAAAATTGATAAAAGGAATTTGTTGCTTCTTGAACTGAAAAAAATGAACGGCCACGCAAATTTATTGCTGAGCAATCAGAAGAAGCATCTGTTGAAAAAAGTGACCGATTTGAAAGTGTATCAAGACACAATTAAAACCCAAGAAGAGTTGGTCCGAAAAATCGACGACGAATGTGAGAAGGTTTCTGAAGAATTGGACGCAACTAAAGAAGAATACGATAAAATTAAAACCAAAAGTGAAAATTACGAGGTTAATTGAAATACGACTGCGTCTGTCTATCGTACCTTAGGTACCTTCTGTTTTAGAGTATGTAAAAAAGAAAGCCGAGTTGGGTCTGCTGAAGAAAAATCTAAAGATATGGGAGAGACGAAAACAAATCAAAGATGTATTTCATTACAAAAGTAGGAATTCATTATTTTTAATATATTTTTTTTTTTCAGATGGCACTTACTGCCTCTGTGAGAGAAATGAAACACGCGACAGGTTTGCCAACTGTAAAGTCATCTTGGTTTATGTGAGATTTTCGCAAAGTTGGTTGAGTTTGAGTCATTTTGTTGTTTTTACAGTAATCCTCATGATTTGCACCGAGGACGAGGATCAATTGAGAGTACATTTGAGTTCATATTTGAACGTAAAATGAGGCTTTCACAGTTATTATTGCATAAGAAGAGGAGCAGTCGCCGTAAAACACAGTAATGTAATTATTTCATAGAAAATGAAAAAAAAAACATCAAAATATTATTAGCATTTTTTATTCTATAATTAATTACTAAATAATATTCAGAACAATAAACAAACTTTAAGACAATTTAAGAACAAAATAGTATTAATAATAATGAACCGACATCGATTTTACATCACTTATTTTAAGAGTCAGAACTAGAGTCATCATCATCAGTTGAGTACCGTCTTGTAGAAGAAGAGCTATTTGTTGCGCATACTATTTCGTAAATACCATAACCAATTGCTACAAGTCCTGCTGTAATACGTAAAGCATTAAATGATACCGTTGCCACTGAAGAAGATTCTATTGAATCACGTGGTCTGAACAGTTGATGAAGACCTACTGGTGCCAATGATAAAGATTCGAGTGAAGATTCTGTTGAAGGACTTGGTCTAAGCAGTCGTTGACGCAATTGATTTGTTCTTTGTTCATTTAGAAGCTGACGTTCTCTTTCTAAATCAAATCTCTCTCTGTAAATTAAAAACCGTTCGTCGATTTTCTAAAAAAAAAACAATGGGAAATAAATATCCTAAAGTAATAATCGATAATCTTACCCTGGTAAGCTCTTGTTCGTATTCATTATGCAGATCAAGACTGCTTCCTAAGAATCTAATATTATGATAATTGTCAAGTGCTCTTGTTTTACAAGATTCGTGGTGATTATTAAGTAATAAAACTGACAAAAAATTATGATGCATTTGTTGATCATATAAATTGAAAGAAGTTTCAACAGCGTTGTTATGTTGATTTCTTATTGCAGTCTGAAAAATAGAGATATGTTAGTATATTTACGTAATTCTATAAACAATACAAAGTTTGCTTATACCTCTAGTCTTGTTTCAACTTGTGGCAAACCATCTCTAAGTATTTCAGTGTATATGTCAAAACGTCTAAATAAATCCTCTGCAGTGATTTCTTTTTCGTTAAAACGTTTTACTGCCAGATTTTCTGGTTCAAAAATGCACTCAACTAGTTGTTTAACATAATGTTTAAAATTAGCACTGATTTCTAAAAAGTAATCGTTTATTGAATAACTTCAGTTTGATACATTAGTATAAGTACAACATACCATTTAGATCTCCTCTAAAATTGTCGTCGGCGGCTACCCTCTCACCAGGAAATGGCAACAGAGAGCATTTAATTGGTTTAAATAAATTGCGCAAATTATCTCTTTGCCCATTTATTTCGTTAGGAAGTGTATCATGATGACTGTAAAGTCTGTCATGAAGCAAAGTCTCACCCCCTGAAGTACCAAATGGCCTTTCGTAAGGTGCAAGCCAGTCCCGGATTAAAATCCAAAGATCTTGGAACGGATAATCATCATTTGTAAATAATCTCCCATACTGACCAAACATCTATAATATATTTCGTTTAATTTTTTTTATTCATTAATGTTTTACACTTAATAAACCTCTAAAGATTCTAAATCATTTTGATTCAAATTGCGCATTACGTTATAAATTTGTACGGAACTTATCAATGTACTAAGGGCAAAAATTGTTGTCGAATTTTGTGTAGTGGTTTCATTGTCGTATGCACCTTGAGTATCAAGCAAAATGACTGCAATCTGAAAATCGGATTTGGATGTCAAAATACAAAACCGCTATGATATTGGTAAATACTTCTTCATTTGATGAGGGTTTGTGAATAGTGAAAACTTCTGGCCACATTAAAATACCATTCGTATGGGCACTAGACCCATGTTCCCACGAAAAACCTGATAAATGCGAGCCATGTATGGGATCCAACCAATCAGAATTAGGATCAATTGGAGAAGTCCCATGCTAGAGTTTATAAATAAGTAGTAGATGTGCACTTTTTTGTCATAATCAAATATTGTCATACGTACCCTTAATTTCAAATATCTTAAAAAAAAATTTAACAAAAAAGATTTGCCTTGTCTGAAAGTTCCTGCTATTGAAATAACACAGATCTTCTGGTTTCTAATTTCCGGTCGCAAAAGAATACTTTCGAGAGCATTTACATTTAGTCTTATTGAATTATTTTCATTTCGATCTGTGTTAATTATTTGAACAGCCTCAGTTGCCATTATAAAGTAATTCTAAAATACGTTATTACGTTATAAAATAAAATCCACATTGTTTTGAATTAGTTAAACTTAAAGAAGTTACTAATTCATAAAAAAAAAACTTACATTTAAATTTGCTACAATATTACTATCCTACTGTAAGTATTAAATATTGCAACTTATCGAATACACATCACACAACTAGCAAAAACAATAGATTTTCGGATACTTATATATGACTTATCTAAGGTTAATAAAATTATTATCTGTAATCTATATAATCTATAATAATATAAAATATTAGCCATCAAAATGTCTTTTCAAATAACTATAGGTAAGTATAATTAAAAAACTTCTTGGTAATAGTATATTTCATAACGAGCACGGAAAGTGACACATAACGGCATAACGCACAAGTGAGGAGTCTTATGCACGAAGCGTCAACCGAGTGCAGAAGCCCCACGAGTGAGTTTTAGATTCAGATTTAGTTTAGTATCAGATAAACAAAATAGCAACATACTTGATAACAGTAATTACTTATTACATTATAACTATGCGTTATAATAAGGTACAAATTTTTGACAAATGAATAAGTTTATCAAGTTTCATGCCTACTCAATTGTTGAAATTGACATCTTTCTTATTATACCTATATAGTGTCGTAGAAAAAAAAGTAAACTTAATTATAAAGATAACCCGCTTTTAGCGTAAATTGTACCATAATCCAACATCCAAACTCTAATCTCCTTTTAATCATTTGACGCGATAGTTATGTGGTGGTTATCTGTGATTGTAAGTTTAGGGGAAATCCCCAATTTCCAACAATCGGTTAGATGATCAAGGCTTCGATTAGAACTCATGATCGTTTTATTTTATCACTCAATATGACACTACCTAACTAAAAATAAACTTGTGCTAATGATAAAAAATGTTATCTCTATGTGCTGATGTCTGAATAAGTATAAATTAGCCCAGAAATTAGGTAGATGCTACTTTTCTTTCATAGTAAACGATGTAGGCAACTAATATTACTCATTTATTCACAATTTCCCACTTGCCGGATTTCGCGGCAGCTTGACAATCTCACTCACTTAAAGTGCTTAAGTCCTAACGAAGACCTAACCTCACTTTTAATCCATGTGTTCTAAACGAAGCGAAGCACATTATTTATTTTAATTTGAAGAAGTAAACTTTTTCGTAAGTGATGGATTATTCTGTAGGCAGTTTGTCCGATTTAATAACTGGTTCGAATACCCCCAATAAGAAGAATGTAATCAGAAAAAAGATAAGTCCAAAAACTCGAGAATCAAACAAACATTCTTCGAGTTTCGCTTCTCAGGAACCTGATGAAACATCAGATTTTCAATTTCAAGAACAGAAGTCGGAAAAGACACTCAAAAAGAAAATCAAGAAAAAAGCTACAAAAAAACTCATGAAACCGAATTTACAGGCAAATGATGAGAATGAGTCTTTGGATTTTCAAGAACAGAAGTCGGAAAACAAACTGAAAAAGAAAAAGAAAATCAAGGAAAATAATACAGAAAAATCTGTGAAACGTGAGTTACAAATAAATGATGAGAATGAGTTTTTGGATTTTCAAGAACACAAGTCGGAAAAGAAACTGAAAAAGAAAATCAAGGAAAATAATGAGGAAAAACCCGTGAAACGGGAGGGACAGACAAGTGATGAGGATGGGCCTTTGGTAAAAAAAAGCAGGAAATCTATGAATGCGGAAAGACGTATTAAATCAAAAGAAAAGAAAGAAAAGTTTGAGGAAGATCCAGAATTACTTTCAAGGACAATATTTGTTGGAAATTTACCAATTAATTCAAATACAATACAGCTTAAAAGATTTTTCATGAAATATGGAAAGGTGGAGGCTGTGTGGATACGAGGAGTGCCTGTTGCGGATCCCAAGATTTCAAAAAAAGTTGCGATTATTAAAAAGAAATTCCATCCAGATCGAAAAAGTTTTCATGGATACGTAAGGTAACTGTTTTTATTAATTTTATATAATAATTAAAAAAAAAAAACATTATTTTAGATTTGAGACGAGAGATGAAGCTATCAAATCAACAGAAGCAGATGGTGTTCTGTACAAAGAGCACCATTTAAGAGTTAATATGAGTGACGCTAAAGACAAGCCAGACGAAAACAAAGCCATTTTTATTGGAAATTTAAGCTTTTGTATGAATTCTGTTTTGATTGTGCCTTTCATATATTAAATTTTCACACTTAGATGCAGAAGAAGATGACTTGTGGAAAACATTTGAATCTTGTGGCCCCATTTCCTCAGTTAGGATTGTAAGAGATAAGAAAACTGGAGTAGGGAAGGGATTTGGTTACGTGAACTTTAAAAATTCTGATTCCGTAACACTTGCTTTAGAAATGGAAAATGTTAAGCTTAAAGATAGGGAATTAAGAATCAGTTTATGTAACCTTAATGCCGCAAAGAAAAATAAAAAAACGGGTAAAGTGAAAGAGGTAACTTAACAACTTTTTTTCTACAAGGTAATAAATATATGTACAATTAATTTTTATAGATAAAGAAAGCCGGAAAACCCAGAACTAACAAAAATAAAGAGAAAAGTAATGTAGAACAAAATGATGTTAAAGAAGAGGTTCATGTAATTGGAAATCAAGCTTTCCAAGGTGTTAAGCATGCAGAGAAAAAGGTAATTACTTTTTCACAATCACACATTTTTCTTAAAACTGTCTTACAGAAAAAGAAATTCAACAAAGGTTTGTTGCAAAAGAAAAAGTTGGTTAAGCAAATAGCTCCAAAATGATTGTTTTATTAATTTCACTTTATTGTAACACTGGACAAGGAATGATCGTGAATAAATTAATTCGGGTCAATGATTATTTATTTGTACATACGGACTACAAAAACTGATTTAATATTTATTTTTACTTTCCAGTTCTTAGGTGCTTCTCCTTCATCTCACTTATTTCCATTTGATTTTATTTTTGTCACTTTTTTAGCTAGAACTTATGCGCACTTAATTTTTTCCTTAGGTGCCTCTTGGGGCCACCAACTAGGTCTGAAGGTCACCGCAGCTCCATCTCCCAATTTAATCTCCTTGAAAGCCAATGTTTTTGCTATTCTCAGCGAGGCCAGTCCTACATTTCCCTCTATGCCTCTCAACTTTCCTAAATTAACATTTTCTTGAACAATTTTTTCGTCTGGATATTTTGTGGGTATTTTGGTAAAGTGAAGAGGCATCAAACGTTTCCTGACCACACCAGTGTGATATACTCGTGCTGTTAGTTCCTGCCCCACGTAACAACCTTTATGGAAGCTAACACCATGTAAATAATCACAGTTACATTCAAGAGGGAAACATTCTCCTGGAGGCAAATCTTCAACTCCTTCTCCTACCCCTAAACTGTATCGCAACCAACGGTAGTTTTTGCCAGATGAATTTTCCGCGATTTTAAAAGTATCACCAAGTTGTTCAGCGACATTAACGCCACATTTTGCAATTAATCGAAAACCTAAATTTGCAACTCTTGGGTCGCGGTAAATCCACATGTCTTTATGAACTTTAAATGGGGTTTCCAGTGGTCGATTAGTTAATTTTTGATTTGAATTTAAGTCAAAGTTGTTGGTATTAAGTAAAACATGAATTTTTAACTCATCAGTTAAACTTGTAACGTCGATTTTACGCCTGACTCTGTATAGTTTTAAATGCTTTTGCAAAATATCTTCTGATTTAGTGTCACATTCAACTAAATACGTATTGTTTTCGGAACTACGATAAACAATAGCGTCGTAAAGAACTCGACCTGCGCTATTTAAGAACATTGTGTACATGCAACTGGGTCCTGAACTGATATGTTCAATATCGTTTGTGATTAATCCTTGAAGAAAATTTGAAACTTCGGGTCCTGATACCCGAATTAGAGTTCTATTATTTAGAGGTTCCAGGACGTGGGATGATAAAGTTGATAAGAGTCGCTTTAAAGGTAAGTGAGATAATATTGGTTTTAATTTTAACATTTTCGATAAACCTAACCTATAAATTTTGTCAATTTTTAATAATTCTGTACTGAAACACTTACCAACAATATATTTCAGCAAAATAAAGACTGTAATAGTGATTCTCCTGTGAGATTAGCTTTTAGTTTTGCTTATTTTTTGTAAAATTCAAAACCGTAAAATGTGAGGTTATACTAAAAATGACATCTATTTGTGTTTTTGGCGCTATTTTTAAAGAGAACTCAATAAAAATATAACTTTATGCGATGTTTAAATCGATTTATTATTGTTCTGAATAAACAACAAACGAACGGTTTAACAGTTCTTGTAGATAATGAGACAGTGTTTGTTGCACTAGCATACCAACCACTTTTAACATACGCAATCGATTTTATTATTAGATAAATCTAAATATTCCAAGGAATAAATTAATCCACTAAAGTGTTTCCAGTTTAAATGTTTTATAAAATTATGATGCACTGAAAAAATGGTTCATTTTGTCAATTTTTTAAGCAGTCTGGTACATACCTATACCTACGTACGATATCTGATTTTTACTAAGAAAATATCCGTTCAACTCTATTTTCTGGAAACAATAAAGTTGAGAGGTTTATTAATTTTTTAAGAAACTCTTGACGAATTATCACAATATTGCTTAGAGAAATTCATAATTCTTCCTATCATGCTTTATACTCTCAAACGTTCTTCGTGTTACGTAGAAAATTTTCAACGAATTTGCTTTTCTAATTTCTAAAAAGGTGTTGACTTGACGTAATCTCAATTTTTCTAATTTTTTTAAATCACTGAATGCATCATCGCTAATTTCTTAGAGATCGTTTGAGCCCCATTTCACAGAGAGCCTCTCAGTTTTCTTAAATCTGGGCTTTAGGGGGCTGGTTATTGACACAACGTACTTTTTAGTTAAGCGGCAAGTAGAGTTACTTACTTCCATTACCTAAACAAGAAATATGATTACTTGAATCCTGTGATAAGTCCTGTCAATTCTAAGTATGAAATTATTTGCAGGAGCTTTATCAAAAACTGAGTAGGTATGCAATTGATTGTAAACGGCAATTCACTGATATACTGTGATTACTATATTGTAATGCATCTTAAAAAATGTTTTAGAAAGGTTTGTACTGCAAAAATTTGGGTGAAGCAACTTGCCTTAGAAAAAAGTACATTGTTTTTTTTTTACTTGAACGTTAACATAACATATAAAAAAAAGTATAGGTACATACTGGACGTATTTATATAATATATTTGTTAAAAGTGACCTTATAATAATGAGAACTTATGTAATTTGCAAAATACTGAAGTTGCTTTTCCTGTTTTTAGAAAGTAGATTTAACGGAAATATCTTTTTGATGAACATATTCGTAAATAATACAAAAACGTATGTAAAACTGTAGAGTATGAATACGAGAATTCTCCAAAAATACAGAATGAAAAATATATTTGTTATTAAAAATATGACAATGAAAATAATATACCTACTCATCACTCATGGTCATGACGTCATGAGACATACTATCTATAGCGAGAAAAACTATGGAAGTAGGAAAATGACCGAATGAAAAAAAAAACAATATAAAAAATAGAAGAAAAAATTAATAAAAAATTTTATTCTTCGACACTGTCAAAATTTACGGTTTTTCTCCCGTGTAAGGAAGTTTTGACAACTGTTTGGCATTTCTCAATACAAAACGTCAAATTATTTTTAACAGATTTAAAGCAAGTTTAAGCCTTGTTGACTCTAATTCGAAGAATAAAATGTTGTATTCCACTCGTTTGAGTATAAATCGGACGCTTTATTCCACCTCGTAGATGGTAAACCACTCGTTACACTCGTGGTTATAAATCCACTCGGTCAAATAAAGAGTCCGATTTACACTCAAACTCGTCAAATAAATAACTATTATTTAATAAATTATTATAACGGGTGTTTTTTTTAATTTGGCGTCAAAGCTATTCATGAAAGTTTGATTGTGAACATGTTATTTACACATAAAATAAGTAATGTAAAATTACCTTCTAGGTAATTTTGAGAACTTAATGAACAATATAACAATAAAAATAGCAATAACATTCAAATGCTTTTGTGAAGCTTTTATTAATTAGAAATTAAATACATATTAAATTGCTACATGAAAAATAAAAAATACCTATAATTCCTATATCTTAATTTTTTTATTTTTATATTAATATTAATATTTATATTAATATGATTTTATAATGATTTTATATCATAAGACCATAGCAACACAAAAAATTTCCTAAAGTTTTTTCTCTCTTTGCTTTAATAAATTAGTTTTTTCTTTAAATCGTGATGTCATGAAATTTTCTTACCATACGGTATACACCACTCGTTGATTGAATCCGGGAATTATCACGTTTTTGACAATCACTCGAAAAAATTTCCGGAAACAATCAACACACTCGGGGTATACATATATCTAAATGAAAATTATGCTTAACATAGGTAATTTTTGGAAAATTTTCCAGTTTTACAAGTTCTGTGCGAAATGCAATTATCGCCTTCTTGTTTCTTGGAAATGCTGCATTTAAAAAGGCGTATGGAGGCAATATCAGCGTAGCGTCGAGCAGCTACGAAAACCGGGCAGGAAATTACCCTTCGCCGTTCGCAATATGTCAGACAGGACAAACATTGACGTCAGCTTGTGTAAACAATGTACTCATTATTACATGTGTCGCGCCTCTGAAACATTGACCGTAAAGAAATTGGATAGAAATCGCAAATTATCAACCATTCGTGTCCCTCTAGCCATCAAAAATCGAGCAGTGGAAGAATTTTTTAAAATGACTGAACAAAGGCTTTTGAAAGTTTCGTGATTTTGTCTAAAATAGCGCCGCAGTGGCAGGCAGAAATTAATTATTTCTTTCATTAGTAGAAGTTTATTAATTAAGGAAGCGCTTCAGATTCGTCTTGTTGTTTGTTCAGCGTCATCTCAACCCTTTGCCTCCACTCGGATGAGACCAACTTTAAAATGGAAACTTATAAGAACGGCTTGCACAACAAAATTAATTATGTATCTCTAAATGGAATATTCATTCACTTGTGTCAATATGCGAGTTATTAAAAATCATAAGGTTTTTTATCTTCGTAAAATATTCAAATGTTATTTTGAGACACCTAGATTTGATAACAAATTTATTATAATTAGTTATCTTTCGATTGAGCTAATACATCAAACGTCTAAAACAGGATTTAAAAGGCGTAGCAAGCACGCATGTGTATTAAGCACATATTTGATGTTTGCCGTGGAATCGCGGCAATAAAGAGTGAACTAATACGAAATAATCCCATTATTGGCGTCGTGACGCTGCATTCTTCTCTTTCTATTTCGTGCATTGGGATGGAGAGGACGCTAAACGTTCCGGTTGTTGATTAGATCGTACAACAGGTAACAGTCAACAGGCTCAAATATTTGCAAATCCGTCTCGAATGTAAATATCCTCGTCTAAACCGGGTGGATCTGTTGTTACAATGTCAGACAATGCAGCTAATCTACCTTTAATTTGATAGATACCTAGATTATAGGTTTGTCGACTTTTTTATCAACGAGAATCATCAAGCCTTTCGTCCACCTTGTGTAAAGTATCGACACCAAATGGGAATATTTTTTTATATTAATGTTTTTTTTTTGTTTGTGATTTATACTACTATATCTACTACCTCACTTCATACGCATTAAAAACCATAACGATAGCCTCACCTCACTTATATTAAATTAACATATTGTTAATTTTTTTTATAACCTGTTTACAACAAATATACAGTGTGCCCTCGGATAGGTGAAACGACTCTTGTAAAAAATAAATACAATTTGAATAAAATTTTTATTTTTTAGGGTTCAGCATTGCTTGCTTAAATACTAATTTCTAACATTAGTTTTGAAAAATCAAGTATGTCTTAGAAATTTTCATAAAACCTATTTTTTTGTAGAGTATAGTGTCTTTGTGTGGCAAATACGACAAAAAATTATTAAGAAAAGGTGTTTAAAAGCAACATCTACGCCCGTATACCAAATTTTAAAATCAAAATCATCGGACAACTATGACTTTTTATTTTTTTTATGTTTATTAATTCACATTAATATATTTTTAACAGTTCTTTTATTACGAATAAAAAAATTACATTTAGAAAATCAGTATTAAATACATTTTTGACGTTTCTGTTAATGAAAAGCCATTATCTTAGAATAAAATGAAAAATCATAATTTTGAAATTTGGTATAGGGGTTTAAAATTTAATTCTAAACAACTTTTCTTAATAATTTTTTGTCGTATTTGCCACACAAAGGCACTTTACTCAACAGAAAAATAGTATTTTTGAGCTCCAAAAATTGAAAATATAATTTTTTTGTCTTTTACAAGAGTCGTTTCACCTATTCGGGGACACACTGTATATCAATAACTTACTATACTAATTTGTTGAGTTTAACTGCGAGAACATGCTTAATTAGATATAGAAACCAATAGAAAACCTTTGGGGAATCTTAATTGGCCGATTATATTAGGATAACAAGCAATATCAGATAAGAAATGGATTAAATATGCAATAAAAAAGGTTCTGGTTTTGCTAATTTAAATCTGGAGGTTACAGTTATAAACCAAAAAATCAACTTTTTTGTACTACCATGATTAGAAAATATTTTTTTTGCAAATTTAAATAATTAAGTTACAATAATTTATTAATTACATACAATATTTATTAATTATTATTTATTAAACAAGAAATACACTTCAGAATTAATTTATTATTAGCAAAAAAATAAATATAATTAAGTTTCGCTACATTTAATTTTCTGTTTTCTGTGTTGTTTTCGTGTCATGCTCAAAACACTTACATTTCCTACTCTTCTCTGTTTTTTTTAATTCACTCACCGCATCCGAAAGTTGTTTTAATTTGCTCATTATTTCACTGTGGTTAAGTTTTTCTTTCGTGCATTTAAAGTAATGGTCTTGAATTTTGTAAAAACATTCCCTGTCTATTTTTTTTGGAAACCGTTGGCTATTCTTATTACCGTCAAATTGGTTGTCTTTGTTAACATAAAAGTCAATTGTTTTTTTTCCTTTATTCTCATCAGAAAACAATAAAGGACTGGGTATATAAGCCCGTAGTTTTTTTAGAAATATAAAACTATAACCCCACTCGATAAATGACATAAAAATAATGACGTTTCTAAAACCGTTCACCACTGATGATCTTTCAATTCGTTCGATGTCAGTTACAGCAACACCAGTCCAAAAATTGACAATCACTAAAGACATACTCATAGCAAAAAGCAAAAACATCAAATATCCTGCAATTCCTGATGAATCGAAATCAGTCTTTTCGTCAATGTCGACCTGACCTGTGGCCATAATGTACGTTTTGAAAATAGCGGTAAAAAAATTTTTAAACTGTCCATCCCCAGAAAACAAAATTTGAAAACCCGTGCTAAAGCCCACAATTATAAGTGAAAAAAATAATAATAAAATGGTGAAGGTTTTGAAAACTTTTTGTAACATAACTGACCATTTTGAGAGTTTGGGATGGTAACCTGCGGTTAAAAGAAATGAAACGGTGAAGGCAGTGAAGACAAAAGCTCGGAATTGGTTTTGGATAAAGCTGCCCCAGATTGTTAAAATTAAAAATACTTCTACATAAGCGTGAAGAGGGGCGCGTTGTAGTACGAGAAATTCTACTTTCTCGTCTTTTTTTTGACAATATAAGAAAATCGGTAACTTTAGAAAGGTATTGATCACAGCTATTATTACACAAAACGTATATCCCCCTGTTGTTAAATGAGGGAGATTATAAAGGCAGGATGCTGATAGGGAATATAGTATCGCTTCAGCTAGTAAAATTACCCAAAAGTACACACGGATTATATGCCATTTTAGTAAAATAAATACATGGATAAGTGGGTGTGTCAAAAGAGGTTCCAACTTACCACGATTTCCAATTTTCGAAAAAACTTTGCTTTCTTTTAACTCACCATCATTGATTAAAGACGTAAAACGAATGTTTATCTTATAATCTAAATTTGCAAAGTGTTGGTTATAGTTATCTAAAGCTAAACAGTAATCGAAATATTTATCAAGATCCACAGAATCAATTATATCAAGAGGGCATTTTTGATTATTATTCTTTACAGTTAAGGACGCTCCACGTTTCAATAAATTTTGAATAGCTGTTTTATACGAACACAATACAGCATAATGTAGGGGTGTATTTTTCGATCCTGTACACTGGAAAGTAACATCTATATTGTTTGATTCCAAAAAAAGCTCGAATATCTTTGATTTCATTAACCCTTTTTGCCATTTGACGAGATTGTTGTATTGATTTGCTTTGATGTCAGTTCCTTTCTTCTTCAGTATTTCTTCGAAAATTTGGATGGAGTTGTGTGTTGCAGCTAATTCCAAAGGCGTCAGAAGGTTTAAAGGTGTTGTCAAATTCTGATCAGCGCCTTTGTTTAATAACCACTGGATAATTTCCAAATTGCATCGCCGTTTACAAGCTATTTGCAATAAAGTGTTCTCCTCATTATTACAATTCAAGTACTGTTCAACGTCTTTAATATTCTGAAGTTCAGATAGTTTGTTTCTGACTACGCAGTAAAATAACTTTGTTTTGTCGTCCATCTCATCAAGAGTGGTAACATCAATTTTCATGGTTTTTTCGAGAAAATCTTTGGTTACCTTGTTGTCATTTTTGAATACTGTTTTACTTAAAATCGATTTGGCCACAGTCTTCAACTTTTCTGATACGTCACTATTGCCTTTATTCTCTTCGTACAAGTCAGCAACATAGTCAATCGCGCTACTTCCCACCAGGTCACATTTGTTAATGTCGACACCAGCCTTGATTAATTCTTCTATACAATCTACAAAGTTGTCCTTGTTAAAGTTCCCATACTTGAGAGTGAAAATAAGAACAGAATTTGTAAATCTTGTTTGGTTAATTTCTGTAGAATTCATTTCGATGATTTTCTTCTTTAATTTATCTAAATCCAATTGAGCTGATGTAAAAAACAAGGAATCCGTTTCCGTTACTTCTTGACCGTCTTTATCAATCTCTTCATATTTATTTAGTAAAATATCTATGTGTTTATGTTTAAATTTATTTTTCGTTTCATTTGTTGCAAAAACATTAGAATCCAATGCGTCTAATACTATACATTTTTTTAGGATTTTGTTGTTGTCTTGAAGCTTTCGTATGGACTTGAGACTCTTATCATCGCACGCTTTACTAAAACCTTGAATCAATCGATACAAGCTTTTTGCGATATTTTCCTTATTTTCTGAAATTAATAAATTAATCTTATCTGTAAGATATCAAATATGTAACAAACCTGTGAACTTTTCCTCTTCTATTGATACAGAAGAATACATTTTATGCATAACTAACAACTGATATTCACCAAGTTGTATTCACTTCATTATATTGACAAAGTTTTTGTTGATAAATTACTCGATTAGTGAAATGCTTAAATGCAAAATGGCTCACAATATGAGACTCTAAATTTTTATGTCGATTGTGATGAGATAACTAGGGGGAAATGGCGAAACTGATAAGATAATTAAATAATATCATAGCATTTGCTGAGTTATTTCTTTTTTGTCGTCAAACAAATAGCATTTCAGTTTTTAGTTAGTTCTCTTTAATAACTTGCGGACAGCTTGTATCGGAATAACTTTCAGTAAGTTAACGCCGTTTTCATTTCTATGTTTTGAACTAGCGCCCCAGAGAAAAATGCCATATAAGGTAGGATACCAAGAACATGAAAAAAATGTTAAAAAAATTCTGTCTATAAAAATTTCGAAGTTATGAGAGTTTAAATTCTTGCACTTTGAGTATATTTATTTCTGTTGGAAAAATAATTTTCCAAGTTTTTTTGCTACAGGCTATTAGAAGAGGAAACAAGGAAGCTGTATCCTAAATTGTAACTTTGTTATTTGTGGCTTTTATTGACAGAATTTTTGTACCTTTACTAAATAATTATAAATAAAACATATACAAGATCATCAGTATCATTAAATAGACATAAAAAAATGTCAAATGTCAAAAAATAAATGTCAGAATTTTTTGACAGATAGAATTTTTTAATAGTATATTAAAGTACAAGTTGCAAAAGCACAAATTTCAAATTCCGAAACGAGCCGCGAAGCGTCGAGTTAAGGAACAAATGAGTGCTTGAAGAGCCTTCTGCAACAAGTGCTTTATACTATTTTTTCTATTTCGCCGCTTTATATTATTTTATAAATTAAAATACGAAAATTAAATTTTTTTTCTAGAGAATTTTGCGACGGTTGGCGACATTTATGTGTGGAATAATTTTAGGCGGCTGTAAAAAATAAAAATTATTCTTATTTTCACATTTGAAAATGAATTGTGAAGAAAGTCCGTCACTAAAATTAAATTACCGACTTAACGACTTATTCCAGCACGCAAATGACATTTGGGTGCTGGAATAGACTTATTCTAACACCGAAATAGGAAAACATTTTTTTCATGTTCCTCGTAATCTTATCTTACTTGAAATTTTTCTCTAGAGTCCGAGTTCTGACACACCCTGTATCTTCATAATTTATTTTCCATTTCTAAGTTCTTCTGCTTTATTATTATGTCTTTGTTTTTTATTTTTTTGTTGGTGTTATTCGAGATGGTTTGCTCTTGATTTTAGCACGTATTTTCAGGTATGACAACAGAAATATTAATTCGAGAAAAAAGTAAGCAGGTGCTACAATACCTCGAGAAGGGCAACTTGGAAAGTGCTCGACAAGCCATCTTTAATCAACATGAAATTCTAAGTTACAATTTTGGTTTGGTCGATTTCGTTTCTCTCATTCCCAAAGTACGAAACTCGAAAAACATTCGGAAAAACAACGATGCACTTAAAGTGGTAATAGACTGCGGATTTGAAATTTTTTCAAAAGGAGAAAACATTGATGAATTGTTATTTTTCGCTGCTGCTAAATGCGATTTGGACAAACTGAAGTTCAGCGTGAAGAAAATTCTAGAAGTGGATGCAAAAAACATTAACCAAGTCAGAGAAGGAGACAATGCTTTGGTTTTTCTGATAAAATATGGAAGTCTGGGGCATGAGGACTGTCCAAAATGTGTAAAATGTCTCATTCAAGCGGGTATTGACGTCACTAGGGAGGATTATTTTTCAAATAGTCCACTAGGACTTCTTGTAAACTTATATGAAAAATTTTCAAATAGAAAAAAGAAAAATGATGCAGTGCTTAAAAATTTACAAAATTGTATCGAGTTACTTTTGGACACAAAATTTATTGATTTAGACTTGACCAAGTCTGACAACTCCAGTTTGTCTGTTAGAAATCTTCTGGAAGAACTTCGCTTCAACCAGAACATTTTGACCTATCAGGTTGAGACCAACACCAGTGAAGACGATGTTGCCAGGTTATTTAAACTATTGCTAAGCGGTGAAAAAGAAGCATTTCAAAAATCAGTCAAAAAACACCTCAATGCAGACGACGGCAATAATACCTTTTTACAATTGTGTTGTGAAAAGAACCTAAAAGACACTGCAAGTTTTTTGATAAAAAATGGCGCCGATTTGACTAAAACTACCAATAGGAATCATCAAACGCCTTTGGAGATAGCAGCGAGACGGGATCATGGAGAAATTTTTGATGATCTTCTGACTACAAACAAAATTCCCATAGACGCACAACTTTTCATGACATTCGTTCTTAAACGTCCAAAACACATAAAGGCGCGATATTTAGACGAACTTTTAAAGTATAAACATTTAAATCCGAATTTAAAACTAAATAACGGAAATACTCCTTTGTATTACGCTATTACTTTTTCAAATACTGAAGCAATCAGCGTTTTGCTTCAACGCGGAGCATCTCTTACTGCAGAAAATGATAAAGGAAAATGTCCCCTCGATTACATAAATGCTGAAGATTTAGAAAATCAATTAAATAAGTGTATTATCCTTGATAATTACACCGACATTAATAACGGCAAGTATAACATAGCTTTGAACTTTCAAAATATTATTGAAAAGGATGATCAAGGAATAAAATCAGAAATAACGGTTGTTGAAAAAATTTCGAATTCTGAAAAATTAGCACATTTACTCAAACACCCTCTTATTTCGTCTTTTATTGATATTAAATGGAACCTTGTCAAATCTTTATTTAAGAAACTTTTCTTTTTTAACTTATTTTTTTACACAACAATTGTTTTATCAATTATTAATTTGAATCCGTTTACTTATTATTTTGGGCTGATTTTAAGTTTATTATATTCGGTCAAAATTGCTTTCTTTTTTAACTGGGAAGGAAATAAATTACACGAAACTGTAGATCTTGCTATGATTACAACAATAATACTTTTTTTAATGCAGAGTAATTTAATTTTGGCAATATTAGTAACGGTATTAATGGTTTGTTCACTTCATTTGTATTGGAGATTTGAGCCAAGATTTTCCCATTTTTATTCAGTTTTGATTTTTACTCTAAGTAACTTTTTTATTTATTTGTTATACGTACTCATTTTAGCAATATTCGGAGGTGTTATCTGTTACATATTTTCCTTAATGCACAACAACGAAGGAAATACAGCCAAACATCATTCTAAAAATTTATTACATAGTGTACTAATTTTACTTCCTCAGTTTTATATCCCACAAATTTGCTTTTTTGGAGTATTCGCTTCTGTGGTAACAATAATGATTATTACAAATTTTGAATATTTTCAGAAAAAAGTAAGAACCAAAATTAGCCAATTCGAAATAATGAGTAAGACAAATGTCTTAATATTTTTAAAAAGTGTTGAACAATTTTATATCCGATTTGGTGTTTTTATTCAAAGTCCTCTTATTTTTGAAAAAAATGAAGGTGGAATTCAAAGACTCGTAAAGAAAGAAAAAAGAAAAACAAAAAATGTAAACAATTTCATCATCAATTATTTGGTTAATCTAAACAAATTCACATGGGCGAGACTTTCGACTATGATGCTTAGCGATGATAATGTAATTGCAGTCAAAAATAAAATAAAAAATAACTGTGAATGAAAGAACAAGAATTGGCAGAATTATCTTTAAGTATACCTACATAATTATTGTTAGTATATAATGTTGATTAAATTTAATAAAATGTTCTAGTTATTAACTTTTTTTCACTTTTTGGTGTTTTCTTTTTTTTTGTTTTTGTTGATAATAATCTGCCTTTCAATTCTCATTTTGTTGAAATCTCAATTTTTTGGAGTCTCATTTAAAAAAAAGTGCATAAAACCCATTTAGGCGATACGTATTGTGTGTTGCCTACATGGTAAGGTGTAAGTGAAATAATCATTCTGGGTTGGTTGGTTAAAACGTAAAAATTCAAATAAAAATTGTAAACAAACATCTATTCCTAAATATCGACCACTGCTAAGTTCAGCTCACACATACGCAAGGCCAGTGGGTGGTGTTTGATTGATGAGTACATTGTTTGGACAAGTTCCATGGGGCATTTGCTAGCTGGGCTGACTGGTAGAGTGTTTACTCAATGCGAGGGTGAAAACGGGGATCACCCTATCAACCCTGTTCCCGCTGATAGTGCGAATGCACTCGTACAGATAGCAGAGCATATTAGAAAATTCACATGTCCTTTATTGAATCAAAAATTACACAATCATTTCACCACATCCATTTGCCGGATTGCTGACCGCAATGTCTTCTTGCTCCACGTTTCTCATCAGCTTCTAAACCTACACCCGTCACGGGGTTGCGTTTCATGTTGGAAGAAGAAACATTTGGCTCTCCAGGGGCCTTCTGGAAAATAGGTTCCGGTTTTTCCTCCTGTGGGCTTTCCTTGTCGCTTTTCTCAGAAGTTTCAGACTGTTCAGTTTCAGGAGTTGCAATTTCAGGAGTTTTGGAAGACTCTTCAGTTTTTGGGGGTAAACCAAACTGGAAGACGTCGCTACTTTGGTGCTGGCGCCTGTTTATTCTTGAAAAAGACGATCCGTTCACGGAGAATATTTGGTTGCCATCGTTTTCACCACATTTCGGCTCTTTCAAGCAAAAAATATCGCTTGAATTCCTCATTTTAATCGTATTTTACTGAGTTGCAAATACTGTCAAATGGATGTGACGTTAAATGTTTTTATACGCGGAAACCATGGATTTTACTTACTTGTTGTTTTAGGTTTTTCACGACAAAAATCCAGCTTCCTTCACTTCTAGTTGTTATGTTTACATAGACACGTTTCCAAGCAACCATACCAATCAAACCATGTGTGCCAACTGGATCAAATTCAATTTGATCAATGAATTTTTCCCTATTCTGGTTGTAAATGACACCAAACAGGCACTCCACGATGTCATGCAATACAAGATTTACAGTAATTTACACATTGGACACAGATTTTTGAAAATATTAGGATACATATGATTGTTGCTTACTTACTTTTTTCTTAATTTTTGTTATTAACAATTGTTGACAAAATTATTGACAATGGTCAGTACAATTTAAATATTTATAATTCGTTTGATATCTGTCTGAAAGAAAGAACGTTTCTTGTAATGGCTCAAAAAAATGTTACAAGAAGCTATATCTCTACATATCCATTGCACTTTTATGTTGCTTTTAAAGATGCATTCAGTTTTTTATTGTTGTTGATTAATTTATTTTAGAGTTGACAATCATATAACAAACTTGTTATACAGTGTAAGAAATGTATGCAGTTCCACTTTATTCTTTATTTACACATCCCATGCATAGATTACGAGTATACATACTTTTAGTCCTTGCAACACCGATTACCGAGGGAATGGTTTTTTTTTTTGTAGATAGTATTTGTGCAGCAATATATTTTATTTCCTTTGAGATTTAGTATCTATTGAAAGTTCCGAATTTCCAACACCTACACGCTTCGTTTGAAAAGACACGAGGGACAAATATTACCTTTTTAAATATGTTTTTCAGGATTATACTATGTTCCCTATTTTGACTTTTGTATAAAATAACACAAAGCTTGTATACACAAACACACAATTTCTTTGAATGTTCTGTCGGATGTTCCGGTCATTTGTATACTACAAAGCGTCACACGACTGTTGACTGTTTACATGATAAACATTTTTTGCACACTTTTAATTATCCTTATTACAGAAGTGGTGTATAGGTATACTTCCAAGTCAAATATTCGAGTATTATTAAAGTAATAGAAGCCACACATTTGTGTATTTTTTCTGTATCTCCAACGTTTTCATCAAGAATCTAATATAAAACTTTAACGCTCCTGAATTTTTATTTTAACCCCCTACTACATCTCATGAAATTTTCTCAATTAACAAAATTTGCTAATAAATTATAAGCAACACACACGTCATCTTTTCACTGGGACATAAAAGCTTCTAAACATACCAAATCACATATAAATTGGCATCGGAAACGTTGTAAAAGTCAACAGAACATGAATGGAACAAGCGGTGTAGAGGGCATTCAAAAAGTTAAAAGGCTGGGTAGGCCAGGTGTCAACTGACAAAGCCTCCGTGAAATTCACCCCACGCCCCCTAAGTTTTGCCACAATATCAATTACATTAAATAAATAATATGCCCAGTCAAATACATTACAGATCTATTGTGGACAACTTAATACGAAGTTAACTGGCGAATATCTCCAGAATTAGAAATATTTTCAGTTTGGTAACTGAACAGTTTGGTATTGCAAAATATTCCCAAAACTATTGTTTGTATCAATTTATTTCGATTTAATTCAATCTTCCCCTTTTCTTACTTTCACAAGTTACTTTCACTAAAATATTAAAAAGTGTTATTACTACCTGCATCGATATTTAGCGATTTTGTAATATAACTAGACTTAAATCTTACCTACCTCCTTAGTCATTTTAATTGTTTTAAGTGCTTTCTAATAATCTTGTGATTTCTCTTAATTTGGGATGAATTCAATTTAATTTTAATTACATTTTCTATTCTGCCTCGAACATTACAGGAACAGAATAGTTGGAAGTCTGCATTTCTTCTTTGGTGTGATTTTTTAACGAATGAAAATCGCGTGCTTGAAATTAATCCGCTTATAGTAAATTTATATAAAAAAGGAAACAATGGTACCCTGTATTTACGCAGTCAACAAGTTGTGTGCTCGGGCAAATAACTAAATATTGGCCCATCGCGCACTGCGTTTGATCTGTTCAAATTTGAATTTAAGATTAAATTTGTTAGACCTACAACCCACCTGTCAACATTATGCTCAAATATTGTTATTTTTACAAGTGATGTTGATGTTTGCTCAATATAGTTGTTACATTTGTATACTTTCGTGTTTGGATTCGATGCAGCTTTAATAATCATTCTCACTTTTCTCGTAATTCTGGCCTTTTTTTCCTTGTAAACACTCGATGATTTATCTGGCGAATTATTAGCGAATATTTCAGCGATTCGATCTGCGTCTTTACGATTCGGTTTGCGGATTAGGGCTTGTATACAGCAAAGGAACGTCAACAATGGCTCTTTGTGATCGAACTTTAACTTCCTGTGTATTTTCTCTTTTGATTGCTGAAGCTGTAATGATGGATGCGACATTGTACCTCAGAAATTTATTTTCACGGCTTGGAGATAATTCCGATAATTTTCCAAATTAGCTGCATACGAAACCTTCTTCATATTTCTTCAGTTAGTACGATGGCGTTAATGATTACGGTTCGTTGGCGTCCGACGTCTAATTGAGGCTCCGCGTTAAACTTATAATTCATGTAATTGTCACTGTTTGCCTTACTCATCGCCTCAGAGATGTATACAATTGTAAAATCACATGCTAAATGAAATCTCGACACGCTATAACCGATCAAAAATTATCCTAAATCTATTTAATTATTCGTTTACCTAATAACAACTATAATTAACAAGCGGTTTTGGTTTATAATTAGTTAGTTTTTCCAGCGATATATTGGATTTATTTAAGAGCATAAAAATCGCCAAATACTGACACAGGGAAAAAATATTTTGCAATAATAATATTAAATTACGCAAAAATACAGTTTATTCTATTTATTCTTGCTGATTTTAATAATTTTACATTATCTAAAAGGTTCAATTAATATTGCCGGAAGAACTATACCTAGTTATAAACTGTGTGAAGTAGAAAAATGTTTTTTTTTTATTTTAACATTACATAAGCACATACCTATGTAAGTAATTTAATTATTTCTGAAAATGAATCTTCTTGCATTCACTTTTCAGCCAATCCAATTCGTATGAGATGAAAAAACGGATTTTTTGTAAAATTTTAAAATTCTTTTCCTACTATGTAGTAATACTTATTAAGATTATTGCTGAAACCAAGTTTTCAGCTGTTTGTAATTTTTAATTTTTTATCAATTACCTAATGAAATCTCCAAATTGAACATATTAGAAACCTAATTATATCAAAATTATATACGATTTTTTTGACAATCTTTAACTCAAATATGTATTATGTATATATTTTAATAAGTTTTATAGAGGTGTATCAGTTACAAATAAAATAACATCTGTAAGTAAACTTTTTTAAATTTTTGAAGTTTTCATCGAAAATGCTCGTTTATTTTTGCACATAAGAAAAAAGCGATTTTTTGATGTTATACTTTTTAGACCTCATATAGACGGAATAAATTCTTAGCGTCATTTTTAGCTTTTGAGTCTATGTTTTGATAATGGAGTAGTATTTAACGTTGCGTATATATTTGTAATATAAATACCTGACTTTTTGACGAGTAATGAATTTATAATTACGTTGCAAAGTGAGTGAATTATTTACAGTTATGTTGTTTTTCATCCGGTTGGTCTGTGATATGTTTATTGCTTTATTTTTAGTATGAAACCCGCGTCAGAGGCATAAATAATAAATTTCTTATCCTCATAATTTACCAAAGGCTGAGATAAAGTTAACGTCAGTTTTATGAAGTAAATAGACCTGGTGATTCACAAGCATTGTTATAAGGCTTATTTGGCTCAAAGTTTAGAATCAGAGTTCTTTGCTTCATACTCGAGTCAATGCGCAATTTAAATAAAATAATAAAGATAATTTTCATACATAATTTATTGCGCCTTTCGGTAAACATCGCCCGTCCTACTTGGTTTTTACCTAACGAAGAAAAATGATCGATAATGATTTTACAATCCAAGCGGGAATCATAAATGAACCTCCATCACGAGGGAATTCCACGATATTCAAATACCATAATTTGTCAATGTGCACAATCTATATCACATTATAAGAGTGTCAAATAATAAAGTGGAGTGTTCCGCAGCTCACTAGATTAAATATGTACTATGTACACTGAAATCTTTGCCCGTTGTACGTGTGGAACGGAATTTTGTACAAACTGTATTTGGAGAGTATACAAAACGAAAGTATGCCTCAGTTTGGTCTGGAAATATTTACCGACAGTTATACATTTTCCTGCTAAATAAATTATTTTAGTAAATGTCGGCATTATACACCAAGGAGGGAGCGAAAGTCAATGTTTGGTATGAGTGATGGAGGAATGTTTTAAAATGTTTGCCTGTTCAAAACTCGGCAGAATTATTTTGCTTTTCTTTGCAAGTTAAAGGGAAACTCTCCCGCAAACAATTCCTCTGCCTCTTCCAACGCCAAAAAACGCTTTTAAACAAGCCGACCACAAACTCGTAATTTTACACTTGTTCTAAGAATTTAAAAACCCATCCTCTCACGAAATCTACTCTTAACTCAAAAATTATCTTCTGTTCACACGTATTAGAATCTTTCCCAATTTCAATTGAACGGCGCTGTTTACTTTTAAATGACTTGTTTTTCGTGTTTTTATTTCATTTTATTGTATTCTCCTATTTCATAAATGATTTTCCTATAGTTGTGTAACACAGATTTCTAGTAACGTAACTATTGTCATTATGGAAAGATCATGAAAAATGAAGACATCCGAAGGCAAATAAACAAGTAGGAAACAATTATCGAGTCAATTATGACCAAATAGACAGAATCAATAGTCAATAACGTGCACAAAGAACGATTACAAAGTTCAGCTTGTAATCCTCTTGTTTGTATTAGTTGTTGACCAATTCTTATTTATATGAACGGAGCCACACTTACTCGTTTAATTTGTATACAAGAGTAGAGAAGAAATTTACTTAAATTTAATCGTTTTGTAAATTTGCACGGTAAACTGTTAATATAAAATCGTAAAAATGTCAAATAATAAATATTATTTTTCATTCCATTTAATTTATTTATGTTATTCCACATACATAAATATTTAACTATTTATTATTTTCTGTTTATTGAAAATTAAAACTCT